GATTGACTGATAATGCATGGCAGATAGATAACAGCCGATTACGGCCACTTGAAAATTAGTGCAAATACGAAGCGATAAATCGGCTCTTCTCGGCATATTATTTCATCATTAAACGTACAACACGTTGGAGCTCTGTCGATAATTCCCCATGAACTACTTCGGCGCGGTTGTCTTAGTGAACGGCTGCCTTCGCTATCGACATCCAGAGCATCGTCATTAAAAAGACTGGCATTCCTCAATACTCTACGGCGCGCTATGTAATAAAGGGATTCTTCGGCTGACTGGAACGCAGTTGTGGGTGTCATTTCTATTTTCAAATTAGTCCTCTTCGCCGACCGATAGGCGATATAGCCTATCGAAAGAATGTGACCCTTTCTAAGTCGCGACGGCGAGGAGAACGATCAAGGAGCCTTTAATTTATTAGACTTTCGTGCCGGACATCGCTGGGTAAAAAAAGAAATAAGCCTTCCGCGCATAAAATCTATATTTCATGTAGAATTAATCGTCGCGCTTGTCGTATGCGCAACAATTAATTATACAGGATAATCTCAGCTCAAATAAAAAATATTTATTCTTTAAACTATTTTTTGGTATTTTTGGTTTAGAACACTCTGTGTAATTAATTGTTATACATATGACAAGCGTCGATCTCGCCTGTGAATGAAATATAGATTCTACATTAAAAATTGCAAAACTATTAATTACTTTCATTTTAATCAGGATATTTTTCAGTCAATCGTGAAATGTTCAAATGAGAGTGATTTTTCTAGACGACAAACTTGCACGATGTGACAATTCATGCAAATATCGATAATTGACAATAAAATATTGACTATCTCGTCGAACATTCTTACAATCTGATTAATGAGAAATGTGTGTATACTGCTCACAAGCTATCGCATTGTAATTTCATTCCTGAGCAATTAATACGTCGGCCGTAACCGATGCACGTAATGGTCCATCGTTCGTACAGATTGACAAACGGCAAATAGGAATAGCATTGCCGATATTTGCGCATAGCCACGGTGTAAATAACGCGTATCAAAGGACGCGGATATGAGCACATAACGCGGCCGAAGCTCTATTTAGTGTGCCAAATTTGACAGGACTTATAATAAATAGGGCAACTGCCTGCTTTGTCTATATATATAATTAATCTTATTTCAATATAATTGCATTAATTAATATAATTTATTAATACAATTTTTCAAATAAATAATCAAAATCGTGTACTTTCATAATTAATTGATTAAAATTTATTATCTACATCAATTTATTTTGTATAATGCGACAACGGCTGTGACATGTAAAATACATTGCAGCAAACAATATTGTCAATTATGTATCTTTATATAGCGATAAATCAAATTAATATCAATAATACACTGTATTTCCTAAACGCGATCAATGATAGTTATTCGCGACGAATTGTCCCCACCGAATCATCGATCGAACCGGCCGAAAGATAAAATTCCCGCTATGTTATGGAGGCAACACGCGTGCATTAAACAGGAAACAAATCGCAGGTGTGCCGTACAATCGTGCCGAGTGCCCGTCGCGCAGTTTTTTATGCATTCTAGTGACGGCACCGGCGTAGCAATCGGTGAATTACGCCAGTTGCAAAACCGCCCTCGGGTTCCATGAATCCCTCGATAATTTATCGATTAAGTCGCGTGTGGAATACGAATATCCGACGCTACCGAACCCGTCATGGATTAAAGCGCGCGTTGCATTTGTCAAATCGTCATTATTCATTCGACAAAATATCGCGAGCAACCTCTCGATAACGAACTCCTTTATTTTCGACAAATATTGCAGAAAACCCATTCTTCCAAAAGAATTCAATTTCCCGAGATTCTCGACGCGCTATTAAAAGCTTCCCATCCAAAAATATATGCGTATTATATAAATACATTTATTATTTGTCATAAGTTGATTGTTGTATATCGCGACGTACAGATTACAATTTATTTACTGGAGCATGAAAACAGATAAGTTTAACGTTCGCGACTTTCAAAAAAAAAACAAAAAAAACAAAAAAAAAACATTTTAATAGAAGAGAAATAAAATAAAAATATCGCGAGTTTCAGCGAGATAACTATGCGTACGCCGTTATGCGCGAGATCTTATGCGACAATGATAGCTCGAATTGCCGGGAGGATGACGACGATCGCACGTCCGTTAACACCCGAGGCGATCGCGTGAAGAGGGATATACGAAAAGTTAACGACGTGTAAATTTCACTCGGTGCTCTAAAGTCGGCAGATTTCGTTTAAACGTCAAGGAATGACTGCCGTTAAGTTTAGTGGCACGTTAGCCATGGAAATCGTAATCGTATATATACTGTGCTCTCGAGACCACTTCCTTTCTTTTGCGGATTTTTTCACTGCTTAAGCTCGATTTTTCATTAATTTTTAACACTGATTTTTAAAAATTCTTTTCACTAATAATTAATAGTCTGTTGAAGTAAATTCTACTTGAAACAAAATACAAAAATAGATCTTGTGTTTTTTGGGAATTTAATACCAAATTGTCTCGATTTTCAATTGTTTCTACTCGAAAAATTATTAACTTGGATTTAACTTGGAATCAGACAAACATGGTTCCTTTTATCTTCTAATATTATTAATATTAGCTTTGATACACCCTATAGATAGGTCTATACGCGTCTCTGCCAGTGCAAGTACGTTCATCAACGAAATCGCGAGACGTAAAATCTAACGTAAAACTGCGATGCACCGATCATTGTGCGCTAAGAACATACTAAGACAGCGTTGACTTATTTTAACGAGATACACCTGACATAAAACACGAGTATAATAGATGTCATTTCGCACGTGCTCGCGAATTACCGTAATCATAGCTTATTTCACAAAAATAAAAAAACTGCACGTTAGAATAAACGAGACATAATAAAATAATTGCATTGCAAATGTTTAAAACGTAGCGATAAATGCGAGGCGTCAAAAACATTTTTTTTTTTTTAGAATTATAAATACAATATATGTCACAAAATGCAAATTTAATTTCGTCAATCTATATCAATATGTGCAATATGCGGCATATCAATAATAAACAATAAAAGTAATAAACAATATAAAATGTACAAAAAAGCTAAAAAAAAAAACTTTTTTCATTTTACAATCAATTAAAAATATTTTTTACTTTTTTACTTTCTCTGATAAATACATTAATTATTTAAATATACTTTAATTAATTACTGCACGAATGCATGTTAATTAATATTTTAATGTAATATTTTAATGTAATAATTAACTATGTTTCTCTTATTCATTGTATCCTTTATACAGACACAAGTGTCGTCGCAGCGACCAATTCCCGTAAATTGCTAGCACCGGATAACCGTCGGATTATCGTAGGCACGGAACTTACTCCGACATACATATTTTGACAAGGGCAGGCAAGGGTTAAGACCAAGATTTAGCTCGTCTATGTAGATATAGTACCATGACTAGCTCGTCAACGTAGTCAATATCAGACCGGGAATTTTCTCAGGAAGAATTTTCCTACATTTTATTTCGAGTGAAACACGAAGAAAAACGAACGTGTTCGTTCTACGGTTTTTCTACGAAAACACCGCGGTACTAATTCATTAGATTATTTCATTAAGTTCATCGAGAGATTACAAAATGCAACGTAAAAAGAAGCATAGTAAATCACTATATGTTCTCTTTCTCTATCAAATCTTGTAACGTCAATTTTTTAAAAATAGATTTTTAAATGTTTTTTCCATGGATAAATTAATTACTTCATCATTAAGTTAAGTATTAAAATTTAAAATATGAGCGGTACATAAACAAAATTTGCTGTCTATACTTCCCAAAATTTATAATAAAGTTAAAAAGCCCTTCGGACAAAACATGAATAAATTGCAGGGATTTTTTTTAAATGCAAAATTAAATTAGAAATATTAAATGTTAATTTTCGCTACACGTTACAGAAATATATACAGAGTATATATCCGTAATACTATATGCACATTTATATGTACACACAGAAAATAGATTATATTCATAACTTGATAATTAAACAAATTCTCGAAAATGTGAATTTTATTTCTGTAAGTATCCCTTACATTTCTACTTTCTTGTAGATCACATTGTCGCAATTTTGAGAACCACAATGAGACTCAAAAATCAATTGTCAAAAGTAGTGCACGTAGGTCGCTTAACGAACACGTTAAACAACCATCGCTATATCACGAGAAAGAAGCCGCGCAAATGCGCGGAAATCCTTCGGGGGGCGGTGGAGGGGGGGGGGGAAACGGCAAGGAGAGAGAATGGAAAGCGGGTAAGAGACGGCTAAAGATAATGTACTCCTGCATACAGATGACGTTATTAAACGGAAATCTGCAGATGGAGCAAACGCATAAAGCACTGTCTGCCGTCGTTGTCTGATTAGGCATGCAACGTTTCCCACCTCTCTACCGTCTGCTCCCCTCGCCCCTGAGAGAAACTCGAAGCTCTCGTTATAGACGCACAGCACGCTGCGCCGCAACGTAAATTCCGTAAAACGATAACAGCGATCTTTTTAACACCGTGTGTAATAGTGCAGCATTGCGCGCCTTTCTCGAATGCGTTTTATCAAAATTGTGATATAGTTGACCTTTTAACTGCGGTATTTACGTAAAAAAAGATACTTTTTAACAGTACCAGTAAATCAAAATATTAAAAGAGCACCGGCTGGTCAATGGAAGACGCGTATGTATCAATAAGCAGTCATTAAAAAATTAATTCATAAATAATAAAGAAAATAAACACATAAAAAACAAAACTCCACAAAACGACTTTAACATCGCTTTGCATTCTGAGAATGCATGGTTTTAATGTTGTTATTAATAATTAAAAATCTGCGTTAATTTATTCTAACGTAATTATTCTCAAGTTAATATCAATAAATTAAAAAACAAGTAAGACCATATAACAATAAAAGATCATCATTATACCGGTAAAATAATAGTGCAAGAAAATAACACTCACCATGACGAAGAAAATGTAGCTGCAAACGTAGTTGAAGATGTAGCTGGAGATGTGTGTAGCTGGAGATGTAGGTGAGATTCTTAAAGATCTGAAAATATATGAAAAGTTCATAAATAACTTGATTTTTCATAATATTACTTTAAATATATCTAAAAAAAATAATACTGAAAAAATACATAAAATTACAGAATTTTTTATATGGAAAAAAATATTAAATTATTTTTAAATGTAACAATAAGAAATCATCATTATACTGGTAAAAAAATAGTAATAAAATAACACTCACCATGATGAAGGAAGTATAACTGGAAATGTAGTTGAAAATGCAACTAGAAAAGTAGTTAGGGATGTAATTGAAGATCTGAAAATATACAGAAGGCTTATAAATAACTTAGTTATCTTATAATATTGCATTAATTATAAATAAAAAAATAATATTGTGAAAGAAATAAATAAAATTGCAGAATTTTAAATATAGAGAAAATATATTAAATCATTTTTAAATGCAAATAATTAGACGAATAAACAATAACTCCAAATAAATTTGTACAAGATATAAAAACAAAAAATAGTAACATAATCATAAAGTGGAGAAAAAATTAATTTTTTTCAATTTTTTTTTAAATTTGATAAAAAATAAATTCCAAAAATAATTATATCTCGTGAAAAATAATTAAAAGTATAATTATAAAAAGTTATAAAGAAGGCAAATATAACAAATAAATTTATTCACCATGCATAGCAGTCTCCGTCAACGATGAGCATCCTCTCCGTGGCACTCAACACACTCGCGAAAACTGTAAAAATATACCAATAAACGCCGCGCGATAATAATTCGGCACTCCCGAATATCAATATTCGCACAACAAAAATTCGATACTCGCGAATAATTATTGACATACGCCATTTTGATTCGATTTTACTCGCGAAGAAAATTAACAGCAAACATGCATATTTATCAAAATTAAATTCAAAAATAATAACATAAATAACAACTCAGGTATCAGATATTTGACGAATAATATTGCCATAAATATTGATAATTCTGATATTCAGATATTCTGATATTGGTAATTCATCTGTAAAGAATCGTAAATCTAATGCCAAGGGCAATCAGATATCAAACGTTTCGAATCGCTCGTTTTATTTAGCTGTGAGCTAACTAGAAAACGTTGTGAACGTATTCCGCGAAATAAGTATAAACAATAAGGATTATCCGATATTTGTTACTTCTTTCGAACATTCCCGATATTCACAATATGATTTAGATCAAAAATTTGTGAGAATCAAGAGATTTACCATTTTGTCGTTCACGGAACACAAGAGGTTATGATGACTATGCAAAACTCCGAATGTTATATCACTTACTATGCATCTCCGATGGATAAATATGCATGATATCTAGACATTCGTTGCAGCAGTTACTTTATTTTCCTCGCGACGATATTTTTGACGGATAAAAACTCGCGCAAAGTATTTACATATTACGCGTACTACATATTACTATGCCGTTTGCGTACTTTTCCCGCTCTTTCTCGTTCGCAGCAAGTAAACAACTAAGGCTCTCTAGCGTCACATGACCAAATCAACAAAGATCTAAAATCTACGAATAAAAATTCGTCGCCATAATATTTTTTAGCATCCCCAGTTACTGCTTACTTATATATATTTCGACGCTTTTAATATTTTAGAATCGCGATACGCTTTTCAGAAAAATCAAAAGAATCGCAGAAGATAGTATGCGTCTTCTCTTCGCGCCACGTAAATAACTGATAAAACTCTGACGTCACGGGAGCTACAAATCTACAAACAGACTCTCGCGGCCATGATAATTTGCCATAACTGCGCAAAACGAATCCAAATACTGTATTACATCTAAAGTATAAATATGTATGTCTACCCGATCCTTAATTTACAATTATCTATATTTCGACCCTCCTAATATTGTAGGCTCGCGATACGTTTTCGGCGATGGTGCGACAGAAAATTCGTGAGAATCGTGTTGCACTCGCTCACGATACTAAGATACTACGGCGGCAAGATACTAATGTGATATATTACTTATACTCACGAGACAGATACTACAAATGAATAAATATACATACCCACGGTCTTTGAACTCTTGTATCGGCACTTCTAATACTCTCGCGAAGTGAAATAAAGGAGCAGAAAGAGACTACGCCGCGGCTGTTTCCTTCCTGCTCCCCTCTCCCATCGATCTGCGCATAGATCTAGAGGTTTGCGCGATCCGTCCTACGCCCCACCACAGGTGGCATTCCAATATCAAGCTGGGCAAAATTCCACGAAAGAACTTGCGTCCGCTATTTTTGGAATAACACTTCGAGCATTGTATTATGTTTACAATGTATTCCAAATAAACAAATATGCGTAATTTACATGTGCGTAAAATATAGAAGCAACATAAAGCAATAATACGTTTTACTATGAATCATCCTTAACGCGCAAAATAAACTAATTGTAAGGTGGCAGTATTGTATAGTGACGCGCATAGCATTTCACACCGTAACACGCGTCTGCACGCGTCGTAACGAACGAGGTCGCAATCCAAATATCGTAAGCCGCAAGATAAATTATTAGCAAGTACGTATAATGCATTTGCAACGACTGTAGCAATAATACATTTGATATACTCGATGCGCTGTTATGCAATTCATACAATTTGTGGGAAATAAATAACGCAAAACGCACTATTTTAACGCAAACCGTCGGTGTCCGTCCACACGTCGACATGATCGCGAGAAAACGCGATTAATAACAAATGCCGTGTTAATTCGTGTAATAAAACGATCACGCGTCACTGTACTCGGCGCTCTCAATACTCATTTGCACTACGATTTATTTCTGTCACATAAAAAACAAAAATATCTACAATAACATTACTTGTTCACTCCGAACAAGCGCAAATGCGAGAAGCAACAGTAATTTTAAGATAACAGTATGTGTATATTTAAAAAACAACACTATGCAAGTAATTTTGGAACCAGCATTTAATATTTTAATATTTAAGCAGTTTTTTTGCCGACAATTATTATTGCATTTATTCACACATTTACAAATCAAGTAATATTTAAAATTAAAAATTTTGTATATTTTATTTTTTATTATTTATATTTGTTTTATTATTTATATTTGTTGTTTTGCTTGTTTTTCTTGTAAAATTATATAGATTCTGAACTTTCTCTCTCGTATATTTATTCTAAAACTTCTTCTAATTCTATATCTTTGTTTCAGATGCAATAAAATTCATTATACACATGAGAAAATAAAAGAAGGACGTGTTATCGAAACATCCTCTACCATCATAAAGCCTACGATCATCCTTCATGGAAGCGCGATGTCAGAGTGCATTCGACCGCGAAGAATGTTGGACCCGAGCATAATGTGTATAAGCGTGAAAAATTTAGTGGGCTAGGGGTGAGAAACACGCGAGCGTTTGGAAATTTTGTGAGCGGCATTCCTTGCCGAAATATGCCAGATAATATAATAATTTCGCGGTTCTCGCACATTCACGCTGTCAGTCATATATCACGAAAACATGATGGAAGCGTCTCAAAGGATTCAGAGAGAAATTTGAAAGCAACTTGCGATAAAAAAAGTGCGTTTGCGTAACGATTATTAAATTATTATATTTTTATACTAATTTTATTCTAACTTTTTTTAGACTATCCATATTTATCGAAAACAAATTATCTGTGTCTATTTTAGGATGGAAACTACATTATATTGTATTCAATAATTAGATTTATACACACTTTTCTAACAATTTATACGCTTTTGCTTTTTTTTATAGCATGGACAAATGACATCGAGCTGAATAGAAATCAATAAGCACCCCATAAAAGATGTCAGGCGGTTTCAGACTTATCTCTCAGAATTAACGATTCTATAAAATTTTTATCGGATTCTGTCAACGACGCTATGCATTATAAAGGCCAAGCTTTCTTTCATGTATTTCACGCCTTTTAAATCAACGAAATAGGAAAGGTACGCAAAATTATTAAATCTGTAGGTTGATAAAATTTTAATAAATGCTAATTCTTACCCGGTCGACACGTGGCTGATATCTACAAAATTAAATCATCTCCCGCAGAGGCTTTATTATGAAGCGAGCGACTCTCGAGAAAAGTGGGGTGCGGCCTTTTCACGCTATGTACGCAGAAAGCTAAGGTGAAAAGAATAAACGAAGACCATGTCGTCAGCTTTGTTGGTGGTCCAATCTTAACACTTCACTGTCAACTGTTAAGTGAGTTTTTACTTAGACGCAAGCTATTTTTACTCTTAATATAATACTCCAGATTTCTCGAAATAAGCCGCCACAAAAACAATTCGTTACACAAGAACGTGTTTATTCAAGCCATTTACGTACACAATTCTGTTTATTTCTGAAATATATATATTTACTAAATTCTCTTCGTTAATTTAATTTTATATTATTCGAGGAAAATCGAAGTGACTAAACGTTGAAAATATAATAATAGCGTTATATTTTTTATTGTAACAGTAAATCCCATTTTTGATCACGTATAAAGATATTTAATATCAATTTGCTTCAACTTCCTGTATATAAAATAATTTAAAATTACAATAGCATAAAATTCAAAAAGATACACGCGCAATTTTACTTTATTTTTGAAAGAATTTTAAATTTCCAAATGTGATATTGTTATTGCGCACAATTTTATCGAATTTGCATAAAAGTCGTTATATCAATCAAAATGCAATTCTACCAGAGACGAATTCGTGATGACAATTAAAAAGTAAAAGTGATAAAGACGGATGCGGCGTGCATTGTTTGCTTGTGGCGAGCAATCTAAACCTTACATTCGATGGTTATGGAACTAAAATACGGGCATGCCTGGGCAAGTTGTTCAAGCGAAAACATAAACGTAGCAGAATGTATTATGCCTGCGTAAGAAATACGGTGTTACTCTGTATGGACGTGCCACAGGACCACGATCAACATGCCACAAACATCTGTTCCGTATAAGTGTAGAGATAGACAAACGCCAAAGCCGTAAAGGGGTCGTCAACTATGTACATAATTTCCAACTTCTGACTCTATCCGTTTCTGCAACGGACGATTCTCCGGACCACCGAATCTCACCGCGCACAGAGCGAGCGCGCAGTCACCCTCAAATATATTCACCTGCGGATAACATCACGCATGGGAATAGTCTCATTTGTATTTGTTCGTACGCTGCTTCATTAATAAAATAGATTCACCGGCGGCAAAACGAAGAATTGCTCGAATCGTGTTACAATGCTGCAAAATCAGGACGCAGCTATCGTACAGCTATAATAAGCAAAATATATGTGACCGCAATTGCCTGTTATTCAATTATTAAATGAAATCTAGACTTGATAGAAATTTTGAATTAGAATCTCATTTAAATACCGATCTAATATTAATTAGATTCAATTAGTGACCTATTTGCTTGTATTTTAATTTCTCAAGATTTTTTTCTTACTTTTTAACATATTAATTTTACGATTTTATATAATATACGTAATGAAATCGTTTACTGAAGTAAAAAATATTTCTAATTTGTTTATCGAGCATGTAGAATCGATTAGCGATTTTGTAGAAAGTCGGACAATCGACTCCCGTCCGCTGTCACGATCGAGATAAACTGAGTTGACTTCAACTCAATTCAACTTTAAAGTAATTTGGCTGATACGCATTTTTCGGCACAAAACCGTCAAAATTACCAAATTCTAAATGGGTTGGGGATTGACAAAGACATATTGCCAGTGCAACGGCAGCCACGGTGCACCGACGAAAGTACAGGAATGCGCTCCATCAAATCAAGCCCTAGCGGCATGCTCTCCCATCATAACAGCGGTAGTGAAGTCCACTTGTGGAGTAAGACGGATGTTCGTTTCTGCCATCATCTTGATCTTTTTGTTGGCTGCTATATATTGGGTATCCTTGCCACGCCAGCAAACGAACCCCGGTGCACATCGACCAATGAGAATTCAACCTCAAGCTTCTAGAAATACCGCACCGGAGTGAATCGAAGCAGCAGGAACGACTGAATCACTGGGGTAACATCACTGATAATTCTAATTCTTTTTCAGAAAATTTATAGGATAATTTCAAGATAGAAAATTATACAGAGAGAAATATTCAGTTTCTTTTATTGTAATAACACTATATCTTGTGGAATCCTTTCAGTTTAAATGTTCATTTATTAAAAAGAGATTTTAAAGAAAAAATTTTTTATGAGTTTAATTCTCACAATTATAACTTGATTGTAAGAAATATCTTTTCATTAATAATTTGAATGTGTTTCTTTACATAGTTTTTAAAAGCTATAATTATATCTCGAAATTATCTCATAAAAATTTGTATAAATATATAATGCAAATTGAATGGTAAAGCTGATGACGTCTAAAAATATAAAATAGGTAATCCAGTGTCAAGAGCAATAATAATCCGAAGTAACAATATGGACTTGCACTTTCAAGTAACAAATTATACTGCATTTTGTCGCCTTGTATATAATAGCAGTTGTAGTATGATATATATACATAATTGACATAGAAAAGATTAAAATTTTAAGAGTATAATGAACTTTTTTAAAGGAAAACATTGAAACAAAGAGAAACAATAAAGGAGGTCTCATAACATTGTATTACATTGTTAATTATATTATTATACTCAAAAAAATTTTACTAGTAATGTCTGTTAGAATACGATTACTTTGTGAAAATTATTAGAATTCTTTAGAATCTCATGTATACAAAATAAAAATCGCAAAAATCAAATTTTCCAATCAATAAATTTTATAATTTTTAAATGTAAGTAATTTATTTTTTTATAAATTTAAATATACAAAATACTTTTACATTAATGGCATTATTATTTGTAATAAAATAAGAGTAGAGTAATAAGTAATATTCTTTGAATTGACAATAGTTTAAATTGCCGAGAACATGCCCTTCAATATCGTTATCACGTATACGCGCGATAAAGTGGAGATAACGCTTAACGTGTGGAACAAGTATCGCGTATAACACCGTAAATGATCAAATAAATTGCGAAAGTAAGCGATTTTATAAAGTGCGATAAAACGAAGCTTTAATCGAAGCTGCCTAGACTTTTTAATATTTGCAATGTTATGTTACTTTCTTTAGGTGTAAGACTGTGATTACCGCACATAAAAAGCCACGCGTAAGGCAATTTGGCAATAATATCTTGTTTCAGAAATTCACAATTTACCTCCGGATACTCGTCTTTCACGGCATTTAAATAGAACCGCAAAATATTCCGGCAGAATTCTTCGACTTTTGGCAAACTGCTTTTGAAGGGCAAATTGGTGAAAACGATAAAACCGAAATCGATCGCCGGCGAGCAGTACTTCATTGTTTCCCAATCGACTATCTTTGTGTCGCTCGGCCTACCGTTCTCGTGCTTAAACAATACGTTATCCCGCGTGAAATGGCCGTGGCAGATAGTCGAAATGTCGGTGATTGTGCTGTCCAGACTTTTCATTGCATTTATATTTGCTTTTATTTTCTCATCTTCGTACGGCGAAAATATGTCGCCTTTAGAATCCATTAGAAATTTCCTACAAGCAAGAAGATCGAAGACGCTTTACATATCTATCGAATCTATATTAGTTTTAGTACAATATTATGTATATTATTGATATTAGTATTATTATTATAATTGGAAATAATTTTATAAATTGCAAATCTGAAAATCGATATAAATTTTCCTCTTTTCGCGTAAGCTTCACGTTCTTAATAGAGACATAATTGTTTTGTTATTTTTAATGCACATGTGTACAAGTTATGATAAAAACCGAAAATATACCTTTTCATCAGATTATCAAAGTAAACTTTGGTAGAATCCGGCTCAAATAGTTTCGCGTAGAACTCTCTGAAAATAGCAAACTCGTTTGGCTTTAGCTTCAATCCTTTGGCATGAAACGCTGCTAATGCTTTCACACATAATTTCAGATGAACTTCATCCAATTTGTGATTTACTTCTGCGTAACCACGTGCGACCAGATCCTCCAACACAATGACTGGCCGGCCGTATCGACCCAAATCGGACAGATAACACTTCGGAACACCTTCTGCCTTTCCGTACTTGAGCGTCATCTTGGTGTAAAACATTTCCTCATTCTGAAATTTGCCGGGCGGTGAAAATTCCTCATGTTTTTGAGACAGTTTGACGATGAGAGGAAAGCTGCACGTCTTGCCAGAAAATTTTATACGCGCAGTCACCCGGTATAGCTCGCATGAATAATCACGTTTCCCACTTATGTTCAAGTGCTCCACGTCGGCGGAGTCAAATTCGACAAACTCCCTGGATCCGGGATCGCAAAAGCAACGATCGTAAACCATCTCCTGTATTAATTCCCTTATAAAGTCGCCGTCCTTGCAAGGAGGATGTCGCGGACACTGCAGCGACGTCGCGTCGGAATCTGGGTCGGCCATAGCGAAAGGGAAAATAATATTGCTGTAATAAAACACGGCAGCAATTAAGGACACCGGCACTGTGCGAGAGCGCGCTTAAAACCGGAAAGTCGAGAATTATGAGGAATTTTTTTTTTTTTTTACGCGTAAACTCGCTCCCGCGCTTGTTCTAATAACGTTGTCGCGACGAGTGCCACGCGCGTTAATAATGTTTATCGTCACGTAATGCAACGAGTCGTCCGGCGACGGAATAATTTAAAAACATTTTAACCGTGTCTTTAGCCTCGGAAGCGTGTCAAAGTGCAACTTTGAGTATTTCTGTTAGTCAGCAAACAGATGATATCAGTAGCCTCCGTAATTATACGTCCGCGCGCGCGTATATACATATATACACACTTAGATTCTGTTTAAAAAAAAATATCAAATACTTCACCAGGATTCTAGACTCGAAAAAGCTCTTGGCGCAATTAGAATCTCCAGGCCACTACGAGATTAGAGTTTTACATTCAATTAAGATCTCAATTAGGATCATATGATGTTTCTCTCATTCGCACATCTAAAATAAGTTTCTTTTCAAATTCCTCATTCCACTTTATGTTATGTATTATCATCTACTAAATCCACGTTCTTCGTCCACTTCTCGCAAATGCCGCTAATTTTGAACAAGGAAAGAAAAATTCTAAAATTAATTTTGAACAAGAAATGTAATACCAATTTAGATTTTGTGATACTTAATAGTAATGAAGTTCGATACGACGATGCGGGATTGCTTTTCCTTCTCACTATAATTCACCAAGCACGTAATCCATTAGACATTATTATTTATCAAACACGTCGAAAGATCGCACGAGTTCAAGTTCTGTTCACGATACATACTACAGTACTTATTACGGGCTCTTATTCAACGACGTCCGTGTTACGAGGGGCCAGTTACACGTAATAAACGAGCACTGCATAGTGAATCATAACACGAGATGCTCCATATCTCCCCACTTTCGAGATAACGAAACCGGCTTTCATTGGCTTTTAATGACGTCGCAAACAAGTTTACGCCGCGCCGAGACGTGACGAACCGTTTAAAGAGCGTCGCCGTCGCAGTAAGTACATTTTCATCGGCATTTAATCCGGAAAAAGGTATCGATCGTAAGAAAAGTGGAAGTAACTTTAAATTACGTTAGATTACCGTCGTTAAAGAAATTACTTACTCTAATCAGATCTATATAACTAATCGGATTTATTGTAACTGAGTGACGCATGAGCTCGGACTTTAAACGCTGACAGAAAAATTCTCTCCTGCTACATCATAACGAATTTAGAGTTTCGAAGACAGAGCACAAATTTTGAACAGTTTTAATTAAGAAAAAAAAACCGTGCACGATTGACTTGTGGAATTAAATATTTGTAAAATCTCATTTTGTAATGAATTTTTCTCAAATACTTGGAGCGAACATTTTTTTGCAATTATTTACGCTGATGAATGTTCTTAAATAACGATACGAACTATCGATAGCACACAATTTATTCGAACAGATCACTACAGTTTCAAGCTTTAACGAAAGCATCGACAAGCACCGAACACCTCGTGCTTGACATTTCCATCATTCACATCTCAAATCCAAATTTTCAAGTATAATTTTCCTATATCGCAAGCAAACTAATATGCCGAAAACAGAATAATGCATTATTGATCGCCAAGGGGAATAAATAGACACGACAGCTGCACCCGGAATCTGAATTCGCTAAAGCAAATCAATGATTTAACCTATGATACCAATGATTAATTTACCCTGTAACGCAGCCTCGATGTCACAGGTCACGCCCTGTCAGAACGTACCCGTGCAGACGAGTCAGTATAATTTTCCAACATGTCAACAACGGCAAACCAACACTCAGCAGATGCAAACTACAGCATGCGGTCCATGCTCTGGAACTTCTCAAGGTACAAAGTCGATCGTACCAATCAAACATTAAATTACGCGATAATTTTACGTCGTAAATTGAATAAACATTAAATTAAGTAAAGTGTGTTTTATTAAAAATATATATAATTTCGTTATATTTAATTTAATAAATATTTTTGAAGTGATGTGCATCAAAAATATTAAATTTTAATTTTAGCCACATTACATTTATATCTATATTCATAATAACTTTATATAATCTGTTTGTTTGAAACATTAATTGAAAACGGCTGAGTGAATCTGTCTGAAAATTTAATGCAATAATAAATGCAGTGTATCCCTTTTTTATCATATTATTTATAATGTTCTTAAAACAACAATTAATTATTACTTTTGTTTGTTTACATTACATTAATTAAAAACGGAAGGCGACTGTTAATTTTTTACAAAATATTTTACTATCGTATTACAATAAGAACATCTGTTAAATGTTTGACGATTGTTTAGTGTAATCCCAATTTTTTTCTCTTTGTTCAAAGGACCCTGCACTCACGTTTATCAGCCGGACACTTACATAGTATCGCACCAGTGCGCGCCGGGTGCACCGCAACTAATAACGAATCCATGCCACCCCGTTTTTCAAAGCCCGTGTAACCCTCCGCGAATTTATCCCAGCTGCAGCCAGCTGCCGCAGAATATTTTGGAGCAGATTCGTGCGTGCGTTAGCAACACCGCGCCCATTTTTATCCTACCGAGCAGCTGTCAGCAATCGCCTCCGCAACAACAGCAACAGCCATCCGCGCCTACCGTGCCACAGGCGATGACGTCCTCGGCTCCGACAGCAGCAACGTATCCGCCGAACGCATTAACTTACCCCGCCGCTTATTACCCGCCACCACCCCCGCCGTTTTATCCTTATCCCATACCCATGCCGTTCGGCGACCCGTTTATTCGCGCCCGCGAGACCGCGCAGAATTGCGGATGCTATCGGAAGAGAGATACCGATCCGACAGATATCAGAAGCGTCGCGCGTGCCGTTTGTCGTTACGACGTCGAGCCGGAGGAACATTATTGCACGCCCACCACCGATGACACTATCTGCTCGAGGAGAAACTGTCCGTCGTCGCTGCATCTACAGGCACTGGCGTCTCAATTCCTGTCGATGCAGGGTATCATACCGTGCGCCGCCACGCGATTGGTATTGCGTAAAGTGCCCGGCTCGAATGTAACTACCACGATGGAGGATACGATGACAAGGGCGCAGAAAGCCATAAGCGTCCTGACGAAGGATCAACTTTTGTCGGAGTCGAGGAACGCCCAGCAAGTGAACGCGCTGATCAACCTGCACATGACAGCCAATCCGCCGCCCAACATTATCCCGATACTCACACTAATGCAGCTGAAGATGAATCTGTTGAAGGCGCAAGTTGAGGGTCTCGTCAATCAGAAATTAATGGAGATTCAGGGAGTTGGTGTGGAGGTATTGATAAAAAATGTCGAACTGAATACATTTACATCAAATCCTCTCATTTTCATACTTTTAAACCCTACGATTTTCGCTTTATTAATAAAAAATCCTTGGATATTCGGGATTTAATATATTTATGTCCAAGTCCTGTACTGTTTGTATATATTTTATTTTTATACTTTTATTTTCGAAGGTGGAGTCCGGTTTTATGTGCTTTGCGATTCCCACCTTATTAATATAAAATCGTGCGATATTCCGGATTTAATATATTTATATCCAATTTTATTCTACTTTCATACTTTTATTATTGAAGGTGGAGACCGAACTTATAGACCCGACGGTCCTCGCCTTAAAGTCCGATGCCGAGCTGCGAGACTTCCTGTCGGCGTTGCGGCAAAAGGAATGCGACGAGCGGGTGAACGTGAATTTCGCACCCTATCGTTCGCAACGCGCGATCGCCGAGACGCGGCTAAGCAACGTGCAAAACAAGATTCGTCAGGTGGAAGCCGAGTTCGATCGTAGACGATGTGCGATGCTACCGGCGCCGACGTTGTCGTCACGCGTCGTGCAGCAGTTTACCAGGCCGTGTTACTCGGCGAGATTCGAGGATCCCAGGAAATTGTATAGCACGTTGCCGCCGGACAGCTTCCGTTCGCCCGACCCGTTCACCTGCGTAAAACCACGAAGCCCCAAGAGGTTGTTGCTGAAGCCGCACACGAGTAAACCCGAAGCTACCACACAAGCTGGTGCCGCTCCACAATCCAGTACACGTCAGAATCCAACGTCCGATGTACCGAAAACCACAGGCGACGATGGTGCGGGTCGCGCAAAGCAGAATCCCGCGACCCCCGATCAGCAGCGTTCGACGGAAAATTGCACCTGCGATCGGACAACCTCGGAGGAAAGCGTCAGCGAGGCTAAAAAAAAACTTCGAGCGAGGATCATCGAGATAGACGCGACGAGTAACGTCGAGGCGCGGGAAGCGTCGTCCTTGGTAAAATTGATACCGAACGTCTGCGTGAGAATGAACACGGAGAAACGCAGAGCAGATGAGCGAAAATGTGACGAGCGAGACGAGACGCGGAGCCGGGAAATGCCGTGCGACATGAAATGTTGGATAGGCGAGGCGTACATCAACGTCGCCGACGACGTATCGGTGAAGACTTTAACGGAATCGGAGAGCGTCACGATTACACTTTGCGAGAAGATCGATGCACAGGACGTTTGTAAATCGCGAGGTGTGATTGAGATTCAAAGCCACGACCAGATAATGGATCGCCGGGAATTTGGAAGTTCGGCGAATTCGCGACAGTTTGAAAAACAGACAGATGCTGAAATCGCAATTTCGAGAAAAGATGAGGCAATTAAGGAATACGACATTGAGAGTAAAAGCTTGCAAGGTTCGGCAACGTCGAAGGTAGAGCAAGAAGAGATGAAAGCCACAACTGTTGCAGAAGTTGCGGACGATGATCCAATTTCGAGTGCGCAGGAAACGGAGCGGAAGTCACCGGACGGCAAATATATTTCATCGCTGGAGATTACATTAAAACCGAAGGAAGAAAGGCGCAAGGAAGAACAGAAAGATAAAAACGGTGTAATCTCATCATTATCCACGGATAAAACGAGGGAGCACGAAAGCGCGGATAAAGTACCAATAAGTAAAAGCGAGAAAAAAATAAGATTTCACATTGTTTCAATGATAAGAGACATCGTGTACGATAAAAATCTTGAATATCGAATGAAGCGAAAGATCGATAAGATAATAGCAACAAGTGGAACAAAAATAAATCTAACTACCAATCCGGATATTGAAAAATCAGATAAATACAGTTCGATAGAAAATATTCTAAGAAGTGCCATCGCGCACGATAATGCCGGAAAAGATCGTTCGGAGAATATGTTTCCAAAGAGAATGGATCTTTTAAAACTTGATCGTCAATGCCAGACCTTATTCGAAGCTATCGAAGAAGATAAACAAGCATCCGTCGCATTGCTAAGAGCGAATATATTTCCTCCATTTAAGAATCTACGTAAATATGTGAGAAGTAAGACGTCAATTTATATCAGATAAAAATTCCAATTTAAGATTCTAAAAGTTTCTTCTAAAGATTTTCTAGATTTAAAAATTTCAATTTCAGAAAAGAAAAAGAGAGAAACAAATAATGCCGAAATTATTTCACGTTTCTATTTTATAGTTTATATTTGCTTTCAACTAGATTGTGTTAGAATATAATTATAGTTGCATAATACCACGTAGAATATCAAATATAAAACAATTTAAATTTAAATCTTTTATTCAGATAATGAGAAAAACGGGGACGACGTAGGAATTTATCCAAGTCCGATAAGAAAAGCAGGAATTACGCCTGCAAAACGTTTATCCCGCTGCAACAATGTCACGGAAAATACCTTAAAAACAGCTTATAACGCACCGTATCATTCCAATCTAGAAGACGAAGAAAGCTTCGTTTCGGAAATATTTTCCATTATCAGTAGCCGCGTGGTTTCATTCCTCAAAAAAATAATTATGTTGAATAAAAGGTTATTATATCCAAATTCTAGCGCAATATTACGCGGAAGTTTAAATATCGATGCTTTCAGAAAAGATGCTCCGATACGCTATCATTCCGGACTGAATTCAAAAGATTACGATCCATCCGCTAGTATATTACACTATCCTCTTGGCTCGAATCAAGGAACTTCGAGAAGCAGCAAACACAATTTTCGCGATACGAGCTTATTACGAGTTTCCAAGGGAGAAGGATATGCCAGGATACGCGAAATAAGACATTCAATAATTGAGGACGGAGAAAACGGCACAAAATATTTATTGATCAATACATCGGATCACAATCGTGACTCGATATCGACGCGTAATTTGGGGCGCCCTTACGAAGTCCAGAAGAGCCTTTTAATACGTAGTCGACTGAAAAGTTCTTTAAATTCACAGGATCATCCGTATCCATTCTCCCTTTTGAAACGTACTGAAAGAAATGCGCACGAATCTCATCGAATAAAACATAACGAAAATACAGAAATGATCGCGGAAAGGAAAATACGCGAATTGAAGAGAAATAAAAAATTCTGGACATTAACGGCGGTTACAAAAGCAAGCAAAAATAACGGCAAACTATCAGAAATGAGGAAATGTGACGATGAATTCAAAGAACGAATTTCACATGAATATTCGTACGATGATATTACACATAATAACGTGTCTACCGTGGAAAAAAGTACGGTAATTCGTAATACTGCAGCCAGTAATGAACTCGTAATAAACGTTCATGATTATCTCGGATTGCAAACTGAAATAAATGCACGTATGCACGAAAACCGTAGCGCACATTTATTACTATCTAATAACTGATAAAAGTTTCATATGGCATACGAACGATCAATTCAAATTTATAAAAATATATATTTATAATTCTATCGTTGGGAGGCTAATTAAAAACACAACTACAAATATAGTGTAACTTCTTTCCTTTATTAATAACTTTTATCTTCTTTCGTCAATGATCTATTCTCGTCGCTATAGTTGTCTAATGAGAATCTTTAGAATTGAGGCATAGTAACAGTACGACGATAAATTTCAATGCCCTCGCAAAATCATTCCAGACTCTACAAAAGAGAGTTGCGAGAATGGAAAAAGTATTTGTCACATTGTCTCCCACGTACACTCGCCGAAATAACACATAATCATTCTGTTATAATGTGAACACATGCATATCAAGTATGGTTTAATTCCTTTGCGTGATTTTGCGATCTAATTTATCATTTTATGTATATATATTAGATTTCTTACACCCTAATCGAGCGATTATCAATAGAAAATAAACGGATTTAACACATTGGTTGACATAAGAAAACTAATATCGCAACAACGGAATCCCGTGTACATATCAAAATACACAAGCATAAGTAACAATGTCACATCACACTGTTCTCTATACATATAATGCTCTTCAATAAATAACAAGATAATGTTCCATCCTGGTTTAAAATGTCGAAGACAAAATGGATATAAAATTGGCATATTTTCTTACAAGAGTAATATAAAATTCATATTTGGAAGAACTCATGTTCGCAAATTGCAAATACTTACAAATATTGAACTTCGCAATAAAGAAGCAATTTAAGATATCAGTTAGAGCCATATTAATACGCATTATTAGTACGTGTACCTCAAGTACATATCAAAGATACAAACGGACCGTACGTTTAAGATAAATACGCTCTAAATTTCTTATAGAACTACGTCTAACTGCAGACTGAAGAGACACTTGCGGAAGAAAGATCGAACCTATTGTTGTGAAGTATTTATATTAATCAGTCGTGACTTTTTATAGTAATCTCTATTTCTATTATGATCGTTTCAAGGAACTCAGTGACCGCGTCAGTTTCCAAAGTTTAACAAATCGCATAATACAGGATCAATTTAATACGCAGTATTTCACGACTGTTACACAGATATATATAATATATTTAATGTTTTGATATATAATCAATTGAAAGTTGATTTTTTTTTTTTTTTTAATTATGCGACATATAAGAATTTAATATCTACAATTTTACAAACGTCGCGCTTTAATTCCTCTTAACGAATAAATAATATTTGATCTCCGTAGCAATTAGCTACTGTTTACCGAAATACGGCCGTCAAACAGTCACAATTAGTCCGTTATTGTTGGCAGAATCTTTTATGAATAATGAATGATAAATTAGAAGAAAAAATGATTTAGCAAATAATATCCTACTTGATATATAAGATCAATTATATAAATGAATGATAATTAGTTTTTGGCGTGGTGCAATTGTGTATAGACATTCGTTCATGTGTTAGTCTTAAATCTAAAAAAAAATATGGACATTTTCTTTTTTTGTGAAATCTCTCAACCAATATCAATTGTTTATGAAATATTATTTTTCAGTGGATAAATATATACAAAAATATTTACAGAGAGAGATACGTTTACACCACTAATGCAGTCGAATTTTTATGAGGCAACTTAAATAATAATGTGCGTTGTAATTCCAATAATTTAGTTAAACATTAATACTTCCTATGATAAATCTTTGATCAAAGAACTTAAACAACTAAACAAGTACTTTCAATCTAGAATTGGAACAAATCTTTTACATTTATAATAATACATTTGCGGACAAAATTAAAAAAAAGTTATATCAAAAATTATGATTTCAACAAAGAACGAAAAACTAATCAATTATCTAAAATTTAATGGACGAGATGTGAATAACACATAATGCAACTATGTTATAACCACCTAAATTTAATACAATGTATATGTACGTGTTTTTACGCTGTAACTTGAATCACCTAAAAAAACTGATAATCGCAAAACCATTTTTACCATCGCCATAATAAACTTCAAAAGATCTGACGATGAAAAGTTAAGTAGGCGATTATGTCAGATTATTCATCTTTAAATCTGTTGGTTTTATCCCGAATATATCTGGATTTCATCATGTGCAAGTTGAATTTCTTGGTCGAGAACGTCAACTTGGACAAAGGCACGATTGACCATAGGTAATGCTTGTGCAAAATATTACTATATAAAAATGAAAACTCCCCATTTTGAAGAACTAAAGTAACAATAAATATAAGCAAATAGAATTTTTTGTATACAATATACAATCAAGATCCTGTTTGTTTTCTTCTTTTCTAATAAAAATATTCAGAATCACTAATCTTTTTTTAAACGAGAAATCATCCGGGCGCACTAGTTCTCGCTAAGTTCATTAAACTGTAATTCATTAAGTTCTCTCTTAATTCACGGCTTTGGTGTACTCAGCTCTCAACTGGCCGAGTGTTACTTTTATATCGTGAAAACTCGGTCTATTTTCTGGCTGTAGATCCCATGCCTGCCAAAAAAGAAACATGATTCAATAAAATAATATGGTAATATTATTTATATAACGTAACAGATAAAAATATAATATACATGTCTCATAATATCATAAACTTCCGCAGGACATCCATCTGGTGGTTCCATCTTATATCCTTTTTCTACACACTTTACAACGTCGGCTAAAGGCTGCAATTAGTATAATAATATGAGCTAAATATACTATATGTCATCATGTAAAAATTCAATATAGTATCGCTTACAATTCGTGGATACGGCACGCGACCAAAGGAATAGATTTCCCAGAGGAGGATTCCAAAACTCCACATATCAGACTTATTTGAAAACTTCTGAAAACAGCAATGTGATACATAATTATATTAATATATCCTTGATGTGCTCGTAATCACAGGTTATCATACACTTACGTTCTGTTTTAGAGCCTCAGGTGCAGTCCATTTGATTGGCAGCTTTCCACCGTCGAGAGAAAAATTTTCGTCTCGCGCCAGGCCGAAATCGGATACTTTGGCGGAATTGTCTTCCGCGACGAGAACATTTCTCGCTGCTAAGTCTCGATGCACAACGTGTCTCGATTCCAGGTAAGCCATACCGGCACATGTATCGCTACAATAATATTAAATGTATAGATCAGTGAAATATTACAAATGGATACTTTAAGATCAGACGAACAAACTTTAGTTTTGTTTACGTACTATGCAAAGTTGATTTGATCTTTTTTCGAAACATGTAATCTTCCTCTAGATCGCAAATAATCTACCAGAGACCCCTTGCTCATATATTCCGTAACCAGGTACATGTGTTGATTATTAAAAACGAGACCGAGTAATTTAACCAGATTGTCATGAATCAACGAGGTCATTAAGCTCGCCTCCGCTAGAAACCTCTGCGCCGCCTCGCTGTTATCTTTCAGCATTTTCACCGCAACTCTCTCTCCTCGATAAACGCCTAACAGTACGTCTCCGAACTCTCCCTTGCCAATACACTCTCTTAATTCTAACTCGTGTGTCTGAATCACCCAGCCGGCTTCCACGAACGCCTTCGGGTCCACGCAGAAATCTTGCTTCCCTTGTTTCGGCAAGGATTTCGTCAGCTGCGTGCACAAACCATCCGCGTCCTGTTCGTAATGCTCGACTAGGAGCGCCAGATTCTCGAAAAACTCTTCGTCGTCGATCGTTAATTGATTGTTTTTATATTTCACCCTGTAGTGCTGTACGCGCCCTTGATAGCACACGCAGAGTGTGTAGTCTCCGGGGAAATTTGTCGATTCTCGAACGAGGAACAAACCATCTTCTCGCGGCCGCAACAACCTTTCCGCCGTTTCTCTTGATATCTTTCCATGAAACCATCTATGCAGAAGAGAATACAATTTTGATAAGTTATTACATTTTTTTTTTCAGGTTTTCGCAAGAATAGAATCGGCAGGCCTCAGCAGACCTCGCAAATCGTTGCGTTTGAATTATTGAATTAAATCAATAATAATACATACGGCATGGCGTTCAACTTCACTTCGTGCCGCGGATTGACCGGCAACGCGGTAGTGTTGGCGCCCGGATTAATAACATTCGAGGTAAGGATAACCGGCGAGGACGCGGTATTCATGTGCGTCGTGATATTCGAGGCGGTGACATTCGAATGCGTGGTCATCGTCGGCGACACTGGATGGGACGGAATGTTGCCTGCAGTTAAGTTGGAAGGAACGCTGTGCTGCTGCTGCTGCTGCTGAATGCTGTTTTGTATGAGAGGATGGGACGTTACGTTCGAAGGAATAGTGTGATGATTTTGATTGCCGTCGAGCTTTGCTTGCCGCGCTGGCGCTGACACATTCGGGTATCCGCCACCCGCATTATGATACGTTGGCATGGCAGCTGCCGCACAGTAGGCTCTATCAACCTGCAATGATGAATGAAGTACATTCATGAGCGGGCGTCATTTATCAATACGCATCATTAAGTAAGACGCTTTAGGGATGTTCCATCCGTTCGTACATTCGCGACTCAGCGCAGAAGTAATGTCGAACAAAATAAGAATATGGAATGGTAGATTTTTTTCAGATACCAAAGTGATTAATTTAAAAAAAATATATATATATTTTTTTAATGCAATTTCTGCAGATCATAAAAAAAGAAATATAATTTTTTTAATTTTAATAGAGATTCTGTCCCGAAGCCTCCAGGAATTTATACAGACTACAAATAATATTAATGTCCTTAAAATGCGTACAATAATTCGTGTATGTACTCATGTTATTTTGTGACAACTCTTTCCGTCTTTTACGGTCAAGAATATAATGAGCAATCGTCCTCCTACCTTCTTCTGCATTGAGGCGTTCATCAATTAGCTTATTAAGTAGTTACGTACTCGATAGATCTTTTCAATTTTTACTCGGCCACCTCGAGAAGTCGCGAGTTAAAGTACTCTTAGCAAGTGAAGCCACTTTTACACGGGAGACTTTTCCGATAAAAGAAAAAAAAAGAGTCGCCGCGACAAGTACGCGAAGTACGACAAGTGCGGAAACACAGAGGTGATCGGCAATGTTTACAGTCGCGGCGACTTAATTATTCCGGACGCAAATGTAACGTGAATCCGCGAGGAAGTGATAATTAATAAAACTCGTTAGGCAAATTGAGCCCGATACATATTCAACCGACATACGTATCCGCCAGACCGCGCCGAGTTTTAATATACAATAGTTAGTCTAAGTGCCTATTGTTTCAAGGCGTACACACTATTGCAATGCTCATCCGCCGCATTACGATGTGCTACACGACCGTACATGGGACGTGTATGATAGGTGAGTCACACACCAGCCGCGTATTTTCGCAACGATTGTAATACGAATAAGCATGCTAGTAGGCCTATAATTATCGGAACCTGAGTAAGCGGCATAATTTCCACACATTTCCGATAAGAATTTATTACCGCATAAATCATCGCTTCTTTCTCTGTCTCTCAACTATTTCATCCGTTATCTAAGACGAGTCAACTCACCCTTTGCAAATTCCTCTGCAATTGGCACAATGAGTTAATGCAATTGCAAAAATTCATACATTATTTCTATTAAAAATAAATTAAATTTGCATTTTCTGAGGCCAAAATTTATCCTATTGTGTATTCAAGAATAGAATTAATTTGCCGAAACAATGCGAAAGACGCAGAGAAATCTCTTTAGTTCGGATAAATGAAACGCAGGAAGCGCTACGTGACGCAAAAAATAGCTGTTAAAGAAAATGCTCCTTTCATGGATTCCCGGCAGCGATTTTCCTACGTTATCCGTATCGCGATCAAGCGGGGCGAGCAAGAGAAATAAATCCATCGCACTGGCAAATATTGAATAATTCAACTGCGAGTCTATCCTTCGGCGCCGGCGAGAGAGAAAGAAAGAGAAACAATCGAGCGAGTTATGTCACGCGAAAACGTATAGTTGCAACGGAACATAATAATATGCGAATTGCTCCGTTATGTAAGCCCGGATAGTCGCATTTCTGTCATGTGCTGCCCGGATTTCAAGACAGGCAGATAAGCGACCGACCAGATGCGCCGAGTAGTAATACGAGATGTAGGAAAGAATGTCAGATGAGACACTTCATACTAGAAAAAAAAAAAAAAAATACCAAACTTGCAACAGATGGCTTCGCGTTTGGCTGTTACATTCGAAACAAAAAAAATGTAACAAACGCGCGAGTTAAACATTCAATTTTATGGGTCAGAGATATAAATAAAATCACCCGCGTCTCTACGTTAAAGCGAAATTTTCGTTCAGGCAGAAAACAGTATCACGCCTGTCAGACGCGAGGCGCCTTGAATATCAATATCGAATCTGAATGCGAGGTGCGTACGTGTAATACACGTTCCATCGCGCTTGTCAGCTGACCCGATTGTGCGGTCGCATAGATTTCAGGCTAATGAAATTTATTATCGGCTGCACGCGACGTTAATTCCTACCGGTGTGTTGTTACACGTGTAAAGAAAAAAAAGGCACTTTGCAAAATTGTTCTATCGCATGCGGCGAGGTAATTAAAATAGTTACGTGCCATAAATTTGCAACCGTTTATGACGCAAACTATCTATGCCTCTAATATCCGTGATTTAGACAAAATGCACAACTTCCGAAACCGGAATGCTACATACGCGCTAATCACGGAATTTTGATAAGTAAAACATATCGTCAACTCGACAAAGTATTCACCGACAGGCAGTGATACAAACTTTAACTGAAAATTTTCATGCAAATAAGAGTTCAGCGCCACACGTATTGGTATGATAATTAATTCACACTTCATTGATTCGAAGTCTTAAAGAACATCAAATTGATATGATAAACTCTTGAATGACGCGCAATAAATGGATTATCTCTATTATTTTCAGAAAAATGTTTGTAACTTTTATCATAAGATCGATACATCGCTGTCATTTGTGTAGCAACGCGACTTCTATCTATTCTACATTTCAACAAACATGTTTATCAGATACGCGAAGACGCAAGGTAAGCCGAATTCTGCAAGGCAAATATTATTGCTCGCGCAGCTATTTTCGTGAGACGAAGGAAAGAAACTCAAGAAAGCTTCGTACACGCGATGTTCAATGAGATGCTTGTGAAATATCTCTGGTCGAGAGAGTATTAGAAGCGCGCGATGCGTCTATGTTAATTTTAGCAGAATACGACAGGCACGATAATTATGCGGCTCGTATGCAGATTTCGAGGCCGACTCAGAAGTTTCTGTTTACATCGGTGTTTTTTCGAACTCCCGCTTGTGACTCACTCTCGGTGCGCCTTCGATACGAACCGCAGACCACAGTCCGTACTGCGTTTTATCAAAAGCGACGTGGTTACATTCGCACGTAGAAAATCCCAAAAATATCAGTAAAAAAAAATGTAACATCCGCGATGCGATTGTGGTTCGTGTAGACATAACTGTAAGCTCTCAAAGCTGAACAATAATTAAAATAACCGCAATGGCTTTCAACAAAAGAATATTCGGTGAATGAAGTATATTTTTATAAAAAAGAAAAAAGGAATATCTCAATGTTAAAATATCCTTTCAAAAATTACAATTTTCTGCATCTTCTTAAACTTTTTGTCGAAAGTAATAAAGTAAAATCCTGCAATACGTTAAAAAATGCTTAATGTCTACAAATCATCGTCATTATGAGATCATTTTTTATTAAACTATATAAACAAAAATAAAGTTAAATTCAAGAAATTAGTATGCATAAAATATCTGTCTAAAATATATTCTTCTAAATTTTGGAAGATTTTCCCTATTTTCTTAGAATTTCTATTACATTCAATGAAATGCTGCGAGCGTGCTACACGCAAGAAAACTTACATGCCTGAGTTGCGAGCAAAAATGCAATTATTCTAACGAGGCCGAACGTTTTCTACTTGTCAAATTACGTACGTATATATTGAACTGGACAAAAAAAATTACTACACGACCAAGAATCTGTAAGATTACGTACAAGGCGAGTGCAACGAGAGTCGCGATCGTTGCTTTCGCGATTTATGCGAGGCTCGTGCCCACTCGCATGCGCGCCGGCCGGCACGCACCGCGGTCCTATTAATATCTTTCGCGGGAGAGCGTAAAAGGGCGCAAATGCGAAAAACACGGAGGGAGGCGAGCAGGCGGGCAAGCAGGCGGCGGAGGAGATGCGAGCAGGCGCGTGCAACAGATTCGCGCCCGGCGAATGCGCTCGTTGTGTTGCGCGCGCTCTTTAACAGTACACGTTACTGTACCGTGACCCACCACCGTTTTCCATCTGACGTTACGCCGCACGCGGCTCGCCGGGAGACAAACCTTCAACTCTCTTCCTTTCGCGCGGAGCGTTTCCTCCTGGCGCACGAGAACTTCCGAATGCGCGACGCGCGAGATGAATCGCGGGCCGCGAAAGACGCCTCCGGGCGTCTCTGGTCGCGCTGACAGTCCGAATTAGTTTGCTGATACACAAACGGGACCATGAAGACCCATGGTGTGAATTTCATTACTCATTTCTGTGTCACTGCAACACGAAAAATATGTAGAATCCCGCGCGCGTCCTTTCGTACAAATGCTTGCGACAGTTTTTAGCAGTCTTTTAATTAAATAACAACGACAAAGACCAAATCACAAAGGACGTTCACTCAACCACAAAAAAGATTACTTTATCATTCTTGAGGTTTCCAACTTTAGATTGGCTATGTAATCAGTTATTTGATGTAGTTAATTATATTTTCATAAAGTAACCATTGCATTATTAATTTAAGCGCGTTTTCGAAATAGATATAATATGTAAAATTCAATGAATCAGCAACCTTACTCGAATAAACTGTTTTACAGATCAAGATTTTACATTTGCCCGAAAAAAAAGGAGTATTATTACACCTCTCGGTTTTAAATTTCTATCTCATATTCCCATCTCTTCTATTTTATCTTTATTTTTCGCATCCCATTTTCATGTTTCATTCATATCCCGGTTCTTTGCGATGTCAGCGCAAGCGAAGCGAGCTGTACGGAATAACGTCGACGTAGATCGTATCGTGGAATGAGTGAAATGCGAACTGAAGCAACGCTATTACTGTATAGCGGGATCAAACACCCGGCGCTTGACACTCGTATAAAAGCAGAAGTCGTATGAAGTCAATACAAAAAAGTTAGCGCTTATTTCTCGAATCTCATTAACGTACTTATTCGTGCTTCGTGAGGATAAAACGCTTGCCGTGAGGATAAACAGACTTGCGAATATCGTATTATAAGACGAAATTTATAGTTTCGGACGTTTATGCATCGCAGCGCTAATCCCTTTACATCGTCTTGTTTAAACGTGGAGATTAATTCGCGGTAGTGTGGAAATTACGCTAATATACATAGTATAAAATATCTCAGAAGCATACCTATGCTTTGCATCGAGTATCCATCTTCCGGAAATATTACTTCTCTGAAACAAAAAGGGAAAGCATCATCAGCTATAAAACTTCCATCATTTTTATCTTCATATCTATATACATTATTTCTATATGCTTAATATCTACATACTTCTATATATTAATTTTATACTAATTTTTAAACATTATATCTTCGACAATATATGGAAATAATTAAACAATTGTGAACTATTATGAGCAGAATAACGCAATTAAAACGACAAATAATGAGAGCTGATATAACAAAAGAAAGAAACATTTATTATAATAAAACACATATCGTAACAAAAGGCAAAAATATAGAAGAGTCGTGTTTTTCTGTTCTTGCTTAAAATATTTTGCCCGCGTAATGATCGAAGCTATTTTTCACGGATATTTTTGGAAATGCAATTCGTGGCAATCGGGCGCAAGGTCGCGCGTTCTCGCGATATCTTCTTCAGGCCAGATTAATTATGTAAGAAATACACGGCAAAATCGCACGAATTCGACCGCGATTCGGCAGGAAAGGAACGTGGAAAAAGTACGAGACTGGGAAGGAAGAGCGTTCCATTTGCGGCGCGCAATTAAGCGCCGCGCGCGCGACTACGTTATTCATCGCATCGCCCGTTAACTGTATAATTAGCCAATTGCTAATTGCCCGGGTTCGCATGAGCTCCGGCGACCAGGGCCAGTCCGGCTTCAAGGCGCATTAATCACTCTTCGTCGTTACCAATCGTCTAATCTTCTTTTTCCTAATTCGAACTCTAAACACATATTTGCAAAAATAGATTTTAAGTTCACCGATATTTAAAAAGCATCACTATAAACTATTTAAAAATTATATCTCATATTTTGGTATATATCTTTTTCTCATTTTAATTATACCGAGGAACTTTCATTTTGAATGCAAACAAAGATGATGAAGTAAAACTAAGTTTTCGTTCCAGCTGAACATAAAGAATGCAAATATTTACTTAAAACACTCTTGATATAAGCTAAATGTGGGAAGATGAGAAAAGTTTGATAAAGACAATATTTGTACAATAATAATAAGACTGTTAGCAGTGCAGCAAGTAGTTCAAATTATGTTTAATTCAGCACATTGTTAAGGACTCAATTGCCGCTGGTTCATAATATTTCCTGTTGATGATCTCAACTACCGACAATGTAATTTAAAATATTTAAATGCTAAATGATACAGCAATTATTTTAATCTTTAACATTTTCAGAAATCACTCTCGATAACATAATCAAAGATTAAATCAAATAATGTCAAAAAAAAGGACTCGTGAAATGACAATCTCATTCGTACTGGCACATCTCTCATCACATGTTTGCATATGATAAATCAGAGCTTAATGTAATCAACGACATATGACCGTAGTGATTGAGAAAACAGATGCAAGTCCACGTCCAAGTCAGTCAGCGTTCGCATCGCAGTCGATTCTGTCATTTAAATGCCGCCCACTGAAAGCGACAGGAAAAAAATCATGTCGAATATAACCAAACTCGAGTGAGCGAGCGCGCGGATCTCAAGGCAGCGGAACATCGCAAATTGTCGACACTAATTGACGATGGGTGTCTTGAAGTAACGTAAACATGTCGACGACGTTTTCGTACGCGTGCGGACGTACATACATACGTGCAATGCGGTAATACACACCTAAATGCGTCCACGGCGAGATGAATCGTGCAGGCGGAACGCGCCGTACTCACTTCTTCGACCAAGTAATCAATCTGATTTCCACGCAAATAAGACTAACAGTCGCGAGGCACACTGCGGCAATCATGTACGTTTACACATGGAAGTATTCATGGAAAACTACGCGACGTGATCGCGAACGCAAACACCTTGCGAGAAACGTCACTCGTTCAATCGAGTCGGGCAGCCATTTTACTAACCTGAGCCACGACCTGAGTGAAGAGAGCACTTTGACTCGCGCACGAAACTCGAAGCTTGAAATTCGCCGTGCATTGACGGTGCTGCCAATGGTCAGATTACAAAGAATTCCTAAAATGTCCCTTGTCGAATAACCAATCGGCATCTTTAGCGAATCGATTTTGCTATAATTTGTGATGTCACCTTGATTTACAATTAATACAATAATAAATAAAGGAAGCAAAAATATGTAATAATTTGTTATATTTATTTGTATTGTTTTATTATTATTAAGATGCTTTTGTTAAGCATTATCTTTTTTATAATAGAAATATATTGTCTTTATCTCATCTTTAAAGGCACGTTTGCATGAAACGGTTTTCCACCAAATTGTGTACAAGATGATTTAAGGTTAAATATACCTAATACGTTATTAAGCAAGATTTTCGTAGAATAATTAGTAAACATGCAAACTTGTATATAATGAGTGCATTTCTTAACAAGTAATATTAACTGCTGGCATTTAATTTAAAACAACTTGGAGTATAGTTGGAGCTATACATTTTTTTTAAACTTTAGCAACGGAGACGGATTTAACCTCTTTCAATTTAGGTGATTCGTGTTTGAAAATTTAATTGTAATTTCCTGATTTCCTTCAATATCCATATGGTGATCATTCTCGTTGACAGCACGAAGTATTTATAATTGTTATAAGATCTTCTGATTTTATTGTGATACAATGGCACCGCAGTTGCAAATTCTGTCAAACATCCTGCAGGTATAGACAATAATTATTGCCATATCAATAAGACTCACATTATTAGATAAAAACTCTTTATGTTTTCAACGACTTTTTTGTATTATTTGTTGATTCATATGTAATTTTTTTATGATTCTTTTATCCTAAACTGATTTTCTTGAAATAATGTTATATCTCTATATGTTTAAGAAGAATTAATTTTTATTAACCAATATATTTTCTTTCAGCGACTAGAAAATATGGAAACCACAGCAACTGGCTATCTTTATGGTATTATGTACAATGATACACTCATAGTTCTGACATTCAGTATAAATACATGTGATGAGAATGAGAGCACAATCGATTGTACAGAATTGCAATTGAATCTACCTGCAGATATATATTTCTGCGGTATATTACAGATTGGTGAATGCAAAGAAGAAATAAATCCTGATGTTTTTAAGGTAATTATATAAAGATATCACTTGTGTTGAATTTCTTATTTGCTTTTAATAATAATTAAAATTAATATAAACAAAATATTTTAATTTATTTGCTTTTTTATTGTGAGAAGAATATAAAATAATACAAATATTTAAGAATTAATCAGTGAAATAATGTTTACATTTGTTTGTTTAGGATATTGATATTACAGATAATCCATTGCTTTTAAAATATTCACGCAATACATCAGATATACAAGCGTACTTTTATGTGCATCAGAAATTAGAAGCTGTCAATAATCTCAGTATTATTAGCGAAGATGATCTTTCTCGACAATTTGTGTACATTAGATTGCAAGCAACTTTACCATTGATTATCCAGGATGAGAATATATCTGAAGCATTACAAGAATCAAGAAAAAATGTAAGAATTTCTTTTAACATTTGTCTCAATTATTAAATGATTATATAAAAGTATACATTATATACATTGTACAATTTTGCATTATTACAGATTGCATCTGGGAAAATAGGAATACATTTTCCTTCAAACAATGCATACCTCTTCAGAACGGATGATAATTTAAAAGAGACACTATTGAAAGATTTTTTACCTATATCGAAAGACTATGAGAAATCTTCAACTGGATTAAATAATATAAATTTTATTACTGGAGCTGTGGTATGTTTTTAATTTAAATTGTATATAAAATATTGCAAATGAAATACTAAATTATTTTACATACATATTTTATATATTTTTTAATTTTTAGGATATTATACATGCAAATTTGTTATTGAAAATATCTGGTGAAAAAAATTCTGAGGAGTCTATTAAATATGCTCCTGTCTTACAACATGTCAGAAGTAAGTGCTTTAAACAACTTGTGATTTGCCATAACATAGTAATTATGCAAATATTATAAATATTTTATATATTAACACATATTTTTAAGTAATGAGTACTTATGTATTATAGGATCCTTTGATAGTTTAGAATGCAATTTATATATTGATGCATTGTCACTGGTGAATCTAAATGTCAGATCAACTGAGTTGCATGCAATTCTAGTAGAATCCATTTGTCGAAATATTAAATTAATTGAAATGCAACATGAAAGCCAGCCTGAAGATATAAAACTATCTGCAAAATTAGCAGAAGTCATGCATTTTAAACCTCAAAGCTGTGGACATTTATTTACAATAGCATATCCCGGCAATTCTACGAATGAAAACACAAGTAAGATTTTTCATACTTATTACTAGTAATAAATTCCATCATTATCATTTCTTACATCATTTATAGTATCTCACACTCAACATTTCCAAATTTTTAATCATAGTAATGTATGTATCATCTATTTGCTTTTATACAGACCAGTCGTATAATTTCAGTGGAATATCGTAAGGCTTTACACAACGCTTTAGCATTAAATTTGACTAAACCGTATTTTCGATGTGGAAATGCTATAAAATTTAACACGCAGGCAAATGAAGTACTTATAAATCCTCATCAGGCTCTCCTAAATAAAAGTATGTATTTACACGTTAAAATTTTTTATCATAAAATCACTTTGAGATATATTTATTTGAACATTTTTCATTTATTAGACATCACAGGAAAGCTTAGTATTGTGAATGGTTTGTATTCATATCATCACTACATGCAAGATAACTTTGATGATAATGGTTGGGGATGTGCCTATAGATCTCTCCAAACCATCGTTTCCTGGTACAGGTAATAAAATGCCAGACAATAGTTATGGATAGTGAAGTATTACGCTTTCTCTCTTTGCATATACATATTAATCTAAATTGCAATCTGTTATAGGTTACAAGGTTATACTGAAATACCAATACCTTCTCATCTCAAAATACAGCAATGCTTAGTTGACATAGGCGATAAACCTTCTTCCTTCATTGGCAGTAAACAATGGATTGGTTCAACTGAAGTAAGTTTTGTGCTGCAGACTCTCCTAAATGTAGATATAAAGATACTTCGTGCATCAAGCGGAGAGGAAATGTCCTCTCTAATTTCGCAACTTGCAAATCATTTTGATACACATGGCACGCCTGTCATGATTGGTAAGTTTTAAGCATTTCTTTTTTCATATTGTGCAAATAATTATAGGGTTAAATATATTGTACAAAAATACCTTTTTTTATATATTTTTTTGGTATCTTGCAGGCGGAGGAGTATTAGCTCACACAATTTTAGGAGTTAGTTATGATGAACATTCTGAAGAGGGAAAATTCTTAATTTTAGATCCACACTACACAGGTACAGACCACTTGTCTATTATAATAAGTAAAGGATGGTGTGGATGGAAAACAAAAGACTTTTGGAAAAAGAATGCATTTTATAATATGTGCCTTCCACAAAAACCTATAACTTTCTGATATTAAATATATTGCATTGTACATAACTTGATTTTTTAAATGTAATTAAATTAAAATTCTCTTCTGAGTGATCACATATACGCACATTTGTGTACAGAAATGATTTTCACAACATATTGTAAACTTATCATATATGGAAAGCATTACATCACTTATGTGATGTTCCCAACAATGAAATAAAAACAATGAATGTACGCTTCTTTTTCCAAGTTGTTGAATTAGAAAAACAAGAATAAATTTCTGTAGGATTTATTATTGAAAAATGGTACTTGTTATTTTTAATTTATAATTTTATTATATATTCTCACAAATATTAATTTACAAATATGAAATAAGACTCAAATAAGACTTATTTCTGATAATCTTACAATAGTTTTATGCTATTATTGATATATTTAATTCATTGTAATTTCAATAACAAAATAGTATACTTTAACAGTATACGAAGTTTCACTTTCCTAAAGAGTTTTGCAATAACTGTGCATAACGATTGGTAATAAACAGAGAAACATCTATAAACCTGTTGACACAATTAGTTATGCAGGTTTCTGTGCGGCCATCCAATTTACTTCCAGGTTTATCGACACATTTATCCCAACAAAAGTCATTAAACTCATGTATCTAAACAAATTTAAGAATTTTATTTTGGTAATAATAAGCAAAATTTATTATTGCATCATGTAAAATAATGTTTAAATAATTAAGTAATGCTCTATTAATTTAAACACGATTTAGCAAGGTCTAAAAATTTATTTCTTTTATTCTAAAAAATTACTTATGCATTAACAATTTACCTGTGCATTAAATTCTGCTTTTTGCTTTTCTACCATCAAAAGCTCTGCTAATTCAGGATCAATCCCTTTATTATTATCATTGTTTGAAAAAGAGCTACTGCTGTCAAATAAGTCTGACATATCTGAAAATTGTAGAGATCAAACTGATTTGATAAAATATTCTGTGTAAAAATACAAGTTTTTGCACGTGGTACTCGATGATTAATCAACTATAAACTCAATGACGATGATTTTACATGCTACAAGAATGAAGTTAGGTTAGGTTGTAGAACGTGTTAGGTTGGAAGAGTTGGAATAAACTTAAAAAGCACCAATCCCAGCGCCAATTACATCATAATCATGTAATCACATTTACAATACGTGAAATGTAAACGCACTCTAACATGAGAAACGTAGGGAATATTGTGCCTGTCAAGATGGTAACGCTGCTTAATTTATAAATTATGCAATCTAACCTGTACGAGTTCTTTCTCCAGTTTCTTAGTTGTGTGCAGCTGTGTGCTTTTGAGTATGACTTTTCATCCTTCGTGATGTATGTATAAACTGTAGATACTTGCAGCCATAAAATTAATTTTATAAATACCTGTAAATCGTTTATTATCAAGTAATATTTATTTATTGTCACGTAATATTTGTTTATTATCAAGTAATATTTGTATGCATCTGGAAACCGTGATTTCTAAGTATACATCTACCATGCTGAAGATCAAGTATACAATTTTAACTAACATCGCAGAATTCCAGCTAGTAACAGGTTCAATCTCTCAATGTTGTTCCTGTCTAGTTCTGGAGTTTCAATAATGCGATGGAATTCTCTCAGCTGTCTACAAAATCTGATCAGATAACAGCTCATTTGTATGATATATTGTCATGGATATGTAATAGGCCCCAAACTGCTAACACTAATGCAAATGTCCAATTTTCATTGCCATTTTGTGTGGTGTCAAATTGATTGGACTTTGGGCTCATTGGTGGAAGTGGTGTGGCCATACAACGCGCTTAGTATGTATTAAACCATGGATTGTTTTGTATAAACTTTGGATTTAAGTTTGCTGGATATTGTTTGTTATTATTAACTATATACTATTAATTTGCATATAATGTATCATTACAATCTATATATAGATGTATAGGTGACTGTAAAAAAAATGAATGTAACCAGAGCTCAGATATTCAGATTTTATAAATCAAAAAGTTTTGTTTACAAGATAAATAATAATTAGATAGAGAATTTTAATATATTGTTATTTGTACAGCCAACTAGTTTTGTCACCTAAGCATCTGAGCTCTTCAATCACATTTTATAGTATTTTAACAGATACTTTACACGCAATGGAAACCAACACGGAAGAAACAACTATGGAAGTTGAAAGCAATACTAAAGCAGAAAATAATAAACATACTCAAAATTGGAATACTTTGGATTGGCAAGCGAATCCTAATTTACAAGACAAGAAAAAGTGGGAGACTATACGTATTAAATCTGAATTAGATATTAAAATATCACCTAGTCGCACTGGTACACCCGACGACAACCATTCCAGTGATATGATGGATGAAGAAAATTCATGTGACGATAATAAAGACCCTTTAAAAAATGTTTTACACAATGGTTCATATCAGGGAACTTCAAAATACAATGTAGGTGCAAATGCCACTTCGGATGATTTACGACAATTTGACGTGCTGGATGACTTGGATCGCCATCCGGAACAGAATGAAGATTCCGAAGGAGATTCAAATTCAGATGAGAGTATGGACTCGGATGTGCCAGATGAAGAAATTGAAGCGATGCTAGAAGAAGGTATATTCTAATGCTATAAATCTGAAACAATTTTCATACAAAGGATGATTAACACAATGATTATCTAATAAAACTTTTAAAAAACTTTTATTTTATCAATAACTGCTAGATACATAATTTATTTTTTACTGCTAGATATTTAATATAATATTAATACAGCATTAACACATTATCTACTTACTTCATATTACATGTATTTTATTATATTGATTCTATATATAAAAATATTTATTTATTAAAATTGTTAATCTTGCAAGTAAAACAATTTTATTGTCAGAATATAGCTGTTATAATGAGAGAGTAAAGAAAGAAATGTATATATGTATATCATTTTACATTAAGCATATTAAATACAAACTATATTGGTTATCTAGTATATTGTTAATCAGAATTATTAACTTTGTGTTTTCAAAATAAGCTTAAGTATTTATTGCATCAAGGAGATTAAAATTATTTGGTTTTTCATCCTTTTTATATAGTTTACAAAGTTACTTAGTACTAGTTTTAATGAAGTGTTGTGTACTAGGTCTACCGGAGCAGTTTAAAGGAAAGAGAAAAGACAAAAAGGATTACTTACCTTATGAAGAAAAGGAGAAACTTGTTTTAGACGGTATGTAAATAATATTACATAAAATTTCATTTAAATTTAAATTTTTATATCTGTTCAGCAATAAATTGTACAATTATTTTAAATAATAATAAAGAAGACAATCAGAATCAGAATTATCAGTGTAATATATTAATTAATAATAGTTTATAAAAATTATTATTTATCAATATATAAAAATAACTTTACATATTGATTAATAACCATTTATAGTTCTTGTACTTCATCTATCGTGCTTCTGATTCTTATTGCCTTTATCATTATTTGTCTTTGTAGAACTATATTACAAGATAATAATTTTATTTTTAGAGATTGGGCACAATCATTTTGATGTTCTTCCTGAGGGCTGGGTACAAGTGACACACAATAGTGGAATGCCGTTATATCTTCATAAACAAAGCAGAGTTTGTACATTAGCAAAGCCGTATTTCCTTGGACCAGGAAGCGTTAGAAAACACGAAGTTCCTGTAAGTGCCATACCTTGCCTGCAGTACAAAAGAGCATTAAGAGAAGAGGAAGAGGAGCGAAAGAAAGAGATGGAACGTCCAGTGAACACTGAAGCTTGTAATCTTCCTAGTGCAAAAATTGAAACTATACAAGAGAATCGCGCAGCACAGTCGTTAGATAGCGGACAATTAAGAAACTATTGTCAGTCTTTATTTCGTTTCAAAGCTATTAAAGTAATGAGATTTCAGTAAGTATCAAAGACGAGGTGATTGCTTTATCGGAAAACTCGTCTTACATTGATCCATTCTTCCATTGCAGATCCTGGTCAGCGCGTCGGAAGTATACGAAAAATAAAAAGCATCGTAAACAGGTTGAGCGTCCAACTCTACCAGACGGCACAAAATTAATAACTTTCCCTGTTGGTAGTTCTGGTGCAAGTGGCAGCGGAAGTACCGCCGGAGATGATAATGGACAGAGACCTGCAAAACACTGGATAATGAATCCGTCGGGCAAAAGTTATGTTTGCATTCTTCATGAATATGTGCAGCACGCGCTGAAGAAACAGCCAACGTATAAATTTAAAGAACTAGGTACAATTATTTTTTGACAGTGCATAAGATTTGTCGTGTTATATGTTTAATATCCATCGATATCGTGTTAAACTTATTTTCGTCATCAATTAATTTATTTGCAGAAAACGCAGCGACGCCGTATTCCGCGGTAGTTTGTATCAACGATATGGAATATGGAAGCGGATTTGGCAGGAGTAAGAAGCAAGCAAAGGCCAATGCAGCCCGAAAAACCCTCGAAATTTTAATTCCACAAATGAAAGATAAGATTTCCGGTGACAACAGCGGAGATAACAGTTCGAATAATGCCAGTCGTACGATAAAAGCATCCAGAGGGAATTCCGATGCGGATCTTTCGTTCTTCGATGAAATATCCATCACGGATCCGCGTGTTGCAGAATTCTGTGCAAAAACTACAGAGCCTTCTCCACACGCTATCTTAATAACTTGTCTTCAAAGAAATTATGGTTTAGGAGACATGCATATTAATTATTCGGTAAATACACTGAAGCATCAACGAAATGAATTTACAATGAGAGTTGGAAAACATGAAGCTACTGTTGTAAGTATTAAAAATTGTGATTCCCACAACTCTCTCTTCTCTCTTCCTCTTTCTTTTTCTCTTTACATATAAATTTGTTTGTTTATTGTAATAAGAATTAATTTTAATTAATTAATAATCATAGGTTTGTCGTAATAAAAAAGACGGTAAGCAACGAGCAGCACAAGCAATACTACAACTCATACATCCACATATACAGTCTTGGGGTTCCTTGCTGCGCCTTTATGGATCTCGTAGTGTCAAATCGTTTAAGGAAAAGAAACAATTGGAACAAGAGATTACCCTTTTGCAAGGGAAAGCCGCTGTTAATCAGCCGAACCATGCTATTCTAGGTAAGCTTAGGGAAGAGATGGGTAAATTATCTGAACAACGTCAAGCAATACAACCTATTGGTAAGTTTGTTCCACCAGATTTACCAACAGGATCCGCAGCTAATTTGAATAATGTAGATTTATAAAGAACTAGTCCGATAGACGATTATGTTAAATTATGCAAAACTTGATTCTCTCTAAAAATTCAACACATATATTGTGTTTTAGAAATTATATCTTCGATTATACAGTTGTAGGCAAACAATTTTATGATTTTTTTATAAGTGTTTTAATACACTATATTATGGTAATTCTTAGACTATATTATTAAGTATATTTTTAAAGTGACAATTTACTTTTTTAGTTTCAAGAGTTGCCTTAATTGCAATATATAATAATCATAAATTTGTGATGTTAAACATCAATTTTTTTTTTATTGTATTACGAACTTGCTTCTATTACAAATGATCATAAATATATTTAAACATACATTGTTTCTAAAAATTTATCTAAAAAATATTTAATAGATACTAAGATGATGAAAATATTTAATAGATTACGTATGCCTAGCTAGCCCCTCCACTTTGTGCAAATTCAATAAAAAAAATTCAATATATAATTATGCAGTGGCGCACTCAGGATATTTTTTCGGGGGGGGTTAAAATTTACACAAAATGAAACAGTATTACCAAAAGTCAGGATAATTTTATATTGCATACTAAAAAATATAAAAATGTTACATATTGTTTAATAAAAAATAAAATTTATTGTTATAGTAGCATAATTATGAATTGATATCGAGTTTTCTTGGTTTTTCTTAAATAATCAGATTAACTGGATTTCTTAAATAATCAGAAAATTTGTCTATATATATATGACTGTTAGATTTCTTAAGTAACTTATTTAAATCCTTTCACAATATGAATATCTTAAAGTAGATATTATATACGTTTGAACAGCAGTATAGCTGGAGAAGCTATCATAATTATTTGTGTGCAAGGATATTGGCGTGAAATTTGAATTATTAAAATTGTGACTATAGTTAATAACAGACAAAAAATACAAATGTTTGAACGCATTTTATTTAACTACAAATTTTTTACTTTTTGTTGTTGAGTTAATGAAAAAATTAGGTATATTAATTAAATAAATAAGTGATTTGATCTAGGCCCAGCGTAAATTTAATTATTGTGGAGAAACGAGGATCGAAGGCCAAAGCAGGATCTCAATTGCTAAATTTCTTCTCTAATCGATAATGATAATAATAATAGATGTTTCGATCGATTTTTCGACCATCTTTAGTATACAGAGTCTAATATATGTTGTACTAGCTTTCATTTAGTGAGAATTAATTGCCGGTTGTAACAAATTCGTCAAATGTGACATTAGGAGGCTGTGTTACGAATCGTTTTGTGAAATCCGTTCTAGCACTAGTCAGTTCAAAATCGGAAAGACAACTGTCTATTAATACTGTCTATATTAATTAAATTTCGGGGAGGTTTTAACCCCCTCCCCTCATACGTGCGCCATTGTAATTATGTATTAATTATGCACTCACCAAATCTATAAAGAAAAAATTTTGCGTTCTTTTATTATATACAGATAATTTTGATTTTTGCACTGCAATCTTTAAGGGACTTCCCTCTTGAGGCAAAAGGAGAGGTTCTCATATAACTCGTTAAAAAAAAATTGCAAAACTGGGAAAATTAACTATACACGATAAAGTCTCCGATTTATGCGCTATTTTTCCAGTTGTAGTGCAAAAATTAGAATCATCTCGATATAATAATATATATATATATAATAAATTTATTTATTTATTTATTAAATGTTTGAAATAAAAAACAACTTTTAGGGATGATAGGTATAAAAAAAGTTTGAAAGATTTCAGATACTTTAAAGTTTGTTTATTTATTCTTGATCTAATTATAGAAAATGATATAATACGTATTGACATTCCACCAGTAACGATTGCGTTTTCAGCAAGATCTTCATTCTGGGGAACAATAGTTCGACAGTTGTGCGTCCAATCTTGTTGGTTTGAAATATAATACAAAATGAGGATCCAAAGCCAGGCTGGTTGTCATTTGCTTATAATCTTCTTTATTCTTTTGAATTTAGTGATTTGTAAACGTTTCGGCTAATCTTTTAGCCTTCTTCAGTATTCTTCCTCTTATTGGTTTGTTTATATTTGGTGGGACCTTTCTAACAGCATCTTTCTTAGCGACTTGTTGTTGTGGTTGCGCTAATTGTGGTTTCTGTGTGGCTTCACCAGCAACGTTCTTTTTTATTATTGCATTTGGGTCTTTTTGGTTTTCAGGTCGACCTCGGTAAATTCTTTGCTTCTCTTCCAAAAATGAAAGGGGGCTTGAAGTCAAAATGATGGTAATCGAACGTAGGTTTTGTTAATTAAATGTGGTTGGTGCGTTTTGGGAAATGATATAAATAAAATAATTTGATACATTTTTGGTTTACATACTTCTCTGAAATTTTTATAATCTGCGTTCCTATGTATTTTGCGTTGTCCAGTTCATTGGTTTTTTTATTACAACTTTTCGGTTTTAATATAAAACTATTTGCAATAGCTTTTGGAGATTCAACATGCAACAAATCCCTCAGTTTTACGTGTATAATAGAAAACGATTTTTCTCTCATATTGTCACATACATCGCATGATGTAATTTCTTTAAGACTGAGAATATCATGAAATAATTTTTTACAAAGATATCCTACTGACACGCAATTAATAATGTAGGGAAATTTTAATGATAAAGATAATGTTTTTATAAAATTCTCAATATATTTGATCAAGTATTGTACAAGTTTAAGTTAACTGTTTTCGCCAAATCGTTTAGCACGTCTCTCGAATCGAGGGGCGTCTCTTGTTTGTCAACTGTGTTGACTATTATTGCTCCGAGAATTTCTTCTGCTTTTTGTAATGTCTGTGTGAGAATTAATTGTCCCATACATAATTGTAAATACATCCATAATTGTTCTTATCGTTTTTTACTGAATATAAATACGGTGGCTCAAAGGGTTGCAGCGCAAAAATCAGAATCATCTGGATATAATAACGCATAAATAATGGATATAACACTGGATATAATAACGCAAAATTTTTTCTTTATAGATTTGGTGAGCGCATAATTAGTGCACAATTATATAATTTTTAAATTAAATTTACGCAAAGTGAGGGGACTAGTTAGGCAGACGTTAAAATATTGATGATGCCTAATGTAGCGTTGCGCGCTACAATGTTGACGGACATCTACTATTTTATTAAAGAAAAGATTATAGAAAAAATTAGACATAGATTATCCATAGTAAAGAAACATACATCAACAGTAATACATCGATTAATTTAGAAAGTATTTAATTTTATATTGAAACATAGATCTCGTTTTAATTAATTAAAACAACAAAATCTTGATAATCCATGTGTCATTTATAACTATAACGCCTTTCAGTTTACTTCATAAGTCATCAAAACAATTATCAATTTATTATAATAAACAATTCGCTAGTAAACAACTTTCCAATAAACAGTATAGTATAATAAACAGTTTAGTATAATAAACATCAAATAAAATTTTTACGAAAATCAAAGTAACGCAATATTTTAAGCAAGTTATGTAATAATTTATTCATGTTTGAATATGTAAATATTATTGTATATTGACTGTGCAAAAGGATTGTATATTAACATACAGATTCATGCTAAAGATGTAAGAAAGGATGTAAGAAAAGATGTAAGATGTAAGAATGTAACTTAATAAAAGTTTATTACAAATTATATTCCATATTAATAATGATATTACATATTAAACGATTAAAATATTTAAAATTAGAATTAAAATAATGACTTAATACGAACAAATTATTCTTATAATAAGATTATATGTAACATATTGTTCCAGAAAGATACTATTTATTTTTTTTACAATCCACTAGATTTTTAATCTAATTATAATATGGACAACATTGTAATTTGTGTCACATTCATAATGCTGTTTTTATCTCTGATCTTATATCTAACAATCTAAAATCATGTATGGTGCTATATTAAGTGTATATGGAAAATGGTAAACCTATTTGCATATGTGTATAAAGATATTCAACAACTCTAAATTATCGCATTGGTCAATGAAAACTTGTTCATATAGCCATGGGAACAACAAATATGTTTGTGGAAATACCTTATAATCTTATTTAATCCAAAGTTCATGCTTTTATCCTTCAAAAAGTTTAATTCGTTGCTACCTTGGCTACTTTGCTAGTATAAAAATCTAGAAAATGTATACACTAATATATAAAGGAATTTGTCTCACTGTTAACAAGATTAAAATATATTAATCAATTCGATTTATATTTAAAAGATATACTCACAAAACACTTTTGAAAGTTCACTCTGTCCGATATAAAGTGGATAAAATACTGATATGCACGTACATATGATTTCATTACATTACAAAACTTCGTCAACGGAACTAGCAACTAACTATTTTGAATATTATAAAATGTTAATTTAATACCCCGGGGTTGCGTTACAAAATGGATCTCAGAGGTGGTGTTTTATTTACCATAGCTATGAATCACATTCATTATATTTTGTTCGTTATAATGTCGTTAATCCATTCTACATACTTGAAGTCGTTTCTTGTTTTACTTCTGAAAAAACCGCTAATCTGTTGATAAAGAGTTGATAAATAATGCTGAAATAGGCACTACAAGTAACACAGCTATTTTGCATTTATGAACAGCTATTCTTATTGGATCATAAATTGCGACAAAATCTTCATAATTCTCTAGCATTCTCAAATTTGTATAATTTCCATCTTTCTATATGTCATTGTAGAAGACCTTTTTGATTACTTATTAGTTTTATAATTTAGATACTTCATATATAAGATAGTGATATATCCATTTTGCTATTCTTTTAGTTACTTGGATATAAATGTTTGTGTTATATAAGTGTTGACAACTTTTTAATTATATATCATCAAATATATATATAGATATATTTGAGTAAGATATATATGTATCAATATTCCTATACGTTATCACATATTGAAATAAATATACAGCTAAATCCACTTGTTTTATGAGTATATTTACAATTGCAACATGAAGAAAAGTACTCACATTCATTTTTTACATTAATAACAAATGGCACAGATTGAAATATATTAGATTCAATATGTATTCGCAAAAAAATTGTAAATAAAGTAGAAAAGTTAAAAATATATAAGAATGTTATTGCTTATATACCAATGTAAAATTTAAAGATAAAAATGCGATACAAGTTGAAACATTGCGTGCTTCAACCATGTGATAAATGCATGAACATATTCAAGATAAAAAATATATAAAAAAGTTAATATATAAAATAAAGCCTACACGAATTATAATCTTTGCAATTTACTCTCATAATTTCGTTCTCAGTTGCAAAATTATAGATTTTTAATGCATTAATGTCAATAAAATAAATTATAAATTATATCTTACTGAAAGATAAGAAAGATTGATCTGCAATAAATCTTCAAAGTTCTAGCGATAAACAATAATTACTTTGGTGTCTAGAATGAGACCTGTTTCATATTAGATATGATTAGAACTTTATCAACGCACATTTAACACTACACGCACTATAACAATTTTGGAAGAAATTAGAAATGTTCTTTTCTATTTGTATCCCTATCTTTTTTTTACATGCATTACGATTTTGCATATTAATTTTACCTTCTTGAATTTGATATTTGAAGGTGTCGAATACAAAAACATAAGCGAAGTTACGTAATATACTAAAGTCGTGCAGCTAAACACACATTGTCCTTTTTTTTTACAACTATACAAGTATTATATACATGCATGTATCTTCGTTATAGATTTATACAAGTGTAATGTTTTCAGTTCGTTCATTACATGCACATCTACTATGAACCAGGTCTTAATAACGTCAACAATCTTTCTCATACGCGTCGCATATCTACGTTAAAATTATATATCTATGTCAAGCAGTTAGAACATGATTAAATATAAATAAAAAGTGTACTTATAAGCAACATCGTTCTTGGTTAATTACTTAAAATTATCCAACGCATTTTTAAGAAAGCATTATATAGACGTATCACAGGTACTGCTACCGGATAGGGCCATTTTTGAAAGACTAGAAAGACTCCGTCTAGGGCTACTACCTCCGAGAAAACTGCTGCTGGATTCGGAGAATATTTTTCGGAAGCTGTAAATTTAACACCTTAGATACACGTGTACAAATATAAAAGAATATATATGATAGTGTGTCAAACAAACGTACAATTTACGAATGCCAGATTCAGAGGATTTTTTCCAAGGTGCGTCATCTGGTTCGTAAGGGAGCGGTCCTTGTACGGGTGCCTCTTCCTCCAGGCTGCAATAATAGAAAATAACACGGATTAAATTTACAGTAGACAATTATCTGTGGCATTCATTTATACTGAAAATACTATAAAATTACACCATAAAAATAAAAAATCGTAGAGTTATGTACAATATTTTTGCACTACTTTTATATAAGTAAAATATTCAATGTTTAATAACATACATTTCAGGTTTTGGTCGGTACAGTTCCAATTCGTCTTCAAGATCAGAAACTCTTGCTTTCAATTCATTTCGCTCATGCAAAATTTCTTTCAGCTCAGCAGTTGTAAATCTGGGTCTATCGGGGTCATCCAAGTCATAAATCGCTTTATTCGTTAAATCAGGACAGCCCTGTAATTTACTTAAATCTTCATTTTCTTTCTTAGCCATGCCAAGCCGACCCCGAAGCTGTATAAGTTCACGATTCTGATCCTGCAGTTGAGCTAAAAAGTCAGCCCTCTCTTCTACTAAACCCCGGGCCTGCATTTGCGCCTGTCGTTGTTTGCGTTTTAATTCCCGTCCGAGTAGGGTAAGCTTCTCCACCTGTGCAGTCAACTATACAACACAATGAAATCACGTGTTTATTATCTGCAGATTATAATCCAATTTGTCATGTTAATGCATAATATTCTTTACACATTTAATATGCCAAATTTAGTTTAGTACGTAATTATGGATAGTTAAAGTCTATTATTCAAATTTGCTCGTTATGAATAGAAATGTAATAAACACTAATTTAGACAGATATAACTGTCACTAGTATCAAGTACAGACATATATGTCTTTTTAGCTTCTTTTACTAGCAATAATCTTGTAATCTCTTAATCTTGCAATTGATCTAAATGTTTTTTTACTTTTCCTCCATGTTTGCTGGCTTTAATATTTATTAGTCATTTACAATGATGGAAATAGAATATATTGAATTTTTGCATAAATCAATGCCTGCACTTAGGGAAGATTAAAAAGTAATAAAACAAAAGTTCTTTAGCTCATTTACATCTGAATTGCATACGAATATAAGTACCAATTTACATTTTCAATTTCTGCAGTCTTTTGTGATAATTCCCGGTCTCTAGCACGAATCTGATCTCTCTGTTTATCTATCATGGACCTCAAATGTTGCAAAACAGCTATATCAACTTCCTGACTAGCTGTGATAGCTAAAAATTAATAGAAACAATTATTTCATCAAACTGTGTGAATTTGTAACAAAGCATTTCAATAATCATTGGATTAGTATAAAACAGTAAGATTAGTATATAACAAAGTGTTAATTGGTGTTAGTACTTGTTTGTTTACTGCTGTACTGACTGTCACTGCGAGACTCTTGCAAGGATCCAGCTAATCGTCTATTCTCTTCCTGTAATCTAGTAACCATAGCTACTAAATCACGAGATTCTTGTCTCCAATGCTCTTCAATCTGTTCCAATTCCTAAAAAATTCAATAGATTTAATATGAATAACTTATGTTATCAATTAAAACATAAATTACAAATTACATCAAATTTCATGATATGATATAAAAATTTAAATATATCGTCTACCTTTTCAAATCTTTGTCGATCTTCAGCTTTTCCAATCTTATCACTCTCAAGCTGAGAGATCTTAGCACTCAGCTCTTGCACCATAGTATTTTCACCTTCATTTTTAGTAGCAAGATTCTCAAGTAATTCTAAAGCGTTTATCACCTTTGGCATAAGATTAGTTACTGATTCCACTCCATACAGATCTATAAGCTTTTCGCATTCCTTTCCTATCTCTGATGCGATATCATATACATCCACCACTGATACATCAGATGCAACAGAATATTCTTCCATTTTGCAAGTTGCGTTACTTCTCAGACAAAAAGGCATGAATACAACTTTTGCCGCAGCACGCTCTATGTATAGACCTGTTCAACACTACGGAAAGGAAGCCTCATAAAAATGTTCCGCTAGAATTCCACAGTTTTCTATAAATTGGAATCTAGAATTCAAACGCGTATCTACACTCGTGATCTCCACGGGGGAATTGCGTACATAGAAAATGAAATTATAAATATCACAGTCAGAGCTAGACAGAATCTTCATGCACACGATAGGTATTGGTACACTTTGGAGATGCTTGGAATTTATGATAAATAAATTGCGTAATTTAGGTGTGGCGTTAATTGTCAAAATAATAGTCTATTCCGCCGACAATGCGGTGAAGCTTTGCGTCATGCACTTGTCGTTTCTAGATCGAATACCAGCTCAGAAGGTGCACAACGCGCTCCAGTGATATCATAACAATTCCATCAAAACGTCATGTTTAAATTCCGGTCGTGTACATTGATGTCACGGCGGAGCAGATGATTAAGATTATTCACGATGTGTTGGTGTATACGTGCATGCTGACCGTAGAGATCTCCACGGCTGACGAATTCAACATGTGCTATCTAGCAGTAATTCGGCTAACTGATATCGTTCAAGTGCAACAATTATCAAAAAATTGTTAGTTATCAGAGGATCTCTTCTATATCGATAGAAGGTAACATCGGGCGATGTCTAGCTAGTACCGCGCGATACCGCTAGGTGCGCTATCAAAATTGCTGAGTTGTTAAATCGAAATGAAGAATCATAGATGCATGTATTTATTATTCAGATAATTCTACAAGTAATAAAGATTAGAAGATTGCTAATAAAGAAGCAACGCATTAAACATGAGCGAAAGAGAAGACAACACGATTTCGATAGTTCGAATGGAGAAACTTTTGACGGGCATTACGAGCAAGGTAAGAATCGGAGGTATATTCAACGGCTCAAGCCGGCGGTTAAAGTTAACAAAACGAACGTTGGAAATAGCCTCAGAAACTAGTATTATGAAAATGATCTATTTAAATGAATGAATTTCTTTGTCTTCTTTAAGAGTATTACTTTTTTCTGCAAATACTATTTTATTTCATTTAAAGTATTCCATTTAAAGTATTCGTTATTTTATAATCCCCCCCCCCCTCCTTTCCCCTCTTATATTTTCCTTTTTTATATAATTAAATATTCTATTTAGAAATTGTTTCAAATAATAAGAATTAAAATGCATAGTACATATAAGGATAACAAAAATAAATAAATAATTTTAAAGATAGTAAGTTGATCAAATTAACATTATATTATTATTATTTAATAGATTGATAAACACGATGTTCAAAATTTGCCGTTGCTTCGGGAAATCATTGATCTTACTGAACTTTTCAAAACATTAGTTATATCTCGAATGAAAAAAACTCCTGAAGTAGAACGCATGCACATTATCAATTTGCACGATTGCCGGAAGAAAGTAGCGGAAGCTTTGTCAGAGCTTGAAGGTATATTGCATTACGTGTTAAAATAATATATTTTTAACTACATATTTCAAGCGCAAGCTAAGGCATCGTTGGCAGTTTTGCAGAATATATCTGAAGAACAAAATACGAAATCCGAAATTTTTCTGAAAGATATCGTTACCTGCGTAAATGACGAGGAAGAGATAATGAAGAACATAAGGGAAACATCGGAAGTGGAGATACCAAAAGAAATGTATTGAGAGACATTGTGTTATAAATTAATAAAATAAAAATTGTCGCTGCAATATATATAATCGTAGAATAAATTTTATATAATTTTTTAACAAACTTTATAATTTCTAGGAAAGAATCGATGCAGAAGATGCTGATTGTAAAAGAACAACAGGAAGCACGAAAAAAGCAATTGCAATCTGAAATAGAATCGGCAGAACGTCAATTGCACAGCATCGTGGAATTTAATGCGATAACCGAAAAGAAACTTTTCGATGAGTGGTGAGTACAGATTGATTTCCATAAATTAATAAAATTTTATTCAAGTAATTTATTATCTGAGGAACATTGAAAAACATATACTAATTGATTTCATGTTTTAGTGCGAAAATTGAGCAAGAATACAAAGATCTTATCGCTAAATATGATTGCGATATTGGCGCGGCTCACGCTTTGATGGAGAAATTGTCGAAAGATAAGGAAGTTCTTAAAACAGAAACGGAGAGTATGGAGGTTTGTAATATATTTCTGAATTTAAGTATTCAATATGTATACTTTACGTCAAAAATACTTTAATGCGTAAAATTAGACAGAAATATATCTCAAATGTGTAAAAGTGCGCAATTAATATGTTAAAATACTACTGACACTAAGTACAATTCTACCGAACTGTCATTACTTTTTTTTTATCAGGCCCAGTTGGCTGTACAACGGACATTGTACATTCAATATAAAAACGAGCGAGAAATTGCGCTGATGAAAGTCTTTACTGAGAAACTGAAACTCTTTACACAAAATCGAGCCGTCAGGATTATCCAAAGAGCATGGAGAGCATACTTCGAGCGAATTTCTCTAAAAAAACGAAGAAAAGGAAGGAGAAAATAATTTACTTAATCAGCTGACATAGCTTGCGTCAGTTTTACGTGGTTTGATCAAAAAAATAATGAGCTTGTCAACTTTTACATTCTGAAACAGCGCGGAAAACACTTTTTCTAATCATACTAAAATACATAACCTATCAGCGCAGTGATAAAGGTTAGGATGGAAGAACAATTTACATACAGTGTTACGTTGATATTTTTTATTCACTGAGTTGACAAAGCATAGCGACTCCTCTTATAATCCAGTGCTCCGGCGGCTTCACCGTGGGCAGCCACATGGCTATGACAAAGTTTGTGGAGTGACCTGTAGTGGACAATATCCCGCGACGATCGGAGGTTTTATAAAGTGGACAGACGTATGATTGCCTTTCTTTGATATCCTGCTTCTTCATCGGTATCAGCCACATCTACAACGTGTGTTGTAAAAAGGTAAGTTCATCCAGTGATATATATAAAAAAAAAAAGAAGATTGAAAATATGCCCTGCGATAAAACTGTACATGAATACAATACTTGTACATTCCATCAAATATCTATTTTACAATATTAGTTAAATCCACTATTTGAATTGATGGCGTAAATAATTATTTGAAAAATATTACATTGATCAATATATCTTTATGGGAGAATAAAAGCACTCACAAAGGGTACATTGTCGTAAAGCACTTTAGGAAAGCTTTCTTCTATAGACATTTTCTTCATATCAAATCTTGCACCGTCTAAAAATAATCCATAAATATAAACACCGTCCTCTGGTGCTGAATCGAAAACAGTGTCTGTCAGGATTATGAAATCAAACGCAAGAAGATCTATAGGGATCTTATATTTTCGCGCATAATTTTGCCGTATGCCAGTTAAAAATGCTTGCGTAAAGTAAAATCCTGGTAACCAGAATGTAACGGGTGGCCCTTCGTCATACCATTTCTGTATAATGATAAATTCACACATATGTAAAAAATATTCAAATTGTAGAAAAACAAAATATGAAAAACAACACATAGACAATTACCTGTAGAAATGTTAAACGTTGTAGGAAGTCGTTGATATAACCACCCAAAGGCTTTAGAGATGGATAGGAATTTTGTTTCCATACGAGAGGTATTTTGCTTGTCAATATTGCCTCGTAAATATCTTCAAGTTCAAAGGACATCATGATCATACCTGAGTGAAATATCGTTATAATTTTTCAAGCTATAGTTATTTTCATTTTTATTGTAATATTTTTGGCAAGATAAAGATGGAATTAATAATTTAAATTAATAATTAGTAATATTTTACTTATATGCATATCTTTTTTTGAAGAATGAATAAGTACCTTTGATAGCTTTTCGTATATTGATAAGGCTGCTTCTTATGCAGCGTAATAATTTGTTAAACCTATCCATCTCTTGCACCAGTACGGTATTCATGCTTTGACTGTATAACATGGGATATTTAGCGAGTGCTGCAACCAAATCGTAATCGTTCGGTAGCTTGTCCAAGATTTCTGTCGCGATGCCGTAAACAACTTCGTCATCAGACGCTTGTCTCAATCCGGATTTGACTGCTTCCTAAGATAAAAAGTAAAATAGGTTATCTTTATCTTTACTTAGATTATTTTTGTTCATTTAGGGAGCTGTCTTAAGCTCTGAAATCCTGGATTTTTGAGATCCTTGATTAACGAAAAGCTAAGGCTAAGTTTAACGTGAATCATTAAGATTTAATCATTAAGATTGCGTTAAATTAACCAATAAATATATTTTTATCATCAAACCATCACATTGAAAGGAGATAGCATACCTTAACTTGCCAAAGATCCTGAGAATGAGCAATAAAAAAATATATAAAATATAATTAGTCATAAATTAATGTAATAACTTTTTGCGACAATATTATAATTACGTACCGTTCGATCCTGAATAATGTTCAATGAAATTAATAAGAAAAGGGATGAATGCGATATAATAATCATCATTATTGTTTAGTAAAAAATTCAGAGAAAAAATTACCTGCGTGAGTAGCAGTGAAGAGAATAGTAAATTTGTTTCTCGCTGATCTTTAAGAATGTCAGCATTCTCATTCATGCCAAACACACTTGCTTCAGTAATTATCGGAAGTTTTCTTGTGTATTCGAGATAAGCTTCGTATTCTGTGACAGTCGGACAGTAATAAATAGTGGACGTTGGGTCGAAGTAGTATATTTCTTCGGTCAACAGTTCTCTAAACAACGACATAAATAATAATCTCCCGATCTTCGGATTAAAATTATACAATCTCTCAATACTCACAGACAATAGAATTTCGCCAGGATAGTATTCAACGTTCTACGGTCCCATTCGTCCGTGACTCTTCCTCCGTAATTGCATTCGCCCGTGAGATACTTCAGTGCGGCAAACTGCACGTCCTGATAGTCGTCCAGGAACATTTTCAATTGCAGAATGCTGATTCTCAAATCAGTCTCGTTATATTCGTAGGGAATATTCCAACCGATCGGGCCGAACTTCCGCCTTTCTTGCACGGTCGCGTGGAAGAAGCACAATGAATAGAGAAGCTTCTTAAAATATTCGCTCTGAGCGCAGCCTTCAAAGAACTCCGGATTACTAATCGGATCGCTCGCGTAGGATCTCAGGATGTTCGCTCTGAGCCCTTTCGGCGGCTCGTTCGTCATCTTGATGCCGTTCTGAAGGACCGTCGTGGGAAAGTGTTCCGCCGGATAGCTGGTTAGCCATAGTCGGAAGTCGGGATGAATCGTGTCGGGTATCAGACCCTCGCAGATCTTCTCCAAAGTCGGCATCCAGCTCTTGGCCAGATGACAATTTTGCAACACCACCCAATTGCCGTGAAACACACCCTCTCTTATCAATCCTTCCGCTATTGGTCCTTGACCTGGCGCGACAGCGTGGTTAGTTCGCGTGACGAATCTTTATCTCGCAGATATTTACCTTGGCCGAGAGACAAGTAGAAAAGGCGATCGGCGCCGTATCCTTGCTCGTCGGCGAATGCCAACAAAGTTTGCGCCGGATCGGCGCCGGGAGTCAAGACGAATATCAGCGGAATGCAACAGTCAGAATCCGCATAGGAGGATGCCAAGTCGAAAGGAGGCGCTTCCATATATTGTGCGCCTAATTGTTCTATAATATTCGAATCGGAGTCAATATTTGTCGATCAATATTTATATCCTCTCGATATATATTTGCCTACCTTCCACGAATATTTGCACCGCGGAGATCATTTTATCGGGCCGAATACATCGCAGAATCAACAGTCGTTCGAACAAATTCAAACCGTCGTACGGTGCCGGAAAGGGCTCCTTCTGTGGTTCCCTCGAATCGAATATCTTCTTCCATTCTCCGGTAGACTCGGAGAAGAATTTTCTGATGCCCTATAAGTCGATTAGTGCATTCTATGAATATCGATTATCTGATTGCGCGATTGAATAGAAGATTGAAAGAGTTTACTTCAAATCCTTTGATATTATCCAATCTGCACAGCTCGTCCCATTGCTTGACTAGCAGCCACTCGGCAGGATTGGCGTACGGATTGTCTAAACCTATTCCACCAGTTAGCAAAAACAACCATTGCGCCGCGGTTTCCGGCTCCTCGCTCATTTTCCGTAGATTGATAACGAGAAGCAATGTAAATAGCAATTTATCCTTCTCGAACAGTGATCTGCATATATTGACATAGAGAGAATACGTGAAGTATTTGGTCAGATCCTTAAGACGTTGTGGAACATTGTCGGCCGGCTCCGTATTCGTGATGGCCAAATTGAAAAGATTCACGAACCAGATCAGCGAATATTGATACATTGGATCTATGTTGGCCAGAGATGCTGCGACAAAAATAGACTGATTAAAATTAATGATTCCTTTATTATTATTGTTGTAATTCATTTTAAACGGTTACTGCGATACCTATCGTGAAGAAGAGTATGGTCGAATAGGCTGCGATAGGTTTATACTGCAGTCTCGCGACGTCGATCGACTTCTCCGTAACTTCCATAGCCGCTTGCTTCGCGTGAATGTCGTCGCTCAAGTTTTTCGACGACGTTAAAATGTCGATAGCTTCCTCGTCTTCTAAGATATTGCCTTCCGCCACGGAAAGCACCTCCAAAATTTTATCTTCCGTCTCTTTCAGCATCCTGCAAAATAAAGTTGAAAAGAATATAAGCAAAACGCGTGTGAAACTAGATCTGTATGATAAATTAAGAAACATACTTCTTATTTGCCGCACCCTGCACGATCAAAACATTCTTTTCGGATTCCAAGTCTGGCCTTTCCCTCGCAACTACGATGCCAAGCAACTGATCTTCCAAGCCGCTCGGCGTTATCATAAAATTCAGCAAAGTTACTTTTACAGCTATTTCCGGTAAATAATGGGGATTTCTTAATTTTGTCGTGATATAAAGCCTGTTAATATAATAATAATAATTATATGTATGTTTAATGTCTCAAAACATCTTGAAAGCTTTGAAATTTAAAATGGAATACTTTATATAACTCAGCGCACCTAAAATTGGCGTTATATTCTACTACGGCGTCGCCCACTTTTATGCACAATGCGCCGCCATGCCTGAACGTTTGTTTGAGAAGAATCGGCTCAAGAACGGCGTCTAATTTTTCCTCCACGTTTTCCAGCAATATCGGCTGTCCAAGTTGTATCGCGTTTTCCAAGATTCTCACGTAATCGTGTTGGCTGAGCCGAATAATGCTAATATTATTTCTCTTCTCCATATTCCTTACCCACTTATTGGCTTGGCTCTGTGGATCTATCATCAATGGCCATCTCCTGGCATTCCTAAAAACGCAAAAAAATTACGTAACGACAGTTCGTTATCGAGGCTGCAATTGACTTACATAACGATAATTCCATTGTCGACGGAGAACGCGTCGGCGGGCAGCCCGGCGATGTTCCACGATCTAATCAAGACTGGTTCGCCGAGTATTTCACGCAGTTGGAAATCCTGGCTGCAAATCACTTGCAGCTTCGTACACAATTGCACCCATTCGTGTATTTGCTGCACGCGAAACGGCATAGTGAATGGACCCAAGTAAGCCACCACGCCGGACGCAATTATCACATCGCCTGTTAGACGATAATACCTGCAGGATTAGGAAAAAAAAAGGATTTGGACGTTCCATGCAAGAAACTTTGCAACAAATAACGACGCTTTAGCTCTTACTTGTCGCCCAATTCTTTGGCGGTTTGCGACCAGCGCGCATACTCTCCGCCTAATCCTCCGATAAGATCCTCGGCCCGCTTCAGTTTCGTCTCGCAGTCGGTCACTTGATCCGACATCGCTTGGAAGTCCGCTTTTCTTCTATTTAGGATCTCTTGAAGATCCAATAGTTTTTTCTAATCGTGAATTTTAAAAACTGAATTTTAGTACGAAGTCTTCATATCGACATATCTTTGTTACTTTCTTCAAAAATTGAATTCTGTCCATTATTCGATATTACGAGCTTTGTCGAAGTTTAAATAATACCTGCACTTGACGCAATTGTTCTTTCTTCAAATTTAAGGTTTCTATAGCGCCGTGATAGACGGCTTCGGCCTCCGCCAGGGCTCGTTTTTTAGGAGCGACGATCTTGGCAATTATATCGTACTCGGACATCGCGATGACCCAACGGCATAATCCCTCGCAAGCCGTTGAAACTTTCTTGATCTTCTCCGGGTCGAAGTCTGGATTGGTCAAGTACTCCTTCCGTATCGTTTCTATTACCTTGTCGGGTATATTGTCCTTGTCGAAGTGTAGCAATGAGTCCAAGAATTTGGCATCGCTAAGCATTCTCAGAGCAGCCCTCCAATAATCGTCGACGTACACACCACCGTCCTTCTGCACCTTCTCCGGCTTTATTTGCTGTAACAATTTAAATTCCAACAAGCGTAGGACGTGAAATTAATAATTCAGTGATAATTGTGCCGGATTTTCTCACGAATGAAAGTGTACGCTATTTTTTATCGTGCAATTTCTCACCCTGAGGACACAAACGCTCTCCACGATGAGCTTCACGCCGTATGGCGGATGCTTCATTGCCTTCACCACTGCGATATCCGCCAATGTTAATGTGTCCAACGCTGCTTGAGCCCGCTTTAAGATGGGCATGGCTTCAGCCAAATCAGCATCGCATTCAGTTTTTATCACATTCGCTTCGTCCGCCGCTGCCTAAATAGCAAGAATTTTCTTAGTACGTTTACAGACACAGTTTTATCAAATTTGGAATTCTTGTTCTTGTTGTAATATCAATCGTGTTTACACGTGTGTGTATTAGTCAGGTCAATCTTACTTGCGCCGCGATTTCATCGATCTTGACCACTTTCTCAAATTCCGCCACTTCCTGGTTTTCTTTCTCAACATCGGCCAGCATTCTCTGGATGTCCTGCGTGGCCGCGATTAATTTCGGTTGCAACTGTTTCAGCATATTCTGCATTTCCTCAACCTGACGCTGTGTGCCGTCCAGTTGGCCTAAACCACCCTCGTACCGAGCTTTAGTGTGCTGCACTTCTCTGCAACGTTGCGGAGAGTTAAACGGGAAGATTTCGGACGAAAGTCGCACTTACCCGCGTTGTTTGCTAAGCAAACTCTGGAATGTGTTGATCATTTCGAGATAAGAAGTGGGCGTCACGTAATTCCGTCTGTTTAAACGAACTAAGAATTCGTCGCTTAGTCTTTGAGTGGACATGTGGAAGAACTGGCACATGTCGATGCCGGCCTTCCTCTCGTCATCCGTAAGTTCGATCGCGGACAAGAATTTTGTCGCGACAGCCAGCAGGGCGTCTTTGGGCCACGACTTGACGATAATCAATAATAACGTTATTCCTGTCTGTCTTTTTAAATAGCGAATATTGATTGACGTATCTGATAACTTTAGAACATTTTAATACCTGAAGCCAATCAATGGTGCAACAATTAACTAAAGCCGGGAATTTCCTGATCCGATTTCTAAACGCGTCGCCGATGGGCGACATAGTGACAACAATGTGCAACTGATCGCGCGTTATCTGCACGAATAAGTTGAAAAGCGCCGCGGGGCTGCCGTCCGTTTGCATCGCTCGCTCTCGTTGTCGGTCAATCAGCCTCATCTTCTCGCATATCTCCGCCTTCTCCTCCGCCGTGAATATGTTGGGCACCTGAATGAAAATCGTACTCTTGCGTAAATTTCTTACATCGATAAAAAATAAATAAACAAATTATTAGATCATTCGCTTGCTTCTCCCGAGTTGAGCATATTGCTGACGTCTTCCAAGAAGCTCTCCTCCTTAATCTGCGTGTCGCTGTAGAGAAAAGTAGAATGCAATTCGGTAGCGGTGGCTTTTCTCATGATGGCTTTGATATCCTCGTGCCACTCGTGGATACCGTATTGTTGCGTGATTTCGACTTGGTGCACGTCGTAGTCGCAAATGTGCGACGCCAGTCTGGTTAAAGATTGTCTTCCGGATCCGCCAACGCCGACGAGGAGAGCGTGGCTCCGCGGTTGCTTGATGATGCGAGCTATCTTCGACAGATGCTCGATTGCGAACCTGAACGTTATCTTCCATTTATCTTCCATTTAGCGCAATCGCAAATTGCTACATTTATCAAATATATCTAACGAAAATTTACCGGAACAACACTAGATTCATAGGCTTTCTCGTCATCGAATTGTATTCGGAAAGATACGTCTCCACGATCTCTCGCAATTGTTCTAAATCAACAACTTCTTGGTACAAGCGAATGTCCGCCTTGGCATCGGTGAAGTCGCAATATATCAAGTTTCGTAACATGTCCACGGTGATCTGCAAGAAGTGAAGTGTAGTTTTTTTATTTTCAATTAACGAAGAAACTACGAGATCTTACATGTTTAGCAAACTCTTTCTTTGTAGTAATTAGCATGTCTTCAAAGAGTTCCTCCATTGAGACTTCCATACGTTGCTTCAGCGTCACGCCTGTCTGACGTATTAGCCATTTGATGTCGGCTTCGTCGACTAAACGGTCGCCGAATACACGGAGTATCTCGTGAACCCACAATCGCTTCATATTTGAGAGCGCGGGCATGGTTTCCGGGACCGATAACAGAACTCCCTACGTTGTAATTCATTGCGGCAATTAATAACGAATTTTTTTTTCTAAAAGTTAATAATATATATAAGAATGTTACGAATAACCTGGATGACTCTGGAGAAATCTCGAAGGTTAAACATGTAATGGCATTTCGCAGGCGTCGGTAACAGATTGCGCAAGCTTTGTTTATAAATATCTAACGTTGCGAGGACAATTTGGTCAATGCACGGATCGAACTCTTTGCTGAAGCCCCTAAATACGAAAAAAATATAGTTTTCAATTGGGAACAAAATAATGATTTCGGATTTAAAATATATTCTAAATATTCCTAGGGAATATTTTCACATTTACAAACCTCGTATCGAGATGCCACAGAACGATTCTGCTAAATATCGTGATCATTACGTTGTCCTCGAATTCGGATATTGCCAGAACGAAGAAGTGTCGTTTGAATCGCGGAGTAACATCTTTACCGGCGATTGGCGGAGCCATAGCACACATTAATTGAATCTCAATCAATTTTATGAGCGTCCCTTCCCTTCTGTCGTACCTATGAAAAAATAATTAACAAACTGCAGATATCGAAATCGACGCATTATTGCTCGAATATATAATTCTGTGAATTACATATTAAAATTCACAAAATTATAAATTACGTATTGAAATTCAAAAATTAAGCTTTATAAATGAAAGGGAAAAAATTGGAGACATTTTTGTTTACCATTGCCAATGGTCCAACCATTGCCGCAATAATTCTATAGGCGGTTGCGCCCCAAACGTTTCTTTCATCGGCATCGAGACGTCATCGACAAAGACGATCCAACGCTTGCCAATAGGTGGGCCGTAAACCCCCTTACGCCTGCGATCTAATTTGCTCATAATAATATCTTGAGTTTGATTAGCGGTGGTCTGCGCGGAGAAATTGATGAACAATGGCTTGTTCACCGCGGCGTTGTTCTTCTTCAGTAGAAAGTCGATTATGTACACCGACTTTCCGGTCCCCGTTGGGCCAACGAAAAGCACCGGCTTTTCGTGTTGCACCAGCATTTGAAAGAGCGCCGTATATCTTATCGTTTCTACGGTTGGCACGATTATTTGATTGACGGGGATGTCACGGGGAATCGGTGGCGCGAATATCAGCTCGTCCGACCATAATTTCCATTTTCCCTTGCCCTGTTCAAAAATATGACGCAAATTTAGCAGGGTGTGATTAAAGAGTGTTTCATTTAAAAGATAATCAATAATTAAACGACACAAGACAGGTTTGAATGAAGCCTTTCGGATACAATTTTATTATCTAGATATCGGAAAAATGAATTTTGACAAATATATCTCTATATATACTTGCTTCCTTAATAAATCTGTAATCAAACACCAGATGATCTCTCGGCATGACAAAGATATAAGGTTTCGAAGGCGGCGGAATCGGTTCTTTCAACTGAAACTCGTTCATCAGAACAACGGGGAATTCTTTCTCCAGAAGCCCGCGAAACAGAATGCTAAATCGTACTCTGTGTTGAGCTTGCAAAGTGCCTCCCATCGCCCAGATACACGAAAAGAAGAACGAACCCTGCGTAAATATTTAATTTAATCCATCATCATCTGCAATATTTTATTTCAATTATTTCGTCGTTGAATTTCCACCTCTATTTGCGCTCGGAGATCAAGCTCGCTTATATTCTTCACGACTTCTTCATTATAAAAGTCCCTTATAAAACAGTCCATGAGATAAGTGATGGATCGCAGAAGATTCGAATCGGGCATCGGACATATTTCCTGCAAATCGATCAAATACAGTCCATTATCGCATTTTATCTTCCAGCATATTTATAACAACAAATGTTCCACCTTCAAGTTGCACCGACGTAACAGGTGAAAAAGGGGTTTGCAGAATCTGAGGAACAGCGACTCGTATAGGAAGCTTCGTAGCCATTCGTCTATTACTTCCGGCAGTTTCGCTATCCAGGAATTTAATATCGGCTCCCATCCCAACGCTCCAGGCTCCATATAAATCATTCCTGTTTCGAGCAATACATTCTTATGATTCCAGATAAGACGTCTTATAGACGCCCTAAAAAAAAAAAAGACACTTCATTCCAGATTTTATTTTCGTTTGTTGCTACTCTATTTACCGCAGCGAGACACCGTGGCCGGCGAAGCAGCTTCTAGATCTAACGGCTCGAATATCAAGCTGGTCGTCGGTGCCAGCTGAATGATTTCTCCGCTCATTAGACAGAGTTTCTTGTTGTCGTCGAGAACGGTGTTCATACTCTCGATCCATATCGCGTCTATCGGGCCGTCGAAGACCAACCACTTCCTGTTGTCGTTCGTCGAAGTGGCAAAAGCTCGATAGCTGGTGGCCAGAATACCGTCGCTCCATTCGTGCGACGCTGGATCGAACTGTCCGTACAACTGTCCCAGTGTTATCGACTTCGGATTGATCACCGTCATCTCCACCTTGTGTTCATTCATCAGATTCTGTAGAAGATCAATCGAGTTTAATCAATTTACTTTTACGCAATTCATTCTTCCGACAGAAATTTCGGAATACAAATTAATGTTCGCGCAGGCCGCTCACGTTTTCTTCGCAAATCTCGAGTGCGTCGGCCAGCATTTTGTAGGCCGTGGTCTTGCCGGCAAAGGAATACCCGACGATCATGAATCCATGCCTCACTAACATCATTTCATAGATCTGTTGAACTTTCTCCAGAAATACGGGGACACATTGGATGTTCGCAGCGGCGCACGCTTGACGCGTAGAGGCGTTTAAGTGCACGTAATTCGGCTCCGGAAGTTGTACGTTTGGAAAAAGATCCGAAGTGATACCCTGAAAATGACATATATCCCTTACGATTTTTCCCTTGTTTAAAAAGACGCGCACAAACGCGGACGTACGTGAAACAGGGGTATATCTTCGCTGAGAAACTTGGGTAAATTCACGTCTTTGATACTGCGCAAGATTAAAATGTCCTCATTTTCTTCCGGATATTTCAACTTCAAGTTTCCCGCCGCTATTAGAACGGACTTCACCGCCCTCATGCCGTAGTCGTAATGATTCTGGCTGGACAGTTGCTCCGAGCACAATTTATACGCGATGACTATCTTTACAGATAAAGGTCTCGCATTGTAGAATCCGTACGAGTACAACGTGTTCTCCGCTATTAAAGCGTAATCGGGTACCTGTCGAAACGTATCATTGAAGTGTAACGTAAACCGATCTTTTCAAGCACATTCCTCAGCTCACCATCATAGCCACCGGCCGAAACAAAGCCTTCAGATTGTCCGGCAATTCTGTTCTCCCCGCGTATCCCGGATTCATTGTGATGAATACCGCGCAGGTGCGATCCAACGTCAATTCCGTATCCTCGAATATCAGGGTTTTCTTCTCCGCGTGTATTGCTCGTTGAATGGTCAAGATTTGCTGCGCCACGACCGATAAGACTTCCAGATCGATACGATTGAACTCGTCGAAGCAAGACCATGCACCTGTGCTGGCTAATCCCTGAGATATAATTTGGAATATTAATTCGTATCTAAATGCGAAGGAAGGAAATTGCTACGTGAATAATATATTTATTATTACTCGCACTCGTCCTCTTTGAACGAATAAACAAATATTTTTAATTTAAATAACTGTTAATTAGATTCGTCTATTTGCTTATTCTAAATCAAGTTTTTCGAATTCATACTTTGAAAAATTTGCCAAGTGCGATATAATCTAGCCCCTCCGAGCAATTAAACACAACGCATTGCTTGGCAACCGCCTTCGCTAGATCTTTCGTAGTCTCCGTTTTTCCTGTTCCAGCAGGTCCTTCCGGCGCACCGCCGAGATGTAGGCTAAGTGCGCCGAACAAGGTGCGATAACATCGATCGGTGAGCGGCGTTATCACTAATCGCGACGTATTGCCCAGGTACTCGTATGCATAACCCAGCGTAGAGTTTATCATCATCGTATACAAGTTCTCATCCTACAAACAAAAAATACATTAAGAAATAGAAGTTCTAACAAAACTGACAAAAATCTATAACAAATGCTCGAAACTGGAAAAAGTAAGAAAAGGGACTTTTTTTCATTCCGAAATCAATTGAAAATGTCTCTTTTTTTTTTACGTACGTTGTAAATATATATAATCGGAGGAAACATGTCGCATTTAAGTCTACTTACCATCCAGTAGTATCTTAATTGGCAAAGCCACTTGAAGTCCGTGACCTGGTTTACGCCTTGTTCGCACAACTGCACCAACACATCGCGACTGTGGACATCCAATGTTACTAAAGCTTCTATAAATAAAAAAAAAAGGGAATGATTTCTGGACTGCCGAATACATTTTTATCATTTGTAGAACACCGACCTAAAGTCGTTCGATTTTGCGTTGATAGTTTGCCGCGAACAAGCTTGACAATTTCGTTAAGCTCGTGCGTGCACGTTTCTATATAATCTGTTAAATTTTCAGGCTCCTTCGGCAGCCTGTCGTTAATATCCGCCGTCCAGTACAGTTTGCTGACGCAAAGGATGGTCTGGCCTGGCCACTCTAGAGCCCATTGACTCCTGGGTTTAGTGAGAAAGGCGTCTTTGGCACATATCACCTGAAGGAAGATCATATCGTAACGTATCATTCTGATGGCATACTAGTGGTAAGAGCTTATCGTCTTTTATCTCGATTGACCTGCTCCTTCACGCTCTTCTTCATATCAGCCTCGAGCTCGCGAAGCCACTTTTCCACTTGTCCTCGTGCGGCAGCTGTATCGATTATATCCTCAAGAATAATCACCTCCCCTTCGGACGACATCATAGCTGTGGCCTCCATGTTATCGGTAAATTCCAATCTTGCGATGCCTTCGAAGCACTTCTTCAAATGCGGCTGCACTCTGCGATAACAATTAGAAGATGAATGCTGAATTAAATTCCGTCAAATATTTGACCGCCGAAGAGCTTACCGCGTGGGATCCTTCGTTTCAGACAATATTTCCAAGAGCTCGTCGTTCGAGAGGAAGAAAAATCGCGGAAAGTAAAGCCTCTTCTTCTCCAGGTAAGCGGCGAGTCCTTTTTGCACCAAGTCGAGCAAGTTGGTGCACTTTTTCAGACGATCCAACATCTTATCGATCACAACGACGATCATAACTCCCGGGTCAGCCGAGACTATGGTCATCAGTTCTTTCCAAATCTGTTTTACGCGTGCATTTGTACTGTAGGCTGTTTAAGATTTACGTATCGCCACGAGATCATTTCTTTCGTATTGTGAATAATTACAAACTTTGTCTACGGCGCTAAATCGTCGACTCTCCTCCGGCATCTGTTGCTGTATATCGGGCGACGAGAAAATCGGTTCGAGATACATCCATGTCCCTTGTACTTTCAGCCAGTAGTCCATAATATCTTGCAGCAAAAGCAATTTAAGTTCCCATTCGCTGACAACATAAAATGATTTATAATTTTTTTTTTTTTTACAGTTAACATATTAAGATCGATTAAAAAAGAATTTTTTTACACGTTAAAGCTTCGTGAACCTACAGAGTTTCTTTTTCAAACGGCTTTATGTAAAGAGAATTTTTCATAGTCTGGGTTTTTGTTAGGTGATCGTCGAGCAACAGTTGTATCTCATCCACGCTAGCAATAACATATGTGCCGGTGTCGCGATAAGGATTCACGGTAAATGCGATATCCGCCCAGTCGGAGTACATCCTGAACAAGGCTTTCTCCAAGTTGCCCTCTTTGGTGGCCGCCTCGGATATCACTTCGAATTTCGCTACGTAATCGCCTAGACCGTAGTCGAGAATCTGCGGATACAAATGCGATTACGACCCGGCAATGACGAATTAGTTGGGTTTGCTTTTACCTTGGCTAGCGTCATGTATTGATCGACTTTTATCGGAAACCCAACAATCTCCGAGACCTGCTCCCAATGACGACTTTTCATGCAAGGATTTCCAAGAGTCAGTATCACCGGCATGTTCTCTTTGAAATCTTCGATTTTCGTCCTCACGATCTCCGCCAATTTTCTTACCGCCGGTTCTTGAAAAGTCTTTTCCAGCTTGAACACTGTGCGAAATGCAACCATGGTTTCGGATTCGATTGTTTCAGGATCGTGTGAGCCCACCATAGCTTCCGTCCAAGTATCATAGTTAGTTAAAAACTCGCAGGCGATGTCATAGAATTTTTTATAAGGTGTCAATTTATCAGCTACCTGATCGGATAAAAATGATAATATTAATTAATATTACTTCCGTGAAAAAGAAAGCTAGAGATAGAATAGAAATTTAAGACACCGAATTTTTTACATCCTTCGCAAAAAAATTTAAAAGCTTAGTCCACATAATTTCATTGAATTATTAAACTGCGGGGAAAATGCGAAACGCAAATATAAAAATAGATGTAAATTGATAAAGTTAGGCTATGCTACTTTCTTGTGTTACCTTTTTTCTTAAAGGATACTGCGACATTTCCCAGCCGAATAATTTTTCCTCTTCATTGAATTCCACGATTGTATCCATGGCGGCAATCAACTTATTATCGAGACTCGTAGCCTTTTTTTTGTATCGATGTATCTCCTCGATATTGCCCCAATATTGCAACTCGTCGCAGTACTTTGCGTATGTTTGAAGATCCTGTTCAAACTTTTCGATTCTGCCTTTGAGTGTCGCCTGATATTCGCCTGTTTTACTTGCAACTATCTCGCGATGCTTTTCGAAAATTTCAGCCATTCTATAATACCTGATATATCAAAGTTCCAACTCAATTAGTCAGGATTTATATATAAATGTATATTATTTAAATAATTTCTCTATGTATATTAATTAATCCAGTTTGCGCACTAAGTTAAAGTGTAAATATTATTGCAAATTAAATTATCACACTAGAACACACTCACCAGTGGAAAGCAAAATTATTGCTTTTCAACTCGACGGGCGTTAAATGATGATAATCTGATAAAAATGTTATATATTTCATTACTTCTCTCAATCGATTCTCTAATTCGAAAACAGTTTCTGTTTCGGATGTGTGTATAAAAGCCTGTAGTTTCATAAGTTCTGATGTATTGGGCGGTGTACTTAATGCCTGATTCGCAATATTTTGATACAAATCTCCTATACTGATAATTGCATAGAATCATTATTAGATTTCTTAAATTGCGAAATTATTTTTAAATGCAAAAGAAAATATATTTAAACAGCGAGACTTACGCTCGAGCTTTTTGTTGATAATCAGCGATCATCTTTGAAACCAGTTCGCCTTTAAGTTGTGTGGCCGTAGAAATGATGTGTTCTATAATATAATGCCTGCGCACTTCGAAGAGTTCGGTAAAAGACGTCCGATAAAATTCTAGTGGAATCTTCTTGCTCATCCGATCATAATAATCGATGAGTTCGCAATATTTCTCGTATGGATTAGGTGGTTGGGCTTTTAGAAAATCTTGCACGTAATTCACATCCTCGTCATTTATTAAATTCACATATTTTTCAAACTCCTGCAGTTGTAATTCTGCATCAGTTTTGTATCGTTCAATTAAATTTGATATTGTATTTCCGTGCTGCTCAAGGAGGTCTGCAGAAATTATTGGCTATGGAAATATAGAGGAAGTTTAATTATTGTATTTTTATAACATAATTTTATTAATAATAATCTAATAATTATAAAAATCACTAAAAATTCTAGAAATAATTACAATAAGTTATGATTACTGATAATAATTTTATTGAATTTAATAATTACAATTTTATAATATAATTTTACTCATAATTTCTACTTTTTATAATTTTAAAAATTACATAATTATAAAAAATTACATGAATACACGAGTATCATAAATTACATAAATATCTAATTTACATATTTATGTAATAATTTAATAAATAATTTTATTGAGTTATTACAAAATGTTTTATATATATATAAAAACAGTTTAAGTTTAAATTTAATACATACTTTAAGCAATTCGGATGAACCATGAATCCACTTCAGTTTTACCTCTGCACGTGGTAATGTTGTTACAGCATCATAAAGAGAATTCAGCAGCATTAAAAGTCCATCCATAAATGCTTTGAATGTAGGTTCAAAAATGATGGCCATATTTCTTACCACGATGTTTATGTTAAAACCACAATTTGTATACTGTTCGAGATAATTTAATGCATTCAATCAAAATATAGAAACCGTTATATGTTTAAATCTATATCTACTTACGCCTACGTCCATAAGATAATCGATATAATCCTTCATTGAACGCAAACATAAATCTCTCAATTGATCTTCCATAACATAGGCAAGGCAATTAAAGAATCTGTTATATTGTGGGTCGTTCATTGATGGCAAATTTCCCTTCTTTGACGCCTTAATACAGAAATTTTGATACAATTAAATACAAATAATAAAAAATAATAAAATTTATATTAATTAAATTAATTTTTTATTAATTTCTCAGTAAGCAAAATGCTGACAACATTGACATATTGATAACAATTTAACCAAATTTGTTGTTAATCGACTAACATTGTTAACATTTAGTTAATAATGTAGTAATAGTTAATTAACATTTAGTTGTTAATTAAATTTATTGTAATTATTTAGTTATTATTTTAATTATGTGGATTGTATAACTTTCTTACCATTACTAAAATATGGCATATTTTTGGCAGCCACCGTTTGAGAAGATCATCGCTCGTATTTTTGAGCATTCTTGAAAATTTATGGTCAAAAGTCGGGAGATCGTACGATCTTGCGTGCGATGTGAGTTCTCGTACGTCCACTTGTTTGATCTCTCTACGATCATTATGGAAATCGCCATGATAACAAGTTGATCATTATAAAAGTCTCCGATATATGGCGGTAAGTATCAATCTATAAATTTATACCTAACCTATATTCACGATGCCAGTAATCCAAAGTTTTGCGTATGCATGGATGGTACAGAATAATCGATTTCCTTTCCAGCTTTGCTCTTATTTTTTGGTATTTAACGCTGTGCTCTGGCGAGAACGGCTCGGGGATTCCTCGGGAATACAACGGCTGGAACATGCACGATGTATAATCGCAATCGAGTGTAAAAAAAGCGGCCGTAGGATTTATTGGCACAAGGTCAACCGTGTACCGGCCTCATTTGTGGTAAGTGCGCCCAAAATTTTGTGTTGTGCGTAAAATAATATTCTATTCCAGATGCTACAATACGGAACTAGTGTTGTATTGTCATGCATTCGGCACTAACCGGAGCGCAGATACTGTACGCTTCCTCGAAAGGTTCCTGCAGCGCGAAGTCGACGATGGACTTTTTCATGCTTGTAACGAAGTCGATTCTTAATTCCTTAATTAATCGGCCGAAACATTCGTTTTGTCTCTCCTGCCATTCGGCGGGCACCATGCTCGTTATCTTCTTTAACGTGTCAGAATCTAAGGTGCCTGCGTAAGCATCATCGACCTCATGAAGAATGTAGTAGTAATACCTCAAGAGATTCTTGTCTTCCTCCGTGAGCCAACTGTCATCGATATCGCTGCTCGAAGCCGTCGTTGTTTGTCCGCAAACATCGTCGTCTAAAACTGTCGGCTCTTTTGCATCGTCTGGGCATATTTCCATCGCTTCCTCACGCTGGCTTTCATCGCGTTTTTCCCGTCCTTTGATCTTCCTGATCAGATGAATCCGAAATTCGGCTCTTTGCCGACGTAGTGATGTATAGTAATCGTTCTTTTGATATGAGATTTCTTTATCATCTTTTTTCTTCGACGCAGTTTTCCTTCAAGTTTATTTAGTATTTTTTTAAATAACAATAGACATAATTTATGTTGAATATATATTATTTATAATATTTATATTTATAATATTTGCAACAAATTATTAATGCACGATGGAAAATATTAAAGCATATCATATTACATAATGTTAAGAAATAATATTTTGTCATATTTTGCGAATCGCTGATTACTTACCTCGATAAAGTTTCGCATTTTTCTGACGAATCAAGAATATTTGCTTCATCTGTAGCGTAAGTTTTTAAACGATCCAGAGCTTTCTGATATACGCGATTATTTTTTAGAAACTTTGCATTCGGACACAAAGTATCGGAAGAGGATTTCATCCAATTGCAATGTCTTTTGTGAGATTTCTTAACAAGCTCCTCAAATACGTCACTTCGCTTTATTGATCGTGTGCATGGTTCCGATTTATAAATATTAATTTGTTTATTGTTTTCTTCTTTTTCCTGCATTCTATTTTTCTCTTGTATGTGATACGAAATATCCATTGTGCATTAGTCTTTAACGTTTCCTCTATCGAAATTATACTAATATAAATTTGAGAATATTACACATATGATATAAAGATAAAAGAAAATGCGAAAGAGGTATATGTCTTCTGCTTTTCTTTATGTCATTTGACGTTGACATTTTCAATTTTCTGTATCACAGTTGCTTACTTACCGCTTTTGGCCGTGCTTGTTCAGGTAGAAAAATATATAATAATGCATAACTGTTGTGTTATCAAAAAAATCGTTCCTAATTATTTCTTGCAACACGCTCGTCTTGTCAAATTCCAAATCGTTCCACTTTTCAAGTTACTCTCAACGTGGAATATGCATGAAGCTTCATTGAACGTCTTACGTTTACGTTACCATAGCAATCACCCAACCCTATCAAAGATACGTTGTATCAATCAAACAATATACTACATTATTCAAATTTATTACGATACACGATAATGCAATATATATTGATAGCGCAAGAAATAACTAGAAGCGAGTAACTTATACAAAAAGATAATATCTAGAAAAATAATAACGAAGACTGTAGAGGGAATGCGTATAAAAATCGACAGACGATTGTTCCTTTTAACGTTAATGTTTATTATATACTTATACACATGACATCGCTTCCAGAGTAATACTTTCGTAAGTGTGATAAATCTGTTAATAGTATGTGTCTGGTTATTTATCAACGGCCGCTGTGTTAATTATTTGTAGTTTCGCGGTACCAAAGATTATACGAAGATAACAATATATCTCTTAAATAATAATATATCTCTTTTATACATATCAAGTGTTTTCCGGTAACGCAAAAATACAAAGTTTGTCGCGATATTAAATTTTATATATCTGTATTTTATAACGTGTATATATATATATATATATATATATGTAGATCACGACAATTTTACGTCCACATACGTTTGATTGTCACTCGTCTCTGATATACATAATACACTGTTGATCCCTCTATACATACACTAAATAGGCAACGTGAAGTACTTTTTTCGCATTGTCTTTGTTTCAGAAATACGAGAAACGTTCAGCAAATTATCAGGGACAATCTGCTGTCGCTAAGTGGGCATATGTGTGTATGTATATGTGTGTGTGTGTGTGTATATATGTATGCGTATATATGTGGTAAGGAGTGCGCGAAAATAAAATATGCTTGGACCTCGCAACCTCCTAGCATGCCCCTTGCATACTATGACAGGAATTTCAATATGCACATACAGGCGAACAATTAAGGACGCGGAAGAGGCGAAAGCGCGCGTACGCAGCGAGAATACTCGCGTGTTTCTTTGTTAATTTCGCCAGCGAAATATGTAGACGGCATGTGCTCCGCAAGTGGCAATTTATGGCCAAAACGGGGACCGCGCGATATATTGATTTTCTTTCTGGCACCTTTACGTCCCGCCGACGCTTGAACGTCGAAATATAGTCATCGCCGGTTACATAGTGGTGGTTGCTGCGGCACATACACACAGAGGATAAACCATGACCCGTGCGATTTGTGCCGAGCCTCTTTTGACATTGCGCAGAGAGATCTGTAGTAGGATACTCCAAAAAAGACGTACGCTAGTAGCCTCGACACTTTATTCGAATCGATTATTCGCGAAGAGCTTCGCCGTGCAGAGGATTTAAATAATCTTAAATTGTAAATTCGTTAAGAAAAATACGATTTTTTGGAATATTATTCATCAATAGGGCTGCGACTACTGCGTCTTTTTCCGGCATATCCTATTCAATGACAGTCGTACAATTAAATCTAACTTACACAACAGTTGATTGAAACAGGTACATTCAATGTTAGTACGGATAATACACAGCATTTTAAGACAGTCGATCGCTGAAACTCATTTTGGTATCCAATTAATTCCTCTATTATGTATAAAATGATGCATTCGAATAATCTTTTTGACGACGGTTATAACGAGGCTTCACGGATCCGCGCGCGCGTGCAGTATAGAAATAAAATAAATATAATATTGTTCATCTATCATTTTTCCGATAATGACATACGCGTGTCAGTTTTACAACGATGGTATTGATCCGGTTTCTCTTGTGACAAGCAATATCAGAAGCATTGCTTATCTATTATGAAAGCCATTTCGATAATTTTCAAGTCGAAACTAATATTGACAAGATTACATCACGATATACTCGATTAATTCTCTTGTTTGACATCCTATAACACGTAAACACATAAAGCGTACAGTGTTTGATACAGATTTTCTAATTGTATTCACATGCATTATTGCTGTGCTTGCTTTTAAATTGTTATAAATTCAACTTGTTAAATACATATACTTTTGAATCGATTGAAAATCGTGTCGTATCTTTGAAACGTGTTGAACAAATTGCAAATTGAAATATGTGACAGATTAATGTATCTTTTTCTCTTCAAAATTTATACAAACAAAACATTCTCTTTCCACATTTGCATAAAATAGTTAAAATGCCAAGAATATTCATCCTTTAATCGTCGACAGTATGATACACATCATCACATCTCGTTTTAGCTTTACACATTTTGTCATTTATAAATTCCAATATTTATTTCTCAACTTTTACGTAATATAAAACTACTTTATACACACCACCATTTTTCTAGCTAGTACAGAGAAAAATTTGAACGATCGAAACGTCACACACATGTCTTTTTTTTCTTTTTTTTTTGATTGTACATGAAAATGCTTCTCATGTGCTATAGATCAAAAGTGAATTTTCATATATTGCGAGAGGAACTATTTGTCACACGTGGCGTATTACAGCTAAGATGCTTATTTGAGAAACTTATATAGAATTGGAAGGCGTAATTCAAAACGATGTGTTCTCACGTCGAACGAAGTGAATGAGAAACTAATTATTGCCGTGTTCGACCAAACCGCTTTGAGACATCGCAGTTCGTTCGTAAATGAAGTATACATGGAGCTCTTCTAATTACTTACGCCTGCAATTATTATTATTTTTTTTTTTCATTGAACACTAGCTTTGTTCACACTCAGCTGCACAGCAGCTACAATAGATTGATTCTTGTCTCTTTTTTTTTTTCCAGGTGTCATCGGGAAGATTAATTTGGGCGTGTGTCGGCAACGACGATTTGCATGCTGTGAGAGAATCTTCATATTCACACACACGATTAATACCTAATCTAACAGACGTCTCCTACTAGCCATGGAGATTAGAAAATCACGTCGATTTTTAGATAAGGTACGTAGATGTCTTCAGTTGGCCCGTGTGAGACACGCGACGCGAGATCGAATTGACAGTGAAAAGAAAGCTTAATCCTATTTCATTTATTAGCATCAATTGCAAGTTCGCACGAACGGAACGGGAAATCCGGGAGTCATCGAACGGTTAAGGTCTTGTGAAGCGATACCGGTACGGAGTCCAGGCGAACAGTTCTAGAGGAAAAGAATACATATCCATTGTGCATTCAATCGCTCTCGTATGCCACATCCTCTAGTATTTTAGCATGCAAGTGGTGTCAACCGCTCGATCGACACTATTTCGCCATTTCACGCTATTCACGGGATGCAAAACGCGCTCTGAAAACGCTCAGCTCGCTTACGCTCCGAAAACAAAGCATTCCACTTCGCCGTTTTATATTAACGGCTTCTACGCCTCGTAAATAATCATTTTGGTTGATGCGCGAGCTGAGATTCTCTCCCAGTTTATTTTCGCGTTTACTTGCATTAGTTTTCATTAGCTTAAATGGAAGAGAAGAATAAAGAGAAGTGTAAATTTATAGAACGTGTGATGAGATATTTATCACTAACTTTATTAATATATTTTGTTGATTATTAAAAATACTCAAAGTAACTTTTAACAATTAATTAACTCTCGCTTTTCGATTATTTTCAGGTACTTGTGATGCAAGCTACCGTTTCCAGTTGCGCTTATTGCTCGGTGATGAAACATGCCGGATTGCTACGGATCTGCTGATCGATCGCTTGTGAAGAAGTCCGAATGAAGAAGTATAAATGCCGTGTTGTCTGATGGATTTGCAAGTGACAGTTGAACAACAACAATCTAACGATCTTGCAAGGAAAATGCATGTCGACGCGATTTTGTGGTGATAAGATATCTTGACGAACACCTCGACGATGAATTTGTTCTGTAATATTTACATCGAGGGATCAAATTGTGTGTGATCGAATGATTTATCGGAAGGTGGGTAATATCGAACGGTTCGACGGCAATCGGTTCTCGTTTCGAGAAATAATGTCCGGTATCGTTTGAAAAGGACATCGTTTCGCTAAACCGACGAAGCGATTAAAGCAATCGTTCGCGAGTATCGGTTCGATACTCAAATTGACCGGGCAATCAATCGGTGTCGACTCGTTCTCGGTCTGCCTGTAGGTGGTATGAGAGGATGTCGGCAATCTGATCGATGGTAAAGTGATATGATGAGCGCGCTATGCGAAACTATAAGTTATAAAGGAGACTGACAGTAGCGTGGCGATGGTCACTACATGAATCACTCTACGATTTACCATGGTTGGTGAAGCATGGGCAAAGCGCATTCAGAATACGATTGCAGAATCCACGCGCTCGGTTGTTCCAGCCAGCGATGGTATCGCCACCCTTCAATCTACTGCCTGCACACACACATACGCATAGCTAGCATGTTATAAATATCAATCTTGAAAGATAATTATAATTGTGCGTCGTTCTACTTCGTAAGTAGCTCTACAGGGTATTTCATCTAACAAATCATCTGAGATATCTCCGTTGTTGTTGATGGCACGATAAATGTGTAAGGGAAAAGATATTGGATGAATATTATGATTGTTGACTATTTTTTTTTATTCAGACAATTCGCATCGCAAAATAAATATCAGCGAAATGTTTTGAATAAATAATATTAACCGTGAATTTTATTAATTGTGCGTTGAACAACTTTAAATATGTATTAATATTTGATATCTCAATTATTTATATTAATATTATGTGTACTTAATTATAAATATCGATTTTTCTTTCGAACAATAATTTTTTGCTTAGATATTTTTCTGTGCCATCAATAACAATATCGGAAATATTATATAAACATAAAATTTCTACGCGTCGATTCAAATAAACTATTTTATCTATTTAATCAATTATGTCCATTGTTATCTATTCGTTTATATAGTCATCAATATCTAGAGATTTCTTAAGTTACCTCAGCATTTACCTAGCATTTATCTAGCCGTCTATATGCTTATCACACTATCTTTTTTCATTTGCTTTTCGCCTACCTCTTCTGCCGCTTTATTTATTTACCGCTTTATTTATATCTGCCTTCTTTTTCTTCATTATAGCCGACGCGAGTGAATCAAGAATATTTAAATCTCGTAAATTAGAATATTTTAGTTTCGTAAGGGTCGTGACGCAAGATTAATTTTTACCTACCTTCGCCGCCGTCAGCTCCCTGAAACACAAAGAAGTGGTCTTGTTTGTTTAATTTTTACAATAACGGTTGTGAAAATTGACGTTAATAATTAACGGTTAGTCATAATAACAGATTTTAAAAGCACTTTGCTCTCCGGCTCGTATATCCCTCTTTCATTGAAACAAACTTTGTCAGCTCATTACCTCCGATTGAATTTTTCTTTTCGAAGCTTCCGTAGCAGCAGTCTCTATCACATCGCTAATAAATTTCGTGGTCTCCCTCATAAGCTCCTCGTCTTCCTTGAAAGCTTCCTTCCTCTGCTCCAACGACCCCGTCATTAAGTTTTTCTCGTGTTCGTTCATGTTGGTAGTAGAATGGAACGATATGGACTGCTCGGTCATATCATCAATGACCGCGATTTTCGTTCCTCAACCCTTCACAATTAAAATTATTTTTAGTCAAGCAAAAACTTGCGCGGAATTTTTTTATTTGTCACAGATATTAAATTTCCTTCTAGAATTCGCACAATGGAATAAGTTCTAACTGAAAGAATTTAATAACCAAGTGCTCGACGTGTGATCTAAACAGATACGATGACGAAGGCACTCGGTAATTTTAGACTGAATTATATTTTTCTCTCTCTCTTTTTTTTTCTCTGTGATCATTGACTTGATATTAATTCACCAAGATCCTTGCGACCGACCTTTCAAGCTATGCGAGTCCTCCGTGCATGTATTACCGGTCAATGATCGACGAAAAGAACAGGGGTTGAAACCAATTTAATTTCGGTGCCTTCAGACATAAATTTATTTCTATAATAAAAAGAATTTTCAGGCGAGATATATATCTTTAGACAGTTTTTCTCGCACTGTTTAGCATCCGTTAAGAGCACATAACAGTGCCAAATCGCTTTTATACGTTTTAAAAAATATGTTTAACGTACTGCGTCTTGTGAATTTTCCATGTATTATTTCATTCTTTATTTATTCAACTGTGTCAAAACTCGTTTCGCACGATCGCGCGTCACCGAAATTTCATTTCCAATCCCCGTCGGTTCGATGGGCATTTAATGCGCCGTGAGATGAACGATCTCGTCGCTGAATTTAATGATACAATATGTATTGCAGGCACCAACGTAAATACGACGATGACGGATATGCCACAGGTGGTGTGTGTTGTTTCATCGCGCACGCACACTGACACTGAACAGCCGTCTTTACGTACACGCGCGTATATCCCGGGGATGCCGATGACGTGGTCGGTGATACCAAGGCCGGCGTCGCAGTCGAGGTCGACCGCGTTAATCGCTGATGAAAGCCTGAACCTGGCGCCGCGCTATCCCGCAGCTGTGCCGGTCGCTCTGACGAATCCAGCAGGTTTCGCACCACTTTGAGGACATCGACTCAGCTCAGTTGGGGGTTGAAGAGGTGTCCTCAGTATCCACCACGTCGAGACGGATGACGGGATACGGAATGAAACGGCAAATCCGTCATTTTCCCTTTCAGCGCGCCTTTGACGGCCTGCACTTTGCCTGGTAATGATCGACGCGAAAACCAGGCGCTACCAGACGAAGCTCTCTTACCCGACTGGATATCACCCCAGCCAAACCCCGAAACGGAGCATGCGTCGAGGGCATGCAGCTATTAGGTTTTTATATCTTCGTCTCTATACCCCTTATCTGTGCGAATGTATACACATGCGCGTACACGGGCACACACACACACACACACACACACACACATGTGCGCATACACACGAGCATATTTACTGCCCTTACCTCGCGGATCCATGCACACGCTACTATCTGTATCAATCGACTATCAATCGAGCAAGTAATTTGACTGTGTAAGGCTGATTGTCACACACAGATGTTTATTGTCTTTCACAAGATTCTGAAAAATGGATTAAAATCTATCGATGAAAATTTACTTTGCGATATTGCGAGTTCCATTTCTTTGCGGAAGAATGGAATTTGCAATCTTCCAATTTTCTAGTTATCTGTGCGAAAATATTACACAAGTACGTGAAGTGTAAATTTATCGCAAATACTGTGCGGGGAGAGCTATAAATTGACTTTCGTTAACTTGTTATTTCGCGTGCTTTATCAAAACTTTTGATTACATTACTAAAAATACGTCATTGTATTTGTATTACACAGGCAGTGAAAAGTTGTTCATATGACATTTGCATGTTAAAAATTTCATTGTAGACATGTACATTTTAATCTGCAGTCGGTGAAATGCTCATATGTTCGCGTACAGTCTAATCTACAAACATGCACGTACTTGTTGATTCACGCTCTGTTGGAATAATGATAATATAATTTCGAATAGTATGAACAATATACATTTTTATCTTAATAAAAACAATTATTAAAACAACAGTATAATGAAGTCACACGTCGAGGTATTTTAATTAGAATTCTAAAAGCTAAAGAAGTAAAATAAATATGTTATGACAAATGTTAAAATATGCAAATATTTCTCTTTATTATGCATGCGATTTTCTACACAAAATAATGAAAAGTCTGTCGACGTTAAATCTGTATAATACTTCTTTTAATAAGAGTGCAAAAATATTTTTCACGCATACTGCTCGGTTACATCATTAGAGACACGATGTCATCGTGTGTTTTATAATTGGTGTCAACTGGTAGCAATTAATGACACGCACAAAGCCGAATGTCGGTTGCTTCTCGAGTAGATAAGTAATTGCGTTTTACCATTTCACATTGAATTTTTTACAATAATCAGACTTAATTCAATTGTTTCAGATTTAGACTTATAATTTTGCTGATTCCAAGGAAGAGCACGCATTTCGATGCCCTTCGAATACACCGGTTTTAGCAAAAGACGGTTCGGAAAGAGATTGCTAAATATAGCACGGACGTGCTTGATAACAAAGGATCAATATGATCGCACGCTGAATAATTTTCCCCCGAAGAAGCTTGCCGCTCGATTACAGCTAACGTCCATTTTTCTTCTTTTGCCATGACAGTATTAGGTGCCACATGTGTTGTTCACCTGCCTCGTTCAACGAGCGAGACGTAAGTATCTTATATAATATCTATAGAAGATAAACTCCCCCCCCTTTCCCTATATTCATCTTTGGCGTCACTAATTATTATGACTATAAAATCTGTGTTATAAATTATTATAGTATATAAATTTAAGGCAAATATATATTTCTAAGTAAAACTTGCAAATTGCTAGCTTGTGTTAAAAGCAATATATATGTAAATTGTAACAAATATTTACTATAAAAGATGACATAATAAAAGAATCTACATAAAATGTTTCAGGGTCTTCAATTTTCCTTTACTAACGCGTTCTTCATCACGGAATGATCATCATAATGTCAGCTAATTTGAAAAATAGAAAAATATACATACGAAGGCTAATTCTTTTCAAGAGAAGCTAAAAAAGACAAAGATACATTTTCTTGAATCTAAAAACGAAAGAGATGCATATTCAGACTGCGAAAAAAGGTGAAAGAAAATGAAAGAACGAGGTGTTATATGCAGATTTATTAGAAACTTGATAGGACAACTGTAATCAGTGCAATCTTTATCTTTCGCTCGTGATAACATAAGAGCTGTTGACTTTAGCCGTCCGTACTCGCTCGGCATCGATACACGAATTCGCATATGCGCGCGCGGCTGTTGACGTCGCGGCCGCAGAGGCGCTATCTGTCGTGCATGCGCTCCGGAAGCCGCCTTTAGTCAGCCAGTCACTACGTGCTAAGAAATGTGGCCATATCACTTGAGAAGACCGATTTAAAGATGGCCGCGCCGCGGTCGCCCGATAGCCGTGTCGCGTCAATTTCGAGGCGTCCTTCGGCTTCGTAGAGGCGGCCAAGTCGAGCTGAACGGCGCCTGTTCTACGTCGACAGCGTTCAGTAAAATTCGACGTGATCGCAAGAGTGGTTAGTTACGCCGGACGATGATCTAACGTCTCGTGTTACGCGTGTGATCATGAATTGTCATCAGATACTGAGCGGCGCCTGCAATGCGGGCGATCGCTGTTACGCCGTTGGCTCCGTCGAGGGGATTTCCTTCACCGTAAGTCCGTCATCCTTCATGACAGTCGTCGTCATTGGCGCGAAACGGTGGGACGTGTCTTTCATGATTAGCTGGCCTTGCGGTCAAGTCGTGCGAAATTTCGTACGCGATCGTACGACGAAAAAGTCGATACGCTCGCGTTATGGAAGTCAGCTGATCGAATGACACTTTGATTAGGCGTGAACGTAGGACACGGCTGTGCGTGTCTCTGAGTGTACAGTTTCACTCGACAAACAATGAAAACGTCATATACTTATTATTGATGTCTATATATTGTGCTCGACATTCTCCTTCTTATCAATACTCGGCAATTAACTGTTAAATTGTTAAATAATTCGGTTTATTATTAGCAGAAGGAGAGGAAAATATATATTGATGATATTTTATTGTAACATGATCAGAAATTGATATAATAACGTACGAAAAGATGACATTGAAGATAAACCATTTAATAATTTAATCTATTTAATCTATTTATTCCATTCAGGCGTATGCAGCTGGTTGTAATATTGTGATCTTGGCTAATAATTTTGAACGAGTCCAAATAATTCCTGGGGCTGTGCATAATTATATTAGGATCAGTTGTCTGGACTGTAGTACAGACACAGGAAAAATAGCAGCAGCATATGAAAATCAAGTCTGCATTTTTGAGCCAACACCGCTTATACATAGCACCTGTTCACATGTTTGTATTATTTTCTTGTTATATATTTTTAAATATATATATTTATCAATTTTTACCAAAATTATAAAAATTTTTTTACAGCAATTAGAATACAGATGGGTTCAAACAGGAAGTCTGCAAACAGAATCAAACATCACTTCTTTATCATGGAATTTGGAAGGAACAAGGTTGTTAACAGGTGGAGAACTGTTGCAATTATGGCATCAAAATATTATGCCGTTTCAAGAAGAACACAGTAAGTAAATTCCCTCATGAATTATCTTTCAATCAAATCTATATCTCTATAGAAATAAATCTTGCACAATTATGGGAAATCACTTCTAATTTATGCTAAAATAGCAGTACTTTGTAATAAAAGTTAGATTTTATGTGCATGACACATGTGTAACAATAGGATTCTCAATAAAAAAAAAAACAATAAGATAATTGTCAGTATAAGTTTATAAGTATGTAACATTTCATTAATTTCAAGATATTAGAATTTTTATGATTTTTATTACTTGGTGCAGCAATATTACCTGCAGCTGCAAAACCGAAAACATTACAAACAGAAGAAGCCAGCTCGGCTGGAAGCAGTCTTAATGTTACAGCAAATACTTCTCAGGATCGTGAGTTCATTCCTTTTGAGAATGAACCTTGTAGCGTTGATGTTATATGCATGTTAATATACCACAGCTTTGCTATTACATACTGCCTTAACTTATCACGAAAGATATGTAATTATTTGCGTATTCGAGCAGAATGTACGAAACAACTGCACAAGAAACATAATTAGAGTTTAAAATATGCATAAGCCATGCTTAATGAAGTCGTTCTCATAATTAATGCTGTTGCAGTTGAAATTTTGTGATTTTGCTACATATATAAAAATTGTGAGCTGATAAAACCTTTTAATTTCAATATGTTTATTTAAATGCTTCTTCAATTTTTGTGCTTGCTATATTTAACGGTATGAATCATTATTTTAAACTGTGCTGCGAAATATAAGTTTACACAAATGAATAGATAATTTAAGATATTATTTTTTATATTATTAAACTGCTAGGCGTTAAATATGCTTCTTTTATTTGCATTCTAGACATGTGCATTGTGTTGCGTTTAAGGTTAATTTTACTCATATTAATACGTAAATTTATTTTTTAGCAGCTGGTGCGGTGACATTCTCGATTGGAGGAGAGGCTGAGAGTCCTGGACCTGGGGACATATCCAATGCAAATGATCCGGGCGGATGGAATTGTGTATGGAAATGTCGTACCGCCACGCCAGTGCATCTTATGAGTTTTAGTCCCGATGGCACTCTATTCGCAACAACAGGAATGAACGATAGATTGGTCAAGATATGGTTCGAGAACAAACAATGTATGTTTCATTAAGTGGAATGAATTGAGAATTTTTCTGCATTTATGAGCAGCTACGTAAAGCTTTTGTACTTTTAGTGTTTCCAGCAAGAAGCTTGGATCACACTAGCTTTTCCCAAGCAGTCGGTAATGACAATTATAGTTTCGTTTACATTGCACACCCACGCGCTGTAACGCATCTTTCTTGGCGGAAGACAAGTAAATACATGCCAAAGTAAGTAGCATATATAATAGAAATTTTACATGAGCCATTAAAGTGGCCCTTTGTTTATGACGAAGAGTTTTTATAGCGATTTTTCGCATATAATGAGGCATTGAAAGCTGAGGCTTAATTGGTTTTTCACCAAACAATGTAAATATCTATTTTTTAATTATGTATTTTGTCAAATTAGGGGTTCCGTGTCCAATATGTTGGTCACTTCGTGCCGTGATAATATTTGCCGAGTGTGGGCAGAAACGATACCGCCTGAGATTGAAGGTCTAGCTAATATGAGTCAGTTTGAAGGCTCGGACAGGCACGGTCATCATGGCAAGCATCGCCATCATAATATGCATAAACATCGGTTTATGCAACGACTTAAACACATGAAGTACGAAGAGTGCATTATCTCTTATTTGTTACTTTAAAATAGAAAGAAACTTTTGTTTTAACGTCAACATTTCGCGAATAGCGCACAAATAGTTCACGGTGTTTGCTTTCAGAACGTGTTTTCATATTCGGCGACATGCTAAAGCACAGCAGCATCAAGCTGGCCATACAGCGCCGACTTTACCAACGCTTCCATCTACATATTCTGTACACGATTTTCATAATAATTACCAAACTTCTGGTCATTATCCAGGAATGCATTTCCATTTGGCAGCTAGTATTAACGCAGAAACTGGTACAGTATTAATGTACATTATATATAGTGCATAAAATAGGATAGAAATTTCGTTTCCGTTTTTTTTTTCCTTACGTTAGTATTGCATTTTTAACATTGTTGAAATATTGGTAATCGTCAGTGGGTAGTATACGTTCATGTTATAGATATACCGCTAGTACCAAGCCTAATTACCGGAGACCCCGAAAGAGAACCGAATTTTATCTTACACTGGCTAAATAACAAAGAAATGCACTTCAGCATGCAAGCCGAAAACATATTGCAGGAGTTGACTCGTAAAGTAGTGGAAAAAGAGGAAGGCTTGCAGCATCAAGATCAACATGCTGAACATGTGGAACACGATTCTGAGGATGAAATTACAAGTGCGAATTTACATGTATTTGCACAGATGCGCAGATTATTAAAGGAACATAATTACTAATAATGATGTATCTTTTAGAGAAAGGAGAGAAAGGAGAAAAAGGAGAGAAAGGAGAAAAAGGAGAGAAAGGAGAGAAAGGAGAGAAAGGAGAGAAAGGAGTTCGACTACAAGCAGTTCAGAAACCAGCCGTTGGTGGCCGGTCAATGAGTCAAGAAGATCACAGTAGTGATGAACATCATACTGCGCATACTACCTCATCTCATCACAGTTTAGCACACAGTGTGCATTCTCATCCGAGTCTGAGGTAAATTTTTAGAAAAGAATCTTCTACTTCGTTAAAGTTTACATTAATATCCGATAATTAATTCTGATAATTACTTTAATATATTAATATAATATGTAATTTTAAGAAAGATCCGTATATAAAGCTTTATATGTTTTAATTTTCTCTTACAGCAATACAACCTCCATTAATTCCATAGCAACAGACGCAACGTCTACGATGAATCACGCGCCGGATTCGTTGGACACAAAGATAGAAACGTTGCTACGTGATTGGCATCACAATCCGGACTTGTTATTCTCGATACATCCGATAGACGGAAGCTTTTTGATTTGGCATATCGAGTGGCTGGACGAATATCATCCCGGATCTTTCCGACAGGCGCAGATTTCATTTTCCACTCGTATCCCGAACGCGTTCCCGCTCGGTGACGCGTCGACGATGAGTCACAATGTATCGATGTACTCTCACAACACCGGTGGACCCTTACTGAACATCCGCGAGGTTGCAAAGTCTTCGACGAAGCCAAACGACGCCAACGAGGTCGCAACGCCCTTACCTAGTCTCATAGAACAAGATGAAGAGCAATCCACACTGACTTCCAAGGCTGGTCAAGAACTATTGAAAAATATGGAAAATACGAACGATCAGAATCAAACGAAGACCGAAGCTAACGCGCTGGAGGGTAATAAGAATGGACAAGACGCGGATCTGTTGGCTCATCCTAGTCCGATCGTTTCCATGGTGTCGAAGCACTCGAATGGCACTTTGAACTTATGGCAGCTAACGTTTGCGGATAAAACCAAGTTCTCGCAAGTGTTGAGCATAGGACACGCGTGCAGGGCTTCCGGGCACCGTTTCCGCGTGAACGACATTACCTGCCATCCCGTCTTGCCTTTACTCGTAACGACCTCCCACCATAATATACCCGAGTTCCCTGGCACTCAGTCGGCGGAATCCAGCGAAAATATCAGCATCAAGCACGATACTTGTAAGAGCAAGGACGTCTTGTCGCCCACTGGCTTTTGCAGCGAGTTGATATTGTGGCGCGTGGACGCCGTGGGGCCTCTGTCGAAGAGCGGCGGAGTTTCCGAATTGGCGCGCATCAACTCGCCCGAGATATCGGCGTTCAGTAACGTAGCCTGGATCCCGACATTGCTGCCGAGCACGACACTGGGCAATCTATCCAATTCTCCCAGTGCCTGCTTCGTGGCTAGCGACGGCGAGTGCCTCAGGGTCTATCAAGCTGTCATCGACGCCAGAACACTACTGGCGGAAGTGTCGATCAGCGAGAGGAGAAGCAGAATGATGGACTCCATGGCCAGTCTTTCGACGGACATGTCGTCGGACGACGGCGTCCGACACTCTATTCACGATCGGATAAAGATAGTGTCTCAGCAATCGACCGCGAGACCAGGATGCGTCATACAGCTGGACGCCATCGCCGACGCCACGCACGATTGGCAGAACACGCAGTTCCTCCACGTCTTTCAGGAGCAATTGATCACGGGCGAGAGAAACGACGAGAAGCTGCCCGGCATCGACACGTCGATCAACGATCTCGGATTGATGGAATCCACATTGGACGCCATGGTGGATCTGCAGCAGTCCGCGATCTTCGAGGAGCCGTTCTACATAGTGGTTCTCGAGCGGACGCAGCAGGGCACCACGGTGCACATGTGGCGTCTGGTGATAGCGTCGCAGCCGGAAACCAGCGGTCTGTCGGGCTCGATGATGTACGTGCCGGATTCGCACTTGGTTCAGGACGAGGACGACGAGGGGACGCCCGGTAGATTGGGCCACGCCGAGGGCAGGCGGTCGCGCAGACCCAGTCAGACCGGCAATCGCAGCCGTCGCAACAGCCAGGCGGACATGGACTCATCGACGTTCCTGCACCGCCGTCATCAGAACAGCCATGTTCTCATCACCACGACGAAGGTCTGCACGCAGGAACTGCCGTTGCCCGACGGGGTGGAGGTGATTCACGCCGCTCCCGCCGCGGGACACCTGAGCAGCTCTTCGATATATCCCGCCTGCTTCGCGCCGTACATCGTCGTGACGGCGTGCAGCGACAGCACCGTGCGCTTCTGGAAGTGCAAGGTGACGAAGAGGCCGGACGACAAACTGGATTACGAGTGGTGCGAGTGGGAGATGACCAGGAAGGATCAGGAGTCCACCATCGACATCACCGGTCAGCCGCTGAACATAAGCGCGGCCTACAGCGGGCGCATCGCCTGCGCGTACAAGTACGGCAAGTCGTTCACGCGCCCGACGAAGAGCGACCCGGACTCGCGCTACGTGAATCTCTGCGTCGCCATATACGAGTGCGAGAGCACGGGCGGCAGCGAGTGGATCCTGGAGGACACGATTCATCTGAAGAACATTCATCTGCCGCGAATACCGGTGGACCAGCATCTGGACCTCAGCTACTTGTACGACAGTAGATTCTTGCAGAAGAAGCAACGGCTCACTCAGGTGCTGCAGACTCTCAGTCACGAGGACATAAGGTCCTCGAGAAACGGCGAGAACGGGGATTCCGCGAAAGCCGGCCTGCTGGCGGTTCCGTCGTTCAGCACCCTGCAATCTCTGCGAAAGTCGATTATAGAGAACGGCAACACGTGTCCGCTCACGCAGAAGCACCTCGTGCAGCTCGATTGGGTGTCGAAGGAGGACGGCTCGCACATTTTGACGGTTGGCGTCGGTTCCAAGATCATGCTGTTCACGCCGGTGTGCTCGGATCTCGCGCAGGCGAATATGAAAGCGATGAAGGAGTCGCAGAGCAACAACAGGCCGATACTGCGAAAGACCTCGTCGCTGGCGCAGCCGCAGTTCGTCGACGAGATCCGGTGGATGAAGCTGCGCAAGATCGAGCTGACGACGGCGGACGGCTTGCCGCCGTTGCCGATGCAGATATCCTGGGTGCGGGACGGCATCCTGGTGGTCGGCATGGACTCCGAGATGCACGTGTACTCGCAGTGGAAGCCGAACCCGAAGAACGATTGCTTCCACTCGAACCTGCAGCATCAGGAGTCCGACGAGTTCCAGGCGAGTCGGAATCTGCGCGACGAAGATCTGCGCACGCTGGCGCACGAGACGTCTCAGAGGCGACTGGCGAACGTGTCTTCCATGCCGCATCTGTCGCGCGTCAGCAGCATCAATCTCACTATGCTGGACGCGAAGAAGAAGCGCGGCATACAAAACGAGAACCTGAACTTCGATTACATGCCGGACTACGGGCTGTTCGAGGCGTCGAGGATAGCGTGTCCCGTCTTGCCGCAGTACCATCCCAAACAGCTGATGGAGCTATTGAACTCGGGGAAGATCAGGTGGGTGAAGGCTATACTGGCGCATCTCGTTCGATGCATAGGCAGCTCCTGCTCTTTGCGCGCCGACGACGAGAGTCTGGTGAAGCAGCGCGGATGGTCGCGATCGAGGACAATGTCGGTGAGTTACGTGGGCACAACGTCACCGTTGGAGCCGAGGGGCTCGACCACGCAGATACCGGAGGAGCTGACGCTGGACTACGCGGAGATCACCTCGATCTCTCCGCTCCCGCTGTGGACCCTGCTGATGGCCGACAAAGAGACGAACATACCGCACCAGCAGAACGAGGACAAGCACGATTACAACGAGCTATTCGACAGCAACCTGGACGAGGGGGAATCGTTGGACGACATGCTGGACGAGGGTTACGAATGCTCGCGGCAGAAGGACAGACGGTCGTCGGTGCCGGAGAGGCAAGGGATATCGCACTTCGGCCCGAGGCAAGGCAGACTGCTGTCGCGTCTCCTGACGCACACTCATCTCCCGGGACTGTCCAGTCTCGATCAGATGCATCTGCTCGCCCTGGCGGACACCGTCTCCACGTGCAACATCGACTTCGCGGAGAGATTCGCGATCGACGCGGCCAAGAATGCGATCGCCAAGGAAAATCTGACGGGTATTCCGGACGGCGAGACCGTGTCCACCGACTCGTTGGACGACTGCGGCCTCAGGTTTCTCCTGGCGATGAAGCATTACAATTATTTGATACGCTGCTTGCCGCTGGCGCAGAGAGCGCAATTCCAGAAACAAGGCATCGCATCGAACAATCTTGTGTGGGCGTTTCATTCCGAATCCGAGGAAGAATTGCTGGGGCTGATTCCATCTTACGCCAAAGGCCAACCGAAGTGGTCCGTGCTGAAGGAGCTCGGTGTGGGCTGGTGGATCAGGAGCAACACGGTGCTGAAGAAATGCGTGGAGAAGATAGCGAAGGCCGCTTTCCAGTTCAAGCAGGATCCCCTGGACGCGGCGATCTACTACTTGGCGATGAAGAAGAAGAATCTAGTGTGGGGATTGTTCAGGAACCAGCGGGACGAACGGATGACCACCTTCTTCTCGAACAACTTCGCCGAGAACAGGTGGCGAAAGGCGGCTCTGAAGAACGCTTTTGCTCTCCTCGGAAAGCAGCGGTTCGATCACGCGGCGGCGTTCTTTTTGCTGGCCGGCGCGCTCAAGGATGCTATCGACGTGTGCTTGAGCAAACTGAACGACATTCAGCTCGCGATGGTGATAGCCAGACTCTACGAGAACGATACGTCGTCACCTAATATGAGGAGGTTGTTGTACGAGGAGATCCTAGGCTGCGACAAGGACGGGCAAAATCAGGATATGAGCCGAGTGCATCCGGATCCCTTCTTACGCAGCATGGCTCTGTGGATCTTGAAGGACTATTCCGGCTCTCTCAATACTTTGCTGCTGACCAATGTCGGCCACATGCATCCGCAGTATAACGATGAATCTGATAAGCCGGAGGGAACGACAGGTAAGTGATACGAATTTTTCTCGCGCGCGCATCAAATTGCTCTTGGAATAACGCCTGACTCTTCAATCTCTTATTCCAGCGAATCCAAACGTCTTCAATTTCTACGTTTATCTCCGCACACATCCATTATTAATCAGACAATACATTGCGTCCACCGCGCAAGACAAGAAGAAAGGACATTCGGTGGTAATCTCAGGATTTAGTTACGGCACAGAAACGAAGAGTCAACCAGACAAACAGTTACTATTGGAAGATAGTATTACGCCGTTGGAGAGGCAGCTGTATTTCACAACGGCGCACGCACACTTTAAAGCTGGCTGTCCAGCTCTCGCTCTTGAAGTTTTGTCAAAATTACCCAATAAAGTTATGGACACAAACGGCGAGGACTCCCCGAGTACGTAACATGCATATATTTTTATTTATATTCATTTATATATCAATTGATTGACAATTTTGGAATTTTTAATTCAAACTTTATAATCTTTCTGTTCCAATAGGCTTACTTAATAGCCCGAGTAAGACCAGAGCTCAAGATGCTCAAATAGATACCGGTATCATCAATTGGGAAAATAAAGCGAATGCAGTAAATAATGACAAAGGTACGCAGAACTGTTATTGTTATAAGTAAAAATTTATTGAGAATTTACTAAAAATACAAAATATTTGCAGAAGTAACAAGCTCTGTTGATTGGGGTGCGTCATCATTCGAATGGTCTCAAAGCTCCAGACGCGGGGAGGATAAATTAGAGTTAAACTGGGACGACGATGATGCGGGTGAAGCTGAAGACATCGACACTCCTCCCATAAGCATGAAACTTGACAAGAAAGAAGAAGATGAGCCACATAAATTAGAAAATGATGATAGTAAGCAATTGTTTTCTTATTGCGATCTAAGTTAATTCTTATACGATTATATTATTGATTGATAATAAATTATCAATGTTCTAAAAGACGGGGCAAAATCGGCTGGTCAGTTAGACATCATGGCGCAACAGCTGAAATTCGTGGCTTGTCTGAAGATCTTGATGGAAGAACTGTCGACGTTAGCGACGGGTTTCGAAGTGGACGGAGGTCAATTGCGATATCAACTGTACGTGTGGTTAGAACGAGAAGTGGATGCATTGAGGCAGCTTTGCAGTTACAGTACTAACGCAGACGGAGATGTGAACATCGTGACAGAGTGTAATTCTTTTTTTCTTTCGCATGTATAATTATTATAAGTAATATGATAACAATTTTGAGAATTGTGAGATAATGAAAATCAATGGCGGTGTGTTAATAGAGGAATAAATTTCAGACGAAGGCGGAATGGTCGACGATGTGCCGCCATACAAGCCCGGCGAGCAACCGACGCTACATCAAATATTAGTAGCAGAGAAATTAGATTTTGAAGCTAAAGTACAGAGAGCTGCAAAGAGGAAGAAGTGGCTTAAAGGTGGATTGCGTTAATTTTATCTTATTATTGTTTAATCGATGTGCAGCTTAATAAGATTATTTAATATTGTATTTTGTAAAAATAAGGAGTAAAACATCGAATTGATCAACGTTTTTGCAATTTTCAGCTAACGAAACATTATTGAGGACATTGTTATCGTATTGTTCTCTGCACGGCGCATCGGGAGGCGGCCTAGCGTCAGTAAGAATGGAACTGGTACTTTTGCTACAGGAATTGCAACAGGAAAAGACTCAACAACAATTGCTCAGTCCTCTTCCTTTCCCCACTACGTTACCTCTGTTAAGCGCCAGCGTTGCTTGCAATAAGACTGTCGTAGCTGATCCAGTTCGACATCTGCAGGTTCGATATTTTTATCGATTCATCTTCATCAATTTATATTGACATCAATTTATATCTAATATCATATTTCTTGTAGTCTCTCGCGCATGATATGCTGCAAACATTAGTAGAATTACGCAATCCGCCGATGCCTAACAGAAATACGCATTATTGTGAAGTATTCATCATGAGAGATCTAGCAGTAGCTCTTAGCGCCTGTATTTACCAATCACTTTGTGACTCAGATACGTTTGTTATGAAGCATCATCAGCCAGAGAGGTAATTCATTTTTTTCATTAAATTAGTTTTACATATTTTTTTGTACAATGTGTATAATTATATACATGTTTAAAAACAAACCGGATGTTAATGCATACGTGTTGTCTTCAGTTTCCCAGCGGTCGCCGAAGTGGAAACGTTCTCAGGTGGTCACTTAGTAGCTTCAAATAGATATCATAGACGATATTCAACGGATGATGGTGTATGCATAACTACCTCACCTTCCAAGTGGCCGGGCGTGACGAATTTGCGCGCGTTGTTAGCTCGAGAGAAGGACGAGGACACTCCAAAGCTGAATATTCTTCTCTGCGAGGCTTTCGTCGCGACGTACATGAGCCTCTTCATCTACGCTCTGTCGAGTTGTGACAGTCACATTTTGTACAGGCTCGTGGGACAACGCTTTGATAACAACACGTGGGCTTCTCTTTTTGGTCGGTGGAGTGAAGAAGCTGTTGCGCGTAGCAAGTACAAGTAGCCAGGTATAATTGATTTTTCTAATATGTGTGTGTGTGTGTGTGTGTGTGTCACGAATATTTGTTTTATTTATGTGTCTTTTTAAGGGTAACGTAAACAGCGTCGAGCGAACCGATAGTGTGGCGAGCGAGATTCAAAGTACCGCCACTGGCATGTGGAACACTATGACGTCACTGACCAAACAACGCGTCAAGCTGAATATGAAACTACTGGGACAATTTACGGGTCAACAACCAAATATGAAAGAGGATAAACCTACGTATAGGGAACAGTTTGTTTCGCCGCAGATGAGCATGATTTCCTATTTTCTCATGAAGGTTGGATATCGAGGGATTTTATGCATTGCCCATTGTTTTACGAAAAATACAATTATAAAAAGTGATTACGTTATTTTTTCAGCCGCGCATAGAGACCGAGTACGCGGATGAAATTGACTACGACTCATCTGATTCCGCGGTGTCGGACTTAGATTCTACGGACGATGAGGAAGACGTATTCGATACGAGTACGAATCCAAAGAGCAAACCAAAGGATAATACGGAGCATAGTAATTCCAACTCGTACAGTTGGAGCGTGATGAGATTCGCAATAGTTAAAATACTGCAGCAGCAATTACAAGACTTTCTAACTGTTGCCGGCATAGAAATGCAAGGTAGGAACGTTTTTTTTTTTTTTTAGATATCCCAAGTATATAATTTATAACGATGTATTGACAAATACGTTACTTATTCCAGAATTACCTGTAAGTAGTCCGTTGATCCACGGTACACTGGCGATCGTCGCCCAGTGGCAAGATTCTTTGCGCGAAGAATTGGAGCTTAAAGGCCCGCCGTCGGTGACTTATATACCCGGCTGTGCGCCAGATCCTTCTCCTACGCCTGGAAAACCAGCCATTCATAAGTATCGATCCTTGTTAGAGAAAGGAAATACACCGTTTAAGTAAGCAAAATGCAATTTTTTTTTGCATAAAAGTTGAAGTAGGAGAGAGCAAAAAGAGAGAAAAATATTTTTACGATTTCAGCACGCGATTGGCATCCGCAGCGCCTACCAATCGCTTGTGGTGTTACTTGATCAGGCAGGAATTGGTTCAGGATATTTTCATTCGAGCAGTGTTCGGAAAGCGAAGATCCCTGTCAACGATACTTGAAAGTAACCAGTCGGTCGTCGACAGCGTGCATCGTGGAACTGGAGAAGATAAGGGTAGTGATAGTGGCACTACAAGTTTGCCGGAACCAGTCAGAATCATCCATAAAGAACAAGATAGCATCAGTGCCTTCTGTCTCAATCAGGTTCTTGTTTTTTTTTTCAACTATTGTAAAGAATCATCCATAAAGAACAAGATAGCATCAGTGCCTTCTGTCTCAATCAGGTTTCTGTTTTTTTTTTCAACTATTGTAAAAAATCATCCACAAAGAACAAGATAGCATCAGTGCCTTCTGTCTCAATCAGGTTTCTGTTTTTTTCTTTCAACTATAGTAACGTTTTTTCTAATAAAACTTTTTTCAACGCTATCGAATTTAGATAACGAAAAGAATATTTTATGTAAACTTCTGTTGGATGGATTCGTAATTTCGATTTTATAAGATGACAATGTATACTCTAATGTCGTTGATTGATGATCGTATACAGGTGAATCCAGGTTTAATGGCCCTCGCTACACCTCGAGAAGTGCAAGAAATGAATATTTCCCTGCTCCTAGAACTCCCGTCGTGGTTGGAAGATGAATGCGAATTTGATATCATCAATTTGAATAAGCAACCTGATCCAGAGCCTGTACAGCCAACCAGTTTCTTAGTAATACAGGTACGGTTTAATGATGGTTTTGCAGTTTACACAACAATGAACTTCATATTTTATACGCAAATAATTTATAGACAGCAGCAGATCGTCCGTTGTTGGCACAGAGTCCTCAGACGAGCAGTCCTCAGCCTCACTCAGGTATAGCCAGTCAAAGTGGACGTGGCGCGAGTGTGGTAAGTTTCAAATTATATTACATCATTTACACGGAGTAAATAATATAAAAAGATCGCATTACCTTCATCTATCAAGATTGCTTTTTCAATGAAGTTATACAAGTAATTTTCTATTTTATAAATAGATATAAGATGCACATCTCATAAGTCGAAAGACAATCTTTTTTTATCAAACATTCTATATTCTAATAGAGAGCTCGTGAATATTTTGAATATGATAAAAACAAGATAAAGATAAAACTTTTCATAACTCCAATCTTGTAAATATAACTTAGATTAATTTATATAAAAATTTAGTTAATTTTATTTCCAAATTTTTATCTATATATTTTTGCACTACACATTTTTCGTTTAACATCTCACCTTTAAATGCTAAGTTCATAGGCTAAGTAAGATAAAATGCATTTCATTTTCCCTCTATGTTATATTATGTATAATTATTTATTATTACAAAGTAGAGAGAGTCTTTACTTTTGTTTGGAGCGTAACTGTATATCTCACCATGTATTGTTTGCGTATGCGTGCGTGAGTGTGAAAATATGTCATAATCATACAAGAAATTGTGTCCAGCGAAATTAAGTAATTCACACATGGTGGAAGTATTTGCAATATTTTCGAGATCAATATACAGACTCCAAGTAGCTTATAAGTATCTAGTAACGAGAGTTCCTTGGCAACACATAGGAGATTATAAAAAAGTTTTTTTAACAGGCTTTTAATAGTAAGGATTTGAGTAGGAAGAGTGCTGTCCACCCAGAATATTCCAAGATCATCATATGTGTAACAAGTCCTTGCATATATATTGTATATTTGTCTGTTTGACATCACTTCACATAGACAACATGTATCTTATAATAATGTCTGCTCTTCGATCTTTAAGTAATAACATTATTGGGCAATATTCATTATACCTTTACAGAATGATGCGAGTATAGAAACATTATCTTGCACCGAAGACAAAAGACTTATTAATCAATCATACATTGCATGATATATATTGAGACTAAAGCGTGCACACTATGTCTCACATATCAGGATAGGCTGAATTCAAGGCTTGCTCGCTTTGCGAAGTGAATGTTGAAAACGAATTCATCACACCTCTTTCTGTTCCAAACTGAGAGAGCTTGATGAGTCACTTCTCATATTCAACGGCAATCTCTTTGTCGATTTTTAAATGCAGCTTTGTTGAATGCCATTAAAGATAAAAAAAAAACATTGCGAGACAAGCTTTGCAAGCCGTGAATGTGGTGTACTGGGTTAGGGTAGCACAAGTGGTGACGGAGACAATGTTGCTTGTTCAATGCTTGCCTAACATCTAACTCGGTCTGCGTCACTGAACTGGCGGCTCATTCGCTCGCTCAGATGAAGGGGATGCCTGCTTTTCCTGGCTCCCACGACCTGCGTTTCTGTCAATTTGTTGCTGATAGGAGCAAACACTTGTTAAAGCCGGTGAGATTTACATCTAACAGACCCTAGTCTATTCTAGTGCAAATCTTCATGTTTAACTCTTTTTTGGATAACAAACAGATATCTGATTTGTAATATGTTGAAGACTCATATAAATATATATAATTTACAGTATTATTGTGAAAAAAAAAACGAGATCTGAAAAGATATTATTACGCGTTCTTGACAGTTTTTTACATATGTTGCAAGTCAGATATATTTGAATTTCAAGAAGACCTTACAGCTCAAGTGTAAGGCCTGTTTTTAGAAATATTTAGCCATTATCATTTTGTCTAAGAGCTCATATGCAATATGCACAGTGCATTAATTTTGTATTTTTTTGCTTATATTATTAGTACTAGAGAAAGTCGGAAAGTAAAGGGACATTTTCAATTGACTTGGAAATCCGAAATTTACTTTTTGATTTTCCCTAGTATAATAATGATATAAAGATTTCGTAAAAATTTTGGCATATATCAATTATGCATCTCCTCAATTGGCAAATATAGTGTTTCATCTGCTCCTTGATTCTCATAGATGTTACATTTGTAGTTCGTGAATGAAACTATATTTTATCACAAATATTATTAGATTTTGAATGTGTTAAACGACATGATCGGAATGTGAAATATCTAATGCATGTATTAATCCAAAATTTCTCAATCGATTGTATAATTTTGGCGGATAGTCCACATTTTACAAATATTACGCTTCTCATATTTCAGTATGAACATCACGAATTTTGAATATGTAGAACTCCATTAATGTTTCGTTATGTAATACGAATCCACATTCATGTACACGTCCACATGTCAATTCAATGTCAATGCTAATCATAGAGATAAACGTTAGAGCAGCTAATTCCGCAAGCTAGTGGCCGAAAAGCAGTTTCAGCCGAAAACTAGTTGCAAATTACCTTAACCAGAAACTCGCTGCAACGAAACGCATGCTACATGTTCATTATGCAATTCCATTGAGTCTACTTTGCGTTAACGTAACACCCAAAGTGCGTTATATACCTCAACATTGCCGAATGTGTTTCATGAAGTTATGTTTAATTCTGCTGGAATATATAAATGTATATATCTTTATCTCCAACCTTTTCACGCGCCAATTCAATCGATCGTCCATTTTATTCCGGTAGATTCTGAAGCATAAAATCGACGGAATCAGAAGAATCTCTTCCCACCCGCTTTTGCCGCTATGTGAGTATATTTCCGAAGGATTTTAGATGATTTAAATCTATTAGAAACTTTTTTTACATTAATTTTCACCGATTCTTTACGTACATTGCGTATTTTTGGCAAGTGTTTGCATAAATTGTGCACACGACTTTAGATGTAATAATGTGTTTGTTTTTTCATACACGGCGACACCAGACTTAACCGGATCGCAGGATGGCTCTGTGTCGTTGTGGGAATGGGGACATCAGACGGCGGTGGCCACTCCGAGAGCGCCGGGTACTTTTGCCAAAGTCACCCGCGTGCGATTCTCTCAGCACGGCAACAAGTTCGGCGTGGCCGATTCCGACGGTCACCTCAGCCTGTTTCAAGTGGCCTGTCGAGAAGGAGCCGCTCGACCGTTCTTTGTAAGAATTTCGAACTCTGTCTAATGTTGCATATGTCACTTGGCATGGCCGTTCACAGCGCGCTCTCGAATCTGTCTTAGAATTATCAGTGCCACAGCAAAGTGACCTCGGACTTCGTCTTCCTTGGTGCATGCAGCCTCGTGGCCACTGCGGGACATGGTTCGGAAGGACGGAATGTAGCACTGTGGGACACGTTGCTTCCGCAAAATAAATCTCTCGTACAAGGTACAAATATAATTTCGTACGCATCATGCGTGTGAAAAATAAGTTTCAGAGCTAATAAATCGTTCTGCTTCGTCAGGTTTCATGTGTCACGAGCAGGGAGCTAGTGCGTTGATCCTGGCGCCGCAGCATCAGCTGCTGATCAGCGGCGGCAAGAAAGGCGACATCAATATATTCGATGTGCGGCAACGACAGCAGAGGCATAGATTCCAAGCGCACGAGTCGGCCATCAAATGTCTAGCGCTTGATCCGCACGAGGAGTTTTTCGTTAGTGGGGCAGGTGATGGTGATATCAAGGTAAGCGAGTCATCGCCTCTTTGAGGGCCGTTTTAATGAAGTATAAGGTGCATCGCGGAGTAAGTGAAATCTAAAACATATATGCTTCTTGTTCGTTCGTTGACTCTTGATGTATCTAATCAGTATTACCTGAAAATCAACGAAGATGATGGGCGTGAATTGCATTCTCTTCTAAGTTCCGCTAATTTACAGCGCAATTTTATTGATTGATAAACGATTTCGTCCGCAGATATGGGGTTTGACCGTCCATTCTCTCCTATATTCATTTCCTGGTGAACATCCACGGTCTAGTTTCTTCAAAAACATAGGACAGGTAAGGCACTTTTACAATTATCAATCTGTTTCGATGCGAAAGGGAGGCATAACCTGATGATCTCGTTGTTGGCAGGGCGTTACCCAATTGCATGTGGACTCCGCGGGTCGATTGTTTTCCTGTGGAGCGGATGGTTCGATGAAAGTCCGTCAACTGCCAGAACGCGATTGTGTAATACAAACGCTTTATTAGAATTAAAAAGAAAAAAAAACAGATGATGAAAGAGAAATGAATATTAAACGTTTTGCGCGAAGAGCTGAATATTTATTGATTATATACATATACACACATGAGAAGCGAAGTGTTAAAGAAGTCAACGCAGTTCATTGATCGCTGTTGTATGATATATCTACTTTCACATACAAATCATGCAAATGAGTATCTGCATGGCTAGTATGCTGTAACAAGCTAATCAGGTGTTATTTATAAATATATATATATATAAATATATATATATATATTGTTTTATTCGAGAACTACTTTATTACATGATAAAGTAGTGAATTCCGCACGAATATTGTTGTTGTTGTCCAAAACTGAAGCTCTTTTAGTCTAAACTTAGTGAAATTATAATCTTAGATAGTCTCAAAGTGTTTCCCTGATTAAAAAAAAAGAAAAAACCAAAGCAGCGAGCAGATACACGAGCAACGCGTAGCACCGAAGAAACGGCTACGACATTAGAAACGGTACTGTATTTTCCCTAAAAATGTATTTCGTATGGAGCCGCATACATAGTACTAATGATCATTCCTTTCACACATGAAAGTAATATTAAACGATTCGATAAACGATATGTAATAATCTACGTACCTTCATATTTTAATATGTAATATATGTATTTATAAATCAGTTGGATGAATTTTACTGTTTCGTGGCAAATAATTTAAAGACGATTTAACCGAGCTTTATAGCGGTTATTGATTGATAGCGAAATGGGATATTTCTTTAGTGAGACAGTGATTTCTGTGTATTATTTGTTGAAATAGAAACGATGCGATGTAAGTTATTGTTCTATAATATAGTTCGATAAATTGGTTCGAATCCTCGTGTATTCAAAGTAACTCCTCTTCGATGCTTTCTCATCGTCGCTACTCCGCAATGTGACATATGCGATAACAATACTATTCTTAAGGTACATGAAATATAGTAGGCAATTTTGGATAATGAGTGAAATACAAAACTCTTGTAACTCTGTGTTGCTTTCTGATGAACACTTCTCTTTCTATCTCTTTTGTTTTTTCTAAAATGTGTGATATACTCGCCTGATAATAATTACAGTAACGTATTGCTGTGCAACATGACGCTTATCGCATATCCATACACCGTTGCAATAGCACGAATATCGAACGACTTAAATATATATGTTACCAGCGATAAATAAATGATAGGAGAATTTTGTTTTCGAATCGAGCTTCACTGTTTCACGAAAATATCTAGATAAATGTGTTTTCCTCGTATCCAGTTTTGTAAAAGCATAGCGTGAACCGAGATCAAGCATCGTTCAGTCAGCTTGTTTGAAAATGTATAACGCCATTTATAATTTTAAATTAGTATTATTTTTGCCGCTACATTTTTCCGCAAATACAATTGCTGCTAGTATTCTGTTAACTATATAATTATACATAAATGATAAGTTACAGCAAAAGATTTATTTTTGTTATGTGCACATGTTGAATAATACTATTTAGTTGTATAGTCGAATTGAGCGCACTTGTTTGATTTATGCTGCACACTTATAAAGAACACTTTTTTATTGATTTTCCGCACTTTAATTTAATATGACAAAATATAGCAAAAAAAAAAAATAGTTTATAGTCAATTGATTTTAAGCATGCTTTATTTTGTTAGGAAACATAGTGAAGAGAATCTTCTATGGACATGTAAAGTCAGTATTCTGTCCTAAACGAAGGCTGATGATAATAACAATCTACACCAATCCAGTTTTTGAGGAATTTAATATGTAAATTGTGCACATACATGTATGATTATGTAACATTTCTGTGAATCTTTGTTTGGATCGTTGTAAGCGGAGTCGATGGTATTGTATACTTGATCATACAATAAATATGTGCAAATTATAAATACCAGAGATAATAAGCTTTTGACAATACATATACTCGTATATTATACGTTATATATAGTTTTAAATTTACATTTTACAGAATAATGCATAGTATTACACTTTGAGGAACAAGAGTAGAGAATAATCGATAACACGAAGGACATCTTTTTGCAAGCCAATTGAAATAGTGTGTTTATTAAATACGACGCACATTTTACTACAATAATGTAAAATCTCTAGTGGCGTGTCAATTATGCGCATCCCAGGGGAATGTTTTTATGGGCGACAACGCTCCAAATAGCGTGGATACAAGCATACCTCACGTATGTGATATCTGTTCAACAGCCAGCACAGAAACCGTTCTAATCCTAATCCGTAACCACCGTGAGGGCAAGTGCCGTACTTCCGCTGCAAAATAGGTAATGCAATTACATAATCTGCAATGTTGTGTCAATTGCAATTTACGAGATTCTCTTCCAGATATTTACCTGATCTGTGTACCAGTAATACGGCTTCGGATCGATATTCTCACGCTTGTAGCCTTCCAACAACTCGTCGTAATCCCAGACACGCATCGAGCCACCGACGATTTCACCCACGTTCGGCATAAGTACGTCGACGGATTCGGTTAGGCGTTTATCCTCCGGACAACGTTGCATGTAAAACGATTTAATTTCTGCAGGAAAACGGCAGAGCATTATTGGTTCGTTAATAGCATCGGTCATCTCCCTTTCTGGCTTTTCTGGAATATCCTACAAAAGACGATTACTATTATTGTCATCATCCAGATTAGGCGCTAGAAGGTAATGACAATTTATACGTACTTCTCCAAATTCGTAAAAACTGCCATCGTCCTTCGTGATATTGTTCTCTTTTAAATATTCGATCGCCTCGCTGTAGTTCATTCGTTTGAAGGGTCTCTTGGGAACTTGGAAGTTGGGGTTTAATTCTTTGACGATGTGGCCAAACGGCGATCGTAAAACTCGATCGACCACATCGCAAATCAAATCCTCTAGTCGATCGAGCAGGTCATCAAATGTGATAAATCCGCATTCTGCCTCGATGTGCGAGTACCTATAATTAATTTAACAATTAATGAATTGTAAAAAAAAAACAAATTTAAAAAGGGACTTGTATACGAACTCGGCAAGATGACGACGCGTTTTTGATTTCTCTGCCCGATATGACTGAGCAATGCAGAATACATCCCCCAATGTTGGAAGACATGTCTCAAGGTACAGTTGAGAACTCTGAGTAAGAAATGCGGTTTCCCTGAAAGAAAATATTGATTAATTTTTTCGTACATAAATGTGCGGTTAACAGTACATTTATATTTAATGCATACCCAAAATAGTCTAATTTGAAAAGAGTTGAACCGCCTTCCACCTGAGTTTGCACCAACGTTGGCGGAGTTACCTCGTAATAACTGCGATCTTTATAATGATCTCTGAATGCTTGCGTTAATATAGATCTCATTACTAAAATTTTTGATGTCTGAAATGTAGAATAATGATTAATTCTAATAAAAATGGTATTAATGTAAATGCATGAAAGCTTTGATATCGTACATTCTCGCCTCGAATCATTATATGCCTGTTGTCCAATTGTACGTCAGGCTGAGCTTCTTCATTTAAAATCGAATCAGCACCACCAGGGGGCGATGGTCCGATGAGTTTCCAATAATCAACAGATAATTCTTGTCCACCAGGTGCCTAAAAATAAATAATTTATAAGCATACATTATTTAGATCGTATGTTCGTAATATTTAAGGTAGTTTATCATGTTGGACATACGCTCTTTCCTTTGGGGACAGTTTTCAATGTTCCAAACACCTGAATGGAAGCTTCTGTTGCAAGAATCAAGGCATCATACGTTTGACACAGCTTATCAGTCATTACACACTGCAGGAAGCCCGTCCCATCTCGCAGAGTGATAAATATAAGAGCCTTGCCTGTGACAAAAATTGCTCTATAAATTGTTATGGACAAAATAATATAAATTAATATAAAATAAATTTAATCATACCTTGCCGTCTGAATCTATGCACCCATCCGTATAGTGCAACTCTTTCATCTTTATGATCTGGAGCTTCTCTTATTTTGATCTGTTTTGGTTTCGCCAGAGACTCGTCTTCATCTAGAACAATTGTCTTAGCCTCTTCGAGATTTTTCAATCTTTTCTCTTCATCCTCCAACAGCTTCTCCTCTTTCTTTTCCTTTCCTTCATTCTTCTTCTGTTCTCTAATCCAAATCTTGTGTGCTTTCTTTAACTGAGACTTGGATACTGGATCATACTTTTTGCCATCTTCGCGAGAATCTTGGTAGACAGTTGGAAAGGGTTCTTCCTTTAAGTTTTCCCTACCAACATGAGCCACTGCTTTTAAAATAGTTTTAAAGGGCTTACTTTCTGATCCATCTCCTATCTCATCATCACCATGCTTTTCCGATGTATAAATACCTTGTAAAATATTTAACATTGTACTTAAAGAGTGGTTGTTTAATTATATTATTAAATGTGTTACATATGTTAAAAAATCAAATATATACATATAATTTTATATTATCTTTATCATTATTATTGCATTCATTAGTCTGATGCAACTTACTTGTCAATATGACCCCACTTGCAGACATTTTGATTGATTAATCTATCTCCAGGTAACTGAATATACACTGTACAAAAAAATATTCAAATTATTAAATTATATTTTAACATAGCTTTATGCTTATGTTATAATGTTATATCTTGTGACACAATATGGGACACATAATGTTATAGCAAAACTGTGAATTATAATAACAAAGTATATAAAATAAAAATGTGTTCTAACCTGTGCAAACCTAGGTATTTTCTTTTTACATTTTTAATAAGTATGTTCAAAGTTTTTACGCAATTTCAAAGAATAAATCTATTAACTTACCGAATGCAACGTGTCGCGTAGTAATCAACGTGTAGTAATCACTGAACTGCATATACTGCAAACAGTGCAAACCTTTATCTAACCGGTCAACTCACTCCACAACCTATAGCAGTGAAGTAAGAAGGTTTGTTCTTTATAGCTGAACTGGCTGCACTAGTTTAGAGTTTATCTTTCTCCTTCCAATGTGGAGGAAAAAAGATAAACTCTGAACTAGTGCAGCCAGTTCAGCTATAAAGAACAGACTTAGAATGATCACCACTGACATCACATTGCATCACATTTTAGCCCGGATTTTATGAAATTGTTAATAGGAGCACATGATGATAGAGGAGGATATGACGAAAACGCTTATCATCGGTACACTTACCATCAGTGGTTTTGTCAGCTGTTGCAACAGCTGACCAAAAGATGACACTACTCTCGTACGAGCTCCTGCATCATCATGTGCTCCTGTTAACAATTTTTCAATTCCGGCTAAAATGGAGCCGAAAAATAAAAATTGAGGGACGCGATTAGGCGTTTTCTGGCCGTTGAGCATCCTCTAATCTTGATGTTGCCCTCCACAGTTACTCCATGCATCACTGTACCGAAATAGTGCGTAACACGTGCTTTGTGAAACATTTGATATTATTGAAAGAAAAAGATGAAGTTTTCATACAAGGTAAAATATTTATTATTTTTAACATGACACAATATATGCATTGTGTTGTGCATTAAATTACGGAAGTTATTATACATTTTTTGTATGTGACGTTTTTTAACCTATAACTATTGTTTATATCCTTTTATTTAAGATTAACTGGCATTGATTTTGATAAATTTTTTACATAAATTTAAATTATAATTTATAAATAATTTGTCAATAGTAATTGAGAATCAATAAAATATGTAAGTAATTTAAATATTGAAATATAAGAATTCTAGACTAACAATATCCATGATATGTAGAAGGAATATATTTATATATTTTAATGTTGCTTTTTATTTTTTTATTGCAGTTCAGCAATTTACTTGGCACAGTTTACCGCAAAGGGGACTTACTCTTTTCTCCAGATGGAGCATCAGTAATTAGTCCTGTAGGCAATAGAATTTCAATTTTTGATTTGAAAAAGTAAGTATTATAATATTAACACTAATTATATACATCTAAAAGCTTCAAGAAAAGAAATGAAATGTTGTATAGTGTTAACTGAAGATCTGTATATGGTATATGAAACTGATTTTTTTTTTAGCAATAAATCTATGACACTTCCTGTGGAAAGCAGATTTAATTATACTACTATCGATATATCACCCAATGGTAGTTTGTTAGTCGCAATTAATACAGGTAAGATTTCTTTTTGTCTATTTGTAGAAGTATAATGCTTGTAAAAACATACTTGTAAAAAAACATATCTTTTACAGATGGTGAAGCTCATATAATTAGTTTGATAAGTAAAGTGATTCTACATAAATATAGATTTAAAGGGCGTCCCAAGCGTGTAAAGTTCTCTCCAGATGGAAAACATTTTGCGGTTTGTAAAGGAGGTGGTGGTATGTGTTTATCTTGAACTTTTAAAATTTTATTCTCGTAAAACAATTTTTGTTACTCGAGATAATGTATATTTCTTTATGTTTTAGTTTTTGTTTTCAACGCACCAGGCTTACAAACTGGGGATTACAATCCTTTCATTATGGAACGTGCATTTCATGGGGCTACTGCAGAAACCACTTGTGTTACTTGGTCCTTTGATTCAAAACTTTTAGTGGTTGGTTCAAAGGATACTACTGTAAAAGTATATAGTTTACAAAAATGGGCGAATTTTAGATGGGTTACATTGGGCGGTCACTCTGATGTGATAGTAGCATGTTTCTTTGAAAATAAAAATTATGATATGTACACTATTAGCAAGTAAGTAAAAAAGCTTAAACTATTTCTATCGTATTAATTTGAAAAGTGAGTTTATTGCTTATTATTTTACATATATTATAATTCTATTATGGTGTAGAATTATAATATAGAAATATTTCGTACAAATAACAAATCAACATGCAAATTTTTGGATTTTTTTTACAGAAATGGTCGGCTCTTTGTCTGGGAATGTACAATTGATCCAGATGATTGGGTTGAATGGCAACCACTTGCAAAAAGGGAGAAATCTAATGACAGTGATAGTGAGGATGATATTGACGTAGAAAAAATTCTAGAGAAAACGGAGCAACAAAAAGCCTATGCTGAACAAAAATTATTAGAATCAGGTAATAATATTTTCTATTCTATAAGATTGTCAAAAAGTTTTATATTGTGTTATAATTAATGCAATTAATGTTGAAATGTATAGGAAAAATTGCATTTTTTAAATTTATTGGTTATCTTATGTGTCTTACGTATCTTTTTATATGTATCCACCTTAGACATAATTTTTGACATTGTAATTCTAAACGAAATAGAACATAAATATTATTTTATTTACAAAAGTACATATTTCAGATGAATTGAACACAAGAACACAAGAAGAAGAAGACACTGAAAAAGAAGAAAAGGATACAAAAATGAAAATGCTGGGTTACAAAAAGTTAGCGACTCATTACTTGGCAGACGAAGTCCACAAGCAGAATAAAGATGCAAAACTTACTGCAGCAGCTTATCATCAGGATACTCATATATTAGTTATTGGCTTTAACAATGGTTCATTTTATTTATACGAATTGCCGCACGCCACTATGATTCATTCATTAAGGTATAGTAAGATTAAAGTTGTTAAATTCTTTAGAAATATTACATTATTTAAAACCACTTATGATTTTATCGTGCAGCATTTCTCGACAACGTATTTCATCGATCGCATTAAATCCTGCTGGAGATTGGATAGCCATAGGATGCTCTCACGCCGGTCAGCTGCTGGTTTGGGAATGGCAAAGCGAGACGTACGCCATGAAACAGCAAGGGCACAGAACCAACATGAACTGTCTGGCGTACAGTCCCGATGGCCAGTACATCGTGACAGGCGGCGACGACGGGAAAGTCAAACTGTGGAATACACTGAGCGGATTTTGCACGCTCACGTTTCACGAGCATACCTCGTCGATATCCAGCGTTCTGTTCAGTCATAATCGTAAATTCATCGCGTCCGCCTCGCTGGACGGAACTGTACGAGCGTACGATCTAGCGAGGTACAGAAATTTTCGAACTCTTACGTCGCCACGCCCGGTGCAATTTTCCTGCTTGGCACTCGACGCGAGCGACGAGTTTCTCGCTGCAGGTGGTCAAGATTTCTTCGATATATATTTGTGGAGCATGAAACTCGGAAGTCTGTTGGAGGTGTGTTTAATTTTGTTAATCAAATACTAAACTGTACGATTTGACTCTTGTGTGTGTGTGTGTGTGTGTGCAATTGTGAAATCTGTATTACGTATGATTACACAACTTTCATATATTCAGTCTTTAATTTTGACTTGATCTTACATAGATATTGAGTGGTCACGAAGGACCGGTTGCAAGTCTGGCGTTCAGTCCGAGTCCTGCCAGCACAGAATTAGTGTCTGCATCCTGGGATAAAAGTCTGAAAATATGGAACGCCATTGAGAACGGTTCGGCGCACGAGACAATACGATTGACCGCTGATGCATTATATGTAACTTATAAACCAAGCGGAGAAGAAGTCGCTGTCGCTACGTTGGACGGACAGATTACGTTTTTCGAATGTAAAACGGCAAGACAAACGGGTTTCATCGAAGGCAGGAACGACTTAGGCGCTGGTAGATCTAAGACGGATCTCATTACAGCGAAAAAGAATTTAGAGGGCAAGTGAGTAGTTCAGCGCAAAGAATATTATGCATTAAACATATATATTTTAACGATATATTATTAATTCTATTTTTTTTCACAGAGCTTTTACTACATTATGCTATTCGGCTGACGGTATGTGTATATTAGCCGGCGGCCGCTCCAAAAACGTGTGTATCTACAATGTTCAAGAATCTGTATTGTTGAAGAAATATGAGATCACGCAAAATAGATCTCTGGATGGCGTGGACGTGAGTAAAAATATACAACAAATTTTCTGATAAAAATTCTCAGTTTTTTCAATAATTTTAATGCTATTTCCATCGCGGCAGGATGTTATAAACAGGAAATATATGTCTGAATTTGGAAACAGAGCTTTGATTGAACATCGTGAAGGCGGAAACATATCGTTACGATTGCCAGGTGTCAAGAGTGGTGATATGGCAAGTAGGAGAGTCAAACCAGAAGTGCGAGTATTCTCTTTACAGTTCTCTCCTACAGGTAAAAAGGAGTAATTTATTAATTATTAATTTAACGGTTAAATAAGCGTATTACTTCTTATCAGTATATGTTCTACTAATTTTACACATATGCTTTTATCTAATAAAATAGGACAAGCATGGGCCGCAGCAACAACAGAAGGTTTATTGCTATATTCCTTGGATATTGGATTGATGTTCGATCCCTTTCAACTAGAGCTTGGAGTCACTCCGGATACCGTAAGAGAGACACTTGACAAACAGGAATATGCGAAGGGTATAAACATTTTTAAAATCAATAACCAGATGTGCTTTGAATATGAATGATCAGCTTAATTCAATGATACTTACTTACTTTTCTAGCGCTAATGATGGCATTAAAATTAAACGAGAAGTCATTAACACAACAAGTTCTAGAGACCATTCCGTACAAAGAAAGTAAGTTCATTAAACGTATTAATAATTTTATCTCAATGATGTGATGCTTAATGAATATTATACTTTATTTTTCATTCTTACAGTGGAATTAACAACGACGAGTATACCAGATGTTTATATAGAGAAACTATTGAAATTTATAGCATCCGAGTTGGAATCGACTAGACATATACATTTTTATCTCTTGTGGGTGGAAACAATCTTGACGAAACACGGATCACGGATTAATTCTGCACTCCAGATGCCAGTGTTGTTGATGTTGCACAAGAATATGCAGAAGAAATATGATGATTTGAGTAAAATGTAGGTTTTTGTTACATTTTCGTAATTGTATAATATACTATCACTGTAAACCCGGGAAACTGAAAATGTTTATTCTTACAGATGTGATTTTAATCAATACACAATAAGCTACATTCTGAGAATAGGAGAATCACAATCTGCGAATGAGACATCCAACGATGCGGCGGACGACAAATATGATTTTTCCATAGAAGAAATGGATACTAGTTAAGTTTTAAATTTTATAGGACGAAGACTTTTTGATAATGTACATAAATTTATGTATAGAAAATAAACAAATGCAGAAAAGTATATACATTCCATTTTTACAACTTGCAAATTTGTAATACACTTGGAATTTGATTTTTAGTTGACGCAACGACGATGATTCATATGTTTCAGTGAATGTGAAAAGAAATGCTGATTATGGATAATATGCATCGAATATTGACAAACGTTTAGAACCTCGTGTCATTTTATCACGGTACCTTTTTGAGCAGCACTGTCGGCCAATATAAAACGACGAAAAGTAGAAAGAGTATAGGAAATACAATTCTGCTGTAGCAATCTATTTTCTGAGAGCGAGTTTTACGCGATTGCATTATCTGACTTTTGGGATTTAGCCACAGAGTCGGCAGTAAATACCGACTGGTCCGCTTATTCTCCGGCTTATTCGCGTAAGTGAACTCGTCGTCCCAGATGCTTTTCGCTGTTAATCGCTAAAAAATATAATTACATCCGATAAATAAAAGGCAGTTTGTGTGCTAAATTAATGTCAGTATTAAACTTTAAATTTCACATTACAAATTTGTATCCTCTTTACAAGATGTAAATTTTGTAATTGGATACAAACCGAAAATGAACGAGATCCCATAGAACTTTGCGAATCGTTTTCGGCATGTCGCAAGTCCAGCACTTTGACTACGACGAATTCACCCAGAGCTGCGAATACGAACATCATGCAGCCAGCCATCCAAACGTCCAACGCCTACACAAACATATAAAGTTTTTTGTATTGAATAAAAAAAAGCAAATACCGAATGTGAAGCATCCTCTACATTGTACGAGGAGCTCCGCCAATAGACGCCTTCGGCGCTCTGGAGGACATTCGTAAATTTACCTTGATATATGCTACTGGCGGAATATCGCTTTTAAGACCGGTGAACATCGTCACCAGTGTAAGCATACTCGTGACCAGAAGTGCCACTCGACCAGGAATCGCGTCCAAGCCTAGCCAGAAGCTGAACCAAGAGAGCATCACGACCAAAGTCGACGGCGCGAACGTTTGTATCAAGTGGTGACCGATCTGCCTCTCGAAGCGAAAGAAGACCACCAGCCGCGAAAAATTGCCTGGAGGAGAAATAGTTTCGGATTCGTTGTTCTTCGCGATTCAATAATGACAATGTGTCTCATTACGTTTTCTCAAAAATATCATAGAGCATAGATTGTGAAAGCTTGAGTTTTCTACTTAAGGATTATATAAAGATAATATAGTGTAACGATCAAGTAACAATATTGTAAATCAAGTTATTAATCAATTTTTAATTTAGATAGAAAAATATGCGCACCATTTTTCTCGAGCATATAATCTATGGTTTCTTCGAGCACCGCAGGCTTCCCGATGTCGTACTGCAACAGCTTTAATTCGGGATTCACCGTCACACCACCCGCGCCCCATTTTAAGCGCAACTTTTTCCTGTTGTAGGAAACTGTAACAAATAATTCGGCTTGTAACAAGTACAGAAATTTTTTTATCTATATAATAATCGTATTTCTGTGTCTTTTGTTTTAAAAATACATTTATAAAAAAGTGCAAAAAGAGAGGTACATATTTTGAGATGCAAGATATATTAAAACTATTTTCTATTTCTATTTTTTTTATTTAGAAAAATTTGTGCGAAACTTATGCCAATTTATTGTATTCACGTTTTGCGAATCTTACTTACAGCTTTCTATGTAAATCGGGCAGATTTGAATATCCATTGGATACAACTGAAATTCCATCTGACAGGCGACAATAGCGTTAATTCGTGCAGAATATTTAATAGTTTTATTCCGATATAATGTGACTAATGAAAATTTATGGCTCAACGTCGCAATTTCTGCAAAAAATTATTAATTCGTTATCAGATATTGGGATGACAATTGTTTTGCTTCTTAGCGTGCTTACCGGAAACTTTCGAGTTTAGAAAATATGGATCGGGCTGCCATAGATTATCAAAAAATCCTGTCGGCAGTATGACATAATCGTCGTCTTTTTCAAATATGTCTTGCGACATATTAAGTCGAGATTCCATCCAGCTTTGACTAACAAACATGTCCACACTAATAAACACAATTATATGTTTATTTAAGCTTCTTTAAATTTTATCCATTAAATTTTACACAAAATTATGTATCTTAATATTCTTTAATCGAATCTTATATCTATCTATTTTCATATATATATAAAATGTTCTTGTATATTTTAAAACAAAGTTTTTATTCTTCTTTGATTATAAACAAAAAATACAAACTTTTACGATTTATTTCAGCTTACCGAAAATCCATATCTTCAACGTTGATAGAATTAATGTCAACTACCAAAATGTTGAAGTTCACCACTACAGGAGTGTTTTTTTCTGACGGTGGTCTAATTTCTGCGGATTTTTTGCGTTTTAATTTTTTATTATATATGTATTGTTATTTATTACTGAAAACGAGACTGTAAGCTTTCCTCTACGAGCTGCATATTACCTTTGACATAATGTTCCGGCAAAATTAGCCTTGACGTCATAGTGCAATTGTTGACATCCTCGCTGAACAGGTTACGAGAAAAAGCCTATAGTTCACTATCGCTCAAAGTTTCAATTATTGACTCAACAAATTTGCTTATATTGCATATTTCATCTCCCTTTTCAACATTTTTTAAATATTTTGTCACTGACTTGCTGAAATCTCGATATATTATCGAGATTTCACTTTTACACAATTTTACGTGCGTCATTAAGGTAGAACCGCTGTTTATCTTTTCAGTTGGATAACATATTTGCTTGCGCGAGAGAGAAATCATTAACGAGTTGTCTGTATATATGGACAGTTTTTATTGTCTATGGAGAAACAAATGAATGATAAGTCAAACTAATTTTTGACACCTGAGAGTCTAGTGTTACATGCGTATTTTCAAGATAAATTAAATAAATAAGTATCGATAAAAGTTTCTACTTATTCATTCTTTTAAACCAGATAAAGTTTTATTCATAATTTTACGTGCTGTGTGTAAAATCTGCTTTAAATGATCTATTATTTGCAATAAAATTCAAAACGAATTCAAAATAGAATATGTATAATTTATGCGCCGTGCAATACATGTGTATTTTATATGTATGCATACTAATCCTTCAAATATTTTCTGTTATATAAAATTATTAAATGAGTAGATTTCCATCTTAAATTCTGTCGCAAATTATAGATTTATAGATTACGAGTTATAAATTGCCTGAAGCAGATTTAACTGAAGCGATCCTTCTAATTATCATGATATGCGTTAAAGCACAATCTCGCTTGTGACTCACTTCTGCTCTCTTTTGCTTCTGTGGACATAAAATTATTGCACATACGTTTTTTTTTTTCTAATATATTCGAAAGCGATAAAGGCGGCGCGACGAAACGGCACGCTGCGTCAAATCGTCGCGCTGTGCGTAATGAGGCGAAAATGACTTTTAAAGGAGTACAAAGACATTTACCTAGAGGAGCATACTTCCGGGAGAGAATTCCAACACAGGTGAAGCAAAACTACCAGAAGTGTGCTCTTCATCTTAGCTGGACGTCGTCAACTGACGACGATGTCCTGAGCGCCGCTTACGCCGTGGCGGCAATTAATCAATTTAGCTAACGTTTACGCGATCTAATCCAATTGCAAATATACTGCCATCCGCTTGTACTTGCGACAATTGCTTTTCGCGAATTGCGTAACGATTCATCTACCTGATGACGGGCACGCTATTTGCATTGGGTGCAGTCGAAGTTGAAGCGCGTGGCGAGAAATACTTGCCGCGTCATTCTCCGATTTTTAGCAGATTCTTAGTAAGATAACGCGTAATTTTAATTGTAAATGCAATTTCAGATATGAGCCGCTTTCGTTTACGCACTGGCGCACTCTTTGTGTGCTTTATCTCAGGGATTAAATTTCATCATATATTATCATACATGCGCAAAAGCAAAATCTTGGAATTATTTTTTGACATTTTAATTTTCTTCTCAAGTATAATTATATTTTATGTTCCCACAAATCGCGAATTTCAATGATAGATTCTTTGAACCAGTTCAAAGTCGATTTTTCTTAGCGAAAATGTCGAGGGAGACCATCGTTTATCGCATTTCAATTCTCCAACATCATATGTCTTTATAAGTTTTAAATTGAAATTCTACAAAGCAGGGCTTATACTTCAAGTCAATTGAAAAATATGATTCTGTTGTCCATTTGTCTTTTTAGACCTCAGTCCGTGAAGAAGTCCTTCTTTTTCAATCGTTTATAACTTAGAAATTATCGACATCTCGATCTCTTCGCCGAGAAAAAAGTCAATTCCCATTTCATCGGCGAGACTGTCATCGAAATTGAGATCGCGTGTTATGGAGCGCTTTGCATTTAGCAACTTCGTTTTCTTGCCGAGCGTATCGAAATGATAAGAGTGTGTGCTTATCATCTTGATAGGCAAAGATAGAATCGCCGCTCTTTAGAGGAGAAAATCTGATGAGAGACAGGGGGGAAAGAGAAAGGTGAGAGTGAGAGTGGGTCAGTATAGGCGTTTCTGATCTGACTACGGATAGCTGGTTCCGATGCAGGCTTCGCAAATGATCGAGGAGGAAGCACGTGGAAGATCGCGGCTGGCCACAGCACGCGCGCCGCGTCCTTCCCTTTCCTCCTTGGCTGCGTCCTGAGCAACGGTACCGTTCATTTAGACGCGCATCTAAAACCCGACCTCGATCGTCGGCCTCGATGAGATAGAGCCCGTTCCTCATCTTTCTTCGTTAACGGTGTAACGATAGCGTGGCAGAGCAAAATGTTTTTGGTGGCCGCTGGACGAAGGGATTGCAACAATTTCTCTCGATTTGTGTACAACATTAATATTTTTATACGGAAAAATGCAAAATAGAAAGTTCTTTCCCTCACATTTTATCTTCTTCAAGATAATTTATATTTACGGAAAAGACAAATTACTGCTGCAAAGTGATCTTATCAGAGAGAATGTATTGTCTTTACTGATATTAATATATTCAACATTTTGCAGAAATATTTTTTTGTATGCAATTATATTTCGAAAAAGTAGAGTATAAAAACACTTTCATTTTCACTTTCGCACACTGCAGTTTTTAGGGATGATTCTATTTCTGCAGCAACCTGTTACAATCTTGCTGTCAGTAAACTGAACTATGCTCTTGTTCTTCATTACATGTTGTCTCCATCAATTTGCTAGTAGCTTTCTCAATACTTGCGCGGTGCAAAAATGTAGTAAACATTTCTTTGGACGTGGGCGGTCCCAGACTTTCCCGTTGCAAGAATGAAGAATCGTCTCTGATTGAAAAGAACCACTCTATATTGTTCTCTAGAGCGTACTATAATGTTCTATAGTGTTCATCAAAGTATTTAGAAAACATGTTACTACAATTTACTGGAGAAACCTGAAATCAATGTAGGTACAAAGCGAAAACAGAATAATTAATTAGAAACACGTATCAATATCATGTTCGAACATGAACATTCATGGATAACTATAAAATTTTAAATCTTAAATTATGAAGTGGCGAAAAATGTTATATCCTATTAGCTTTAACAGATGTTTATGCAAATGGATTATAAATATTAATATCGACATTTATTAGTTTCGATGATTCACGCGGTTCATTTTACATAAATTTCGAAAACCCTATTTTTGATTGGCAATTTGTAAAGCATGTTTCTTTTTATTATAAGATTGTGTTTGGCTTTAAACTTTGTCTTGCATTATTAATATACTAATTAAAAGAAAATAATTTTTCTTTTATTTTAAGAATAACCGTACTTGACAAATGTTGACTACTCTATTACCATCGGAAGAATCTCACGTTGCGTAGGTGGATCGGCCAACAGTAAAGTGGATACTAGGTGAGGCGGTTAAAAAGATAAAATTCCACATATAGAAAGTTGTTTCGCGTATATAAATTTTCTACTATTGTCCTCGTTACTATTTTCTAAAAAATTTTTACGTCTAATTTTCGTCCTCAGTACAAAAAGTGAAAGTAGAAACAAGGAAACGACGAGATCTAATTGGATGCGTGTGAGCTTTGCAAAGATAAAAAGCGAAAAATTTGATGACGCTAGTTTCGAATAAAGATTAAAACTGATATAACTTTTCAAAAAATTTGCAAAAATAATTTCTTTAATTATAAACACATAAAAGTAAAAACGTACTATTCTTTAAACAATTATTTGAGAATTTAATAGAAACATTTTTACATAAAATTTGCAATTTACTAAAAAATAAAATTCTAAAAGCGTTTCAAAAATTATCACACATTTACTACACGATCTAAATAAAGAAGTAGTTTTCCAATTACTGTGGATAATATATTATGCTCTATTTTTAATAGTCATATTGATTTTACCTGGCGCAGACTACTATAAAAAATGTGTAATTATTTTTGCACAATTCATGACTCTTACATAAAAATAATCCTTCTTTCGCATATCTTGTCCGAAAAGTCGGCTCGTTGAACTCCAGCTGGTGGCAATTCGCGGACAAATCGTCCCGCTCGGCGAAATCAGGTGTATACGACGGTGCAAGCTCCCCTTAAGGGTCGTATTGATTTCTATAATGGCGGCCGGCCGGCGGCGCCTGCACCCTTCGCGATCGGGAAAAGCCGTCGGGTCCGTTGCTCCGTAGTTTTCCCATCCGGAGATATGAGGTGCGCGACGACGTAGCGTGCTGGCGGCGGGCTCGCGCTTGTGAAAGCTAATTGTTGACGGAAACGACGTTCCGCGTCCGGTGTGCCGGTGTTACTTTCAATTTCGCCCCTGCGGACTTATCGCGGGGTCTTATCGTGACACCGAGGCCCGTTCCGTTTCGCGGATAATGCGGTGTGCGCGTCCGCGGGATCATTGACACAAATGACGAATGATTGCGGCCGTACGTCGGGATTGCTTGGTTAAGGTCCGGCGGCGAAAACTGGTGTCGTCTAGTCAAACGGATAGACAGAACCTCTGCGAATGAGAGATCTGCAAATCCTGGCAGAATTTTTGCCCTAACCGCGGTGCTGTCGTCGAACAGGATTGTGGCGAAGTGAACGATTGCGCGTGATTGCGTTTAGATCACATTGGAGAAATCGGAGGGGAATAACCGCACTCTTGGGTAAGCGTGATTCGCGATATAAGCTATTATGAGAGTAAAATGTAAGCTAAAAGGATTATTCGATTGGAGATTGTTAGCTTCTTGTAAAACATGTATCGATAGATCTTGTTAACATGCTCAGAATATCGAAAGATTTCAAGAGAAAAAATCTTATGTTCACACGAAAGTTTGTTAGGAAAAAAGGTTGTATAATAAGTCACAAAACAACAGATATTTGCCAGATGATTTAGACACGCAAGAAAGAGAATATATTGTTGCTTTTCTATGTGTGTTTTCATTGTCAATGTCATATTTAATAATTCTATTTAATATAGATTATTTAAAAAATATGCAGTTATTTGTATATCATTTATCATTCTTAATTAAAATTATAATACGTAAAATAATGATACGTATTAACATGTGTCAAAATGATTGATAGAAGCTATTAAGGCTCATGTTTTAAATCTTTCGAAGTCGGTTACTCTTGAAATTTTCGTTGATCTCCACTTAAATCGAGTTATTATTCATTAAGCGTTACATGAACTTGGGAGAAAGTCCGTGCGAAATTAATGGATATAATTTTCTTATATTATGTAAATGCATGCATTGGAATGCGAATTAAATTTGTGCTCAATTTGCGCTAACCTTAATTAAATATAACTTAACATAAAAATTTTTACGATTACTCAATTGTGATTACGTGTAAAGACAACGTGCGTACTTGTCACCTGTCACTCGTCCGTGAATGACTTGTTAGCTATAGTATACATTCTATCGACCGACTTATATCCTCTTTCGTCATACGCTCATGTGTCTTACTTTTAATATCTCGGTCATCGACTCGTGCGATTGCAGGTACAGATTGGCTCGAAGACGTGTTTCAAAAATACTGTAGAAATAATCGCGAGCTTGGACGAATTCTTAATCGCCGTTGCATACATCATACCGCACTTTATCCGATTGGCGCAAATCATAAAATAATAGCATAGATGTACAAAATGATAAACAATGCAAAATAATCAGTGTATGACTAGCGAAACAGCTAATAAGCGACATATGAAAACGCGTATTTTGTGTCGCGATGATGGACGATATTTGAGCAAAAGAAGCTACGAGAGTGACGCTCGATTGAGGCCGCATTCAGTAATTCGCATAAACAATTTTCTTAGTTAATATGCTCTTTGACGAACTACGGGAAGCGCGTGAAGTTTGAGTGGCCCGTCATTCTACGACATTTAATGAGACGACGAAACGTCCAAATGCGGTCAATCGCGCACTTAGTCATGTGACATGTGACAGTAGAAAGCATCACAACAGTTCATTCAGTTTAGTTAGTTAGCAATTAGATTACTATGACTTGATGGCATCCACCCACCGTAAATTAGATCGCATTTTTACACCGACTCGATTGACTGCACTAATGAGCTTAACATTACAACGCTCGTCAAAAGCAACTTTCTGTATTAAAACATTAACCAATTTTTAAACTAAATTTAAGAAACAAAGATATCTTTGTTCCATATGAAGAATTACCAAAAGACATAGTTACATGGCGTAAATATTACACGATTCATCATGTAAAATAGTTTGAGAGTATGTAAAGGCACTCGCCATGTCGATAGTATCCGAGAATTTTACTTTCGCTGCTTCTTCATTTACCAGATATTCATCTAAATACCAGTTCGCACGTTGCGATGAAAGCAAACTCAATGAAACGCGATTGCGAGACCGATTTTACAATCGATGAATCTGTTATGCATCTTGTTTTCATTGTGTAATTACACATATCTGATAACTATAACTTTTTATTATACCGTTGATCGTATATAATTATCATGTTTTTATTTAATAAAAATATTGGAAATAATCTGTGTCAGTTAATATCGTGCTTAATTCTCCGTAATATTATCGTACTCGCGCTTCGATTTCTTAACTATTTAAAAAAATTTTTTCGTATTAATTGTTGACAGATAATCTTATCACAAAATAATTAAGTATATCAATTATATATAAATCTGCAAAATATTTAACAGTTCCATTTTTAAGCTATTTCTAATTTTTTATTTCAAGCTTCAAAGAGACACATTTTATATTTGATTATCATAAATGCACTAATGAGAAATCGTATGCGCCAATGTGCAATCGTACGTTGTACTCTGATCAAGGAAAGTCGCGCGGATGCAAAAGATGCTAGTTGCATCTCGGGCGTACGCGCCAGGCCTAGACATTGACCTCGAAAGTGAGGTGATCATGGCGAGTAGAGATGTATCGAAGAAAGTGCGCCAACCAGTTTTCAACCGGTTTGAGTCTTACGTGTATCAAGTGATTGTATTTGATTTTCTTGCTGGAGATTCTTTTACTAATTAGCCAATCGCTGACGTTGCGCTAACATTATATCTCAAAAGATATCGGTACATTTGAACTTTAAACAAAACGTGCTGCTGATGCGTGATTTTATGATAAAAGTTTAATGAAAAAATGATGGATTTCTCTGTTCAACAGTTATAAGTAATCTATATAAATAATCTATAATTTTATATAATTATATCTTTATCTATAATTAATTCACCGCTGTTTTTTTTAATCAAATTTGTACAATCAAGTGAGCGGATTAAATATGATGTGCAAGATAAAAAATTGGCTGAAGAATTTGAATATTAGTCACGAGTAAGAAATCGCTTTTCTCATCAGCATTCCGTTCGACGGAAATGC